CATGTGCAACCAACCCATTACAGATATAAGGACAAGAAACCCATGTGCAACCAACCCATTACTGGTACTAAACAAGCCCATATGCAACCAACCCATTACTGATAGTAAGACCGGCCCATCTACAACCAACTCATTTTAGATACTAAGACAAGCCCATGTGCAACCAAGTCATTACAGATACTAAGACAAGCCCATATGCAACCAACCCATTAAAGGTGCAAAGACAACAAGCCCATGTGCGACTAACCCATTGCAGATACTAAGAAAAGCCCATGTACAACCAACCCATTAATCCTTCAAAGACAACAAGCCCATGTACAACCAACTTATAAAGATGCTAAGACAAGCCCTTGTGCAACCAACCTATTAGAGATACTGAGACAAGCCCATGTGCAACCAATCCATTAAAGGTTAAAAGACAACAAGCCCATGTGCAACAAACCAATTACAGATATTAGGACAACAAGTCCATGTGCAACCAACTCATTACTGATACTAAGTCAGGCCCATGTGCAACCAACCCATTACTGATGCTAAGACAAGCCCATGTGCAACCAACCCATTACTGATACTAAGACAGGCCCATGTACAACCAACTCATTTTAGATACTAAGACAAGCCCATGTGCAACCAACCCAACCCATTAAAGGTGCAGAGACAACAAGCCCATGTGCAACCAACCCATTACAGATACTAAGACAAGTCCATGTGCAACCAACCCATTACAGATACTAAGACAACAAGCCCATGTGCAACCAACCCATTACAGATACTAAGACAAGCCCATGTGCAACCAACCCATTACAGATACTAAGACAAGCCCATGTGCAACCAACCCATTACAGATACCAAAACAAGCCCATGTGCAACCAACTCATTACAGATACTAAGACAAGCCCATGTGCAAGCAACCCATTACTGGTAGTAAACAATCCCATGTGCAACCAACCTATGACAGATACTTAGAGTTGCCCAGACATACTAAGACAAGCCCATGTGCAACCAACCCATTAATGATACAAAGCTCACATGCAACACAACCCCATTATAGATAGTAAGCCCACATGCAAGTGTTCTACTGCTAAGCCCAGAGTTCCCATGTCATTGAGAGGCATCACACTGGCAAGTTCAACTGTTAGACATTACTGTGGTGTTCTGAAGACTCAGTTATCAGGTTGAACTTATAACCTGTTCGGCAACAGTTGTTGCAGAAGATGAAGAGAAACAAGTGTCAACAATGTTTTGCATGATCGAGATGTGAGAGTGAAAACGGTTGACCTTGTTGCATTTGTAGACAAGAAAGCAACTACCTTTTTGGACAGGCAACCGCCTCCGTGGTCTAGTGGTAGAGCGTCAGCCAGGAGAGTGGAAGGTCCAGGGTTTGATCCCTGGCCACATCATACCAAAAGGCTTTAAAAGATGGTACTTGTTGTTACCCTGTCTTGAGTTCTGCATTAAGGGGCTAAAACAAGGACTGGTCAGCTCGGAGTCAGTAGACTGTCTGAGTGGGGTATTCATGTTAAACTGTGGCATGGTATCTCAGTATGCTAGCACTATAAATTGGCATCAGTCCGGAGTAGAATAAGCAGCCACACACACACACGTGCATGCACCTCGCTATTTAAGTGCAATAATCTTGGACGCGACGTTAAACCCCATTTCACCTCACCTTTTTTGACAGATACTCGGGGGCAAACTGTGTAGGATCAGCATTGGTGTTTTAAATGCCATGAAATCAATCTATGTAAGATGTAAAATTCTGTGTCCAGCTGAATGGACAGTGCACACCATGATTCAAAGTAAAGTGCAGCCTAAAACCAAGATGCCTCCTTACCCCCTTTGTAAGATGACAATTAATGAGATGTTCCTGCGTGTAATATCAGTGATGATTGTGTCAGTTTACCGGCAACCTCTTAAAAAATCAGGTCTATGTTCTCGCTACCACCACTCGTCTCATTACAGGTCATGTTAGAACAACCTTTTTGCCAGTTGACCAACCAATGGAATGGCTAACCAGAAAATCAACATTAGCCAATCAGAAAGCAGTGTTTCTCGAGCTTTTCAGCATCACTTTCAAACTGACGACATCCTTGCCAGACTGCGCTTTGAGACATATTTTGACAAAGGTCTCGATTCCAAATTTGAAAACTGTTCTGAAATGGCTATGAGTCAGGCGTTCAGCCCGTAACTGTCATTCAGGATACCCCTGGTCACCTATTCGAGTATATATGATTTAAAAAACCCATTTCAACTGTTTCTTTCCCGATCTGGTAAGCAATGCTCTGACTGGATAGATGACAGTTCATTCTGATGTGACCCGTAATGGGATGTTCTCAGATCTCTGTTTAGCAGTAGCGAGAAGTAAGATCTGATTTTTTGTTAGATTGTCATACCCGCTTATGCAGATGACATTGTTACAATTACTGCAACAGGAAATGGTACTAATTTGCTACTGAACTGTTGTTGCAAAGACAACAAGCCCATGTGCAACCAATCCATTAAACATTCAAAGAAAACAAGCCCATATGCAACCAACCCATTACAGATACTAAGACAAGCCCACGTGCAACCAACCCATAAAAGGTTCAAAGACAAGAAGCTCATGTGCAACCAACCCATTACAGATACTAAGACAAGCCCATGTGCAACCAACCCATTAAAGTTGCAAAGACAACAAGCCCATGTGCAACCAACCCATTACAGATACTAAGACAAGCCCATGTGCAACCAACCCATTAAAGTTGCAAAGACAACAAGCCCATGTGCAACCAACCCATAACAGATACTAAGACAAGAAGCTCATGTGCAACCAACCCATTACTGTTACTAAGACAGACCCATGTGCAACCAACCCATTAAAGCTGCAAAGACAACAAGCCGATGTGCAACCAACCCATTAAAGTTGCAAAGACATGTTCTAATGGTACTAATTTGTTACTGAACTGATTCAACATCGGGTGTCATAACATGGTGATTAAGATAATCATCTTTAGAAATCTGTCAATAAGCAGAATCACAGATATTTGGTCTATGAAGTTATGAAGAATGCCTATTGAAGGCTTGACTTGTTAGAAGTAACCAGGCTCACATGCAACCAACCTGTCACAGTCACAAGGACAATATGTCCACTTGCAACCAACCCATCACAGATACTAAGACTACATGTAATAATATTTTATAGTTACAAAGACAAGTCCACTTGCAGGCAACCTGTCATATACTACCGACAAAAAATCAGGTTTTAATAAGAACTAATGATTTAAATGTAGCTACCGTTTAAGTGTCCATTTACAATACTGTGGGACCTGTAAAGATATGAGGTAGAATAGGTCTTCATCAACCCATACTTGCCATAAAAGGCAACTATGCTTGTTGTTAGAGGCGACTAATGGGATCGGGTGGTCAGGCTCACTGACTTGGTTGTTGCATGTCATCGATCAAGATTGCGTGGATTGATGCTCATGATGTCAATCACTGGATTGTCTGGTCCACTCTCGATTATTTACAGACCGCCGACATATAGCTGGAATATTGCTGAGTGCGGCATTAAAAAACAAAGAAAGAGAAAGGAAAATGCTCTGGGGTTGCATTTGAATGCAACATCTAATCGCAATGAATTTTCACATCATGCATGAACAGCATGTGATGCACAGAAGCCAAAGTGTTCCCGAAAGGGGAACTCACAATCACGAATGCAGTTGAGCTAAGCACACACTTATAAATGTCCCTGAGACAGTATCTTGATGAACAGACAAAATGGCAAGTTGTGGATATGATAGAGGTCGGAAGAATGTTTGGCAAATCAGGAAGTGTAATTTCTTGACCGCAGGACAAGCAACATTGGTGGGGTATCAATGAGACCTCCTAAAAAAGAAGACACCTAGACAAGATCGTCCCATTATATACACTGTACAACACAATTCAAATCTACTCCTGTTAACAATACATAATTCCGAACAATAACAAGAAGGCAACGCAGTGGCAAGCAGTATGCTAGGGCAACAATTCTTGGGCATGATCAGTATGGGGGTTGTAGTGTCATGGTGTGGGGCGTTATCACACGTGACAGGCGAACAGATTTGGTTATTGTGAATGAACATTTGACTGGCCAGTGATATGTTGATGATATTTTTTCGTCCTGTCGATGTTCCATTCGCCAGAATTATCGGCAGAAATTTTGAACAGCGAGATGACAATGCCCGATTAGCTCCCACGGCATACAGACATTGGATTTGTCCTTGAGGTCTTCAGCAACCCATGCTTGCCGTAAAAGGCGACTATGCTTGTCGTAAAAGGCGACGAACGGGATTGGGTGGTCAGGCGTGCTGACTTGGTTGATGCATGTCATCGATCCCAATTGCGTGGATCGATGCTCATGATATTAATCACTGGACTGTCTTGTCCAGACTCGATTATTTACAGACCGTCGTCATATAGCTGGAATATTGCTGAGTGCGACGTAAAACAACAAACAAACCAACCAACCAACCTTGACATGTCCCTAACAGAACATCTGTGGAATGTTCTTGGGAGTAGAGTGTTCCAGCTTGGTGTTGCTCTTCAGGTGTGTAATGGCGTGCAATACCAAGACCAACCAGGTGCCAGTTAATCAAAAGTATGCCATCAAGATGTCGTGCATTGATCACCCAACACACCAGATATTTATCTACCCCTGAAATTAATTTTACAGACATTTATCGTTATTACACCTTCACAATCATTTCATCAGTTCCCTTACTTTTTGTTGGTAGTATATATACAAAGACAACAGGCCCACATACAACCCATCATATATACGAAGACCACGAGCCCACCTGCAACAAGTTTTCATAGTTAGTATGACAGTCAGTGAGGCCATTGTGTCAGATGAAGTCACACATGGACATTGAAGCACTTTGACTTCAGTGGACAAAAGTCCCCTGGCCTTGCCCACCTTCTTTGATTTGCCCAATGTCCTCATCTTTACAGCAAACTATATATTACATTTTCTGTCATTTCAGTTAAAACTCAAGAATTATGAACGAGTGGAAAAGGTGAGACTCTTGATGATTTAGATAGACGTAATCCTTTTAAAATACACTGCAGAATAATTTGACGTCTTTAAACAGTAGACAAAACATGCCAAGTGCATACAAATTACGATATTTTATGTAAATAGTTGAGCAAATCCGGTGAACCTCAGGATATCTCTTAGACACGTCCCTTTGATGTCACTGTGTGTCTCCTTCACCAGTTGTTCCAGAGATGTCTGATCAAGGTGCTCAACATCGAACTTTGGAAACTCTACCTCAACTATATCAAGGAGACCAAGGGTAGCCTCCCATCATACAGGTCAGTGTTGTCTCATACAGGTCAATCTCCCTCCATCATACAGGTCAATCTCCCTCCATCATACAGGTCAATCTCCCTCCATCATACAGGTCAATCCCCCCCTATCATACAGGTCAATCTCCCTATCATACAGTTCAATCTCAGCCCATCATACAGGTCAATCTCCCTATCATACTGTTCAATCTCACCTCATCATACAGGTCAATCTCCCTATCATACTGTTCAATCTCACCCCATCACACAGGTCAATCTTCCTCCATCATACAGGTCAATACCCCAATCATACAGTTCAATCTCACTCCATCATAGTTCAATCTCACTCCATCATACAGTTCAATCTCACCCCATCATACAGGTCAATCTCCCTATCAAACAGGTCAATCTCACCCCATCATACAGGTCAGTCTTCCCCTATCATACAGGTCAATACCCCCATCATACAGTTCAATCTCTCCCCATCATACAGGTCACTCTCCCCACCATACAGGTGAGCCCCTCCATATCAAACAGGTCAATCTCCCCTATCAGACAGATCAACCTCCCCATCATACAGGCCAATCTCCCCTATCAAACAGGTCAATCCCCCCATCATTCAGGTCAATCTGTTCTATCATACAGGTCAATCTCACCCGATCATACAGGTCAATACCCCCATCATACAGTTCAATCTCTCCCCATCATACAGGCCAATCTCCCCTATCAAACAGGTCAATCCCCCCATCATTCAGGTCAATCTCCTCTATCATACAGGTCAATCTCCCCTATCAAACAGGTCAATCCCCCCATCATTCAGGTCAATCTGTTCTATCATACAGGTCAATCTTACCCGATCATACAGGTCAATACCCCCATCATACAGTTCAATCTCTCCCCATCATACAGGCCAATCACCCCTATCAAACAGGTCAATCCCCCCATCATTCAGGTCAATCTCCTCTATCATACAGGTCAATCTCCCCTATCATACAGGTCAACCTCACCATCATATAGGTCAATCCTCCCCCATCATACAGGTCAATCTCCCCTATCAAACAGGTCAATCCCCCCATCATTCAGGTCAATCTGCTCTATCGTACAGGTCATTCTCCCCTATCATACAGTTCTTTGAAGTCTCATCATACAGGTCAATTACCCCCATCATTCAGGTCAATCTCCCCTATCATACAGGTCAGTCTTCCCCTATCATACAGGTCAATACCCCCATCATACAGTTCAATCTCTCCCCATCATACAGGTCACTCTCCCCACCATACAGGTGAGCCCCTCCATATCAAACAGGTCAATCTCCCCTATCAGACAGATCAACCTCCCCATCATACAGGCCAATCTCCCCTATCAAACAGGTCAATCCCCCCATCATTCAGGTCAATCTGTTCTATCATACAGGTCAATCTCACCCGATCATACAGGTCAATACCCCCATCATACAGTTCAATCTCTCCCCATCATACAGGCCAATCTCCCCTATCAAACAGGTCAATCCCCCCATCATTCAGGTCAATCTCCTCTATCATACAGGTCAATCTCCCCTATCAAACAGGTCAATCCCCCCATCATTCAGGTCAATCTGTTCTATCATACAGGTCAATCTTACCCGATCATACAGGTCAATACCCCCATCATACAGTTCAATCTCTCCCCATCATACAGGCCAATCACCCCTATCAAACAGGTCAATCCCCCCATCATTCAGGTCAATCTCCTCTATCATACAGGTCAATCTCCCCTATCATACAGGTCAACCTCACCATCATATAGGTCAATCCTCCCCCATCATACAGGTCAATCTCCCCTATCAAACAGGTCAATCCCCCCATCATTCAGGTCAATCTGCTCTATCGTACAGGTCATTCTCCCCTATCATACAGTTCTTTGAAGTCTCATCATACAGGTCAATTACCCCCATCATTCAGGTCAATCTCCCCTATCATACAGGTCAATCTCCCCTATCATACAGTTCTTTGAAGTCTCATCATACAGGACAGTCTAGTCCATCATTCATGTTGTTATCGTTGTACAGAGAGAAGATGGCACAGGCGTATGACTTTGCCCTGGAGAAGATAGGTATGGACATCATGTCGTACCAGATCTGGACTGACTACATTGCCTTCCTCAAGTCTGTGTGAGTATGATACACTGAAATATCCCATGAACTTGTTGTCAACAGGAAAGAAGTTGACTTGTCTTTTCGTGTACTATGTATCTATTCCTAAGGGTACCCGGGTAGTGCAGCATGACAGACACATGGTGAGGGCACATGGTGAATGTGTTCACTTGTTATGAATAAGGGCTGGGTTTCATGCCTTCTTAGGATAATTAGTGTGCCCCTGGCATCCCTTGTTGCTGCAGCTTAGACTTTTAAGAAGTGTACTGGGTTAAACCTCTTGATTATTTTGTTTTGCTTCTAAGACAATGAAATTAAATAATAACACAAACTTAGCTCCATTTCCCACATCAGGTTCTTGCTATCCATACTAATATGTAAAACGTCACAATTTTGAGTGAAGCCATTCGAAATGTACCTGCTAACTGATTTGTATACTGAACATAAGAAGTAAGGATCACAAATACCAAACTTTTATTTTCCTGTTTATATAAATACAGACGTTAATGATAATCCTGTCAGAAAATTGACTCCTTACTGTGGAGCCTCGTCTCCCTCAAACAAGCAACGTGTCCAAAATATTTTGCCGCCTGAAAGATATTACTGTTGCTGTCATGGTGATGATGTTATGCTTGTTGATACAGCGAGGCTGTGGGATCTTATGCAGAGAACCAGCGGATCACGGCGGTACGGAAGGTGTACCAGAGAGGCGTCATCAATCCGATGATCAATATAGAGATCCTGTGGAAGGACTACTGCAACTACGAAAATGTAAGTCAGAGGCACACTACAGTTAGAGCTGTGAAGGTGTTGGGGAGATGTTGTGTTTAGGATGTCACTGTGAAGGTGTCGGGGAGATGTTGTGTTTAGGATGTCACTGTGAAGATGTCGGGGAGATGTAGTGTTTAGGATGTCACTGTGAAGATGTCGGGGAGATGTAGTGTTCAGGATGGAGCTGTGAAGGTGTTGGGGAGATGTTGTGTTTAGGATGTCACTGTGAAGGTGTCGGGGAGATGTAGTGTTCAGGATGGAGCTGTGAAGGTGTTGGGGAGATGTTGTGTTTAGGATGTCACTGTGAAGGTGTCGGGGAGATGTTGTGTTTAGGATGTCACTGTGAAGATGTCGGGGAGATGTAGTGTTTAGGATGACACTGTGAAGGTGTCGTGGAGATGTAGTGTTTAGGATGACACTGTGAAGGTGTCGTGGAGATGTAGTGTTTAGGATGACACTGTGAAGATGTCGGGGAGATGTTGTGTTTAGGATGTCACTGTGAAGATGTCGGGGAGATGTAGTGTTTAGGATGACACTGTGAAGGTGTCGGGGAGATGTTGTGTTTAGGATGTCACTGTGAAGATGTCGGGGAGATGTAGTGTTTAGGATGACACTGTGAAGGTGTCGGGGAGATGTTGTGTTTAGGATGTCACTGTGAAGATGTCGGGGAGATGTAGTGTTTAGGATGACACTGTGAATGTGTCGTGGAGATGTAGTGTTCAGGATGACACTGTGAAGGTGTCGGGGAGATGTTGTGTTTAGGATGTCACTGTGAAGATGTCGGGGAGATGTAGTGTTTAGGATGTCACTGTGAAGATGTCGGGGAGATGTTGTGTTTAGGATGTCACTGTGAAGGTGTCGGGGAGATGTAGTGTTCAGGATGTCACTGTGAAGGTGTCGGGGAGATGTAGTGTTTAGGATGACACTGTGAAGATGTCGGGGAGATGTAGTGTTCAGGATGTCACTGTGAAGGTGTCGGGGAGATGTTGTGTTTAGGATGTCACTGTGAAGATGTCGGGGAGATGTAGTGTTCAGGATGTCACTGTGAAGGTGTCGGGGAGATGTAGTGTTCAGGATGACACTGTGAAGGTGTCGGGGAGATGTTGTGTTTAGGATGACACTGTGAAGATGTCGGGGAGATGTAGTGTTCAGGATGACACTGAAGATGTCGGGGAGATGTAGTGTTCAGGATGACACTGTGAAGATGTCGGGGAGATGTAGTGTTCAGGATGACACTGTGAAGATGTCGGGGAGATGTTGTGTTCAGGATGACACTCTGAAGGTGTCGGGGAGATGTTGTGTTTAGGATGTCACTGTGAAGGTGTTGGGGAGATGTTGTGTTCAGGATGACACTGTGAAGATGTCGGGGAGATGTAGTGTTCAGGATGACACTGTGAAGATGTCGGGGAGATGTTGTGTTCAGGATGACACTGTGAAGGTGTCGGGGAGATGTTGTGTTTAGGATGTCACTGTGAAGATGTCGGGGAGATGTTGTGTTTAGGATGTCACTGTGAAGGTGTCGGGGAGATGTTGTGTTTAGGATGTCACTGTGAAGGTGTCGGGGAGATGTTGTGTTTAGGATGTCACTGTGAAGGTGTCGGGGAGATGTAGTGTTCAGGATGGAGCTGTGAAGGTGTTGGGGAGATGTAGTGTTTAGGATGACACTGTGAAGATGTCGGGGAGATGTAGTGTTCAGGATGTCACTGAAGGTGTCGGGGAGATGTTGTGTTTAGGATGACACTGTGAAGATGTCGGGGAGATGTAGTGTTTAGGATGTCACTGTGAAGGTGTCGTGGAGATGTAGTGTTCAGGATGTCACTGTGAAGGTGTCGGGGAGATGTAGTGTTTAGGATGACACTGTGAAGATGTCGGGGAGATGTAGTGTTCAGGATGACACTGTGAAGGTGTCGTGGAGATGTAGTGTTTAGGATGACACTGTGAAGATGTCGGGGAGATGTAGTGTTTAGGATGACACTGTGAAGGTGTCGGGGAGATGTAGTGTTCAGGATGACACTGTGAAGATGTCGGGGAGATGTAGTGTTTAGGATGACACTGTGAAGGTGTCGGGGAGGTGTAGTGTTCAGGATGGAGCTGTGAAGGTGTCGGGGAGATGTAGTGTTCAGGATGGAGCTGTGAAGGTGTCGGGGAGATGTTGTGTTTAGGATGTCACTGTGAAGATGTCGGGGAGATGTAGTGTTCAGGATGGAGCTGTGAAGGTGTCGGGGAGATGTAGTGTTTAGGATGGAGCTGTGAAGGTGTCGGGGAGATGTTGTGTTTAGGATGACACTGTGAAGATGTCGGGGAGATGTAGTGTTCAGGATGTCACTGTGAAGGTGTCGGGGAGATGTTGTGTTTAGGATGTCACTGTGAAGATGTCGGGGAGATGTAGTGTTCAGGATGACACTGTGAAGGTGTCGGGGAGATGTTGTGTTCAGGATGGAGCTGTGAAGATGTCGGGGAGATGTAGTGTTTAGGATGTCACTGTGAAGATGTCGGGGAGCTGTAGTGTTCAGGATGGAGCTGTGAAGATGTCGGGGAGATGTTGTGTTCAGGATGACACTGTGAAGGTGTCGGGGAGATGTAGTGTTCAGAATGGAGCTGTGAAGGTGTCGGGGAGATGTTGTGTTTAGGATGTCACTGTGAAGGTGTTGGGGAGATGTTGTGTTTAGGATGACACTGTGAAGGTGTCGGGGAGATGTAGTGTTCAGGATGACACTGTGAAGGTGTCGGGGAGATGTAGTGTTCAGGATGGAGCTGTAAAGGTGTCGGGGTGATGTAGTGTTTAGGATGTCACTGTGAAGATGTCGGGGAGATGTAGTGTTCAGCATGGAGCTGTGAAGATGTCGGGGAGATGTAGTGTTCAGGATGACACTGTGAAGGTGTCGGGGAGATGTTGTGTTTAGGATGTCACTGTGAAGATGTCGTGGAGATGTAGTGTTCAGGATGGAGCTGTGAAGGTGTCGTGGAGATGTAGTGTTCAGGATGACACTGTCTACAAATTTTAGATATGAAGGGTGGAACTTTCAGGATATCAAGATATCAAGTTCATGGGTGTGTTACAGAGAATCAACCCCTTGATCGCCAGACATTGTGTTTGTACCTAACAAGCTATCAGTACCTTGATAGACACATGGGTGTTTTATAGAGCATCAACCCCTTGATAGCCAAGAAGATGACAGAGGATCGAGCTCGGGACTACATGAACGCCAGACGAGTTGCTAAGGAGTATGAGCTGGCTACTCGGGGTCTTGACCGAAGCCAGCCATCCGTCCCACCACAAAACACAGTTAATGAAGCCAAACAGGTGGGAAGCTATTGTCCTACTCTCTGTTAGTGTGTCAGTGTTTACTCTGAAGTAGGCCACTAGGCCATGCACCAACTCATGGGTTGTATTCCCTATGTAGGTACAAGGTATATAGCCTTTACATACCATATAAGTTAAGTCTTGACCGGAGCCAGCCATCCGTCCCACCACAAAATACAGTTAATGAAGCCAAACAGGTGGGAAGCTATTGTCCTACTCTCTGTTAGCGTGTCAGTATTTACTCTGGAGTAGGCCACTAGGCCATGCACCAACTCATGGGTTGTATTCCCTATGTAGGTACAAGGTATATAGCCTTTACATACCATATAAGTTAAGGAACTTAAGTTGACCTGAGTCCCATGACTTCCATGCTAATCATCGATCTAGCATCACCTTAACACTAAGATTGCTCTGCGGCAAGGGGCCAAGGTCAGTGTGTTTCATAATATACTGCTAAAAAATAGTTAAGGACCTCCCTATTCTTTCATATTACTATAGTTAATCTATGACAGATTAACTATTGTGATATGAGTGAGTGAGTGAGTTGGGTTTAACACCGCTTTTAACAGTATTCCAGTTATATCGCGGCGTGTCAGCTTAATGTGGGAGGAAAGCCCGAAGTGATGCAGGTCTCAGACGCTTACCACTTCGGTGAAACCCACGAGCACGGGTATGGTGCTGACAAACCTAGAAACATAATCGGGGCGAACCGGGATTCGAACCCACAATCATAGGTTTCTGGCGTGCACAAGGGACACAACTCTGCACAGTGAATCACGGCGCCTTAGACGACTGGGCCACCCGTGCCCCCCATATTACTATAGTTAATCTTTGACAGATTAATATAGAATACTAAACGAGCTCCCGTGTAATACCAATTTTATGAAACGAGTGAATAGTTGTAGTATCTGATGAGCGAAAGCGAGTCAGATACCACAACTATTCATGAGTTTCATAAAATTGGTCTTACACGGGAGCGAGTTTCGTATTTTATTTATTACTTGCCATTTATAACGTTTTTAGAATTATGAATAGGCTGACACTTACACGATCCACAGCCTAGTCTAATTGAGTTTAACAGAATAATACTTCAAACACGTCAAAAGTTGAAACGTATGAATTTAATACCACATAACGGTCCACCTTTAGAATTCACAAAATTATCGTAGGTCTAAGACTATCGCAACTCACATACTTTAACAGACTAACGACTGTTGTTGCACTACAATACGATCACCTTGTGGAACGGGCCTCAAAGTTTACAATAATGTTGAGAGCTTTCTATATTTGTTCTAGAACCATGTTCCGAAAGTACACGCGTTGTGGTATTACACAATGTGTAATACAGCTGTATGTTTATTAAACGGGTGATCTCTTCACGGACAAGTAATAAACTATAGTAATATCAAAGATTGGACATGTCAGATTAACTATAGTAATAATAAAAATTTGGTAGTCCTTAACTTTTTTTGTGAGTCGTATATTTGCTGGATTACCTGTATTATTTAATGATTTGCCGTCTGAGGAAAACAATATACAGTATACTTCCATAGAGTAGTAAACCCCTGATGTAAACTGTGACCCTGTTTCCCCACCAGGTCGACCTGTGGAAGAAATACATCGCGTGGGAAAAGAGTAACCCCCTCAGGACAGAGGACCATGCCCTGATAACCAAGAGAGGTAATACCGAGCGTCGTGATGGACGACAACATGAGGACAACTGACCATAGTTTGCATGTGCTGGGATGGGTATTCTTTGTCTCTTTGTTTGTTTGTTATCCCCCCGACATATAATGGGGGGATATAGCCATCAGAATGTCCCTCTGTCCAGCCGCCCGTCCGTCCGTCTGTAATCATTGTTTGTCTGGAGCATATTTCCTAAACCGTACAACCTAGCTTCCCAAAACTTGGTACACTTAACAATCAGGCTCAGTAGTAGTGCCTTTTGCTATTTAGAGATTTTTAGAATTTTTTATTTTTGTCGTTTCCATGGAAATATGATGAACTTAGGAAATTTGAGGGTAGTGCTCTTGTCCGGAGCATATTTCCTAAACCATACAACCTAGCTTCCCAAAACTTGGTACACTTAACAATCAGGCTCAGTAGAAGTGCCTTTTGCTATTACGAGATTTTTAGAATTTTATATTTTTGTCGTTTCCATGGAAATATGATGAACTTAGGAAATTTGAGGGTAGTGCTCTTGTCAACCATATCTCCCGAACCATACAACTAAGCTTCTCAAAAGTTTTTACACCTATCAAGCAGGTTATGTAGTGGTGCCTTTGCTATTAACAGGGGGCAGTCGCTAGCCTAGTAGTTAAAGCGTTTGCTCGTCACGCCAAAGACATAGGTTCGATTCCCGACATGGGTAAAATGTGTGATGCCCCTTTTCCAGTGTCCCCCGCCTTGATATTGCTGGAATATTGCTAAAAGCTGTGTTAAACTCACTCACTCATTGCTGGAAGCAGGGTAACCTGACTCCTTGCTTGGAGGAAAGGACAGTCTATGTGTGTCATCCATCATCAGAGAGTCTGATACATGGTTTCATCTTGTGTCTGTGTTTCAGTGATGTTTGCATACGAGCAGTGTCTGCTGTGTCTGGGTTTCCATCCTGACATCTGGTACGAGGCCGCCGCGTATCTGGAGCAGTCCTCCAAGATTCTGTCCGAGAAGGGGGTACGTATCAATATTTGCCACTGATCTGGAGCAGTTCTCCAAGGTTCTCTGAGAGAAGGGGGTACATATTAATATATGCCACTTATCTGGACCAGTTCTCCAAGGTTCACTGAGAGAAGGGGGTACGTATTAATATATGCCACTTATCTGGAGCAGTTCTTCCAGATTCTCTGAGAGAAGGGGGTATGTTTCATATCAGCCGCCCACCTAAAGAACAAAGCTACACCCATAAGCAGAAGTTGTATATTTCAGTGGCATGTTTAGTATTCAAGAACTTGTTTTTCTTTCTTTGATGAGAAGGTAATTACATAGTTTTAAAGAGAATGTGATCAACTCTTTTATATTAGAGTTAAGACGTTAAGGATACTTGGTATGCAGATAGGCCTAATTGTACCTGCGAACTATGACATGTGAAATGTGTGTTATCTCCCTTGTACAGGACCAGAATGCTGGGAAGATGTTTGCTGACGAGGCTGCCGCCATCTACGAGAGGGCCATCTCATCCCTCATGAAGAAGAATATGTTGTTATACTTTGCATATGCTGATTTTGAAGAGGTGGGTATAGTCTTGTTGTGGACATTTCTTGTTTATACCCATATATTTGATTGTGTTTTGGACAGCTCTGTCATATCAGAACCAAACCTTAATAAGGTGACAGAAACTTTATCTCATTTTGATTTTTAGGTTCACAGTTTTGATTTTCTGTGATTTGCCTTGATTATTACCACCTGCCAGGTGTGTGTTGGGGGGGGGGGGGGGGGGGGGGCTATTTAGGAATGGATGCTGTCTGTCCAATCTTTCTATCCTTCATGTTTTGTTACCGGAGCATTACTCAAAGACCATTCAATATTTCCTGATCAAACTTTGCACAGATATCCTTCTAGCCATGAACTGGTGCCTTTAGCTATTGGGAATGTTTGAAATTTTTGTTTTGTTTTTGTTCCGTCAGGGTCGTATGAAGTATGACAAAGTCCACAACATCTACAAGAAAATGATCGCCATAGAAGATGTAGATCCAACACTGGTAAGTATCCAGCACATCCTTGCTCATGAGTTTCACTCACTCACTCACTCACTCACTCACTCACTCACTCACTCACTCACTCACTCACTCACTCACTCACTCACTCACTCACTCACTCACTCACTCACTCACTCTCTCTCTCAACCACTCACTCACTCAACCACTCACTCACTCAACCACTCACTCAACCACTCAACCACTCACTCAACCACTCACTCAACCACTCACTCAACCACTCAACCACTCACTCAACCACTCAACCACTCACTCACTCCAAGTCTGATCAGAGCTCAGAGTCAAGTGGTAGAGCGGAAGGTCCGGGGTTGATCCCTGGTCGTGTCAAACCTTTTAAAGACATTAAAAGATGGCACTTATTGTGACCCTGTCTGGTGCTGAGCTAAAACAAGGGGCTAAAACAAGGACTGGTCCATGCACGCACACACAATATTAATTTCTGGTTGAATATTAGAATAATGGGAGCACAGTATACTACATTTATAACGGACACGCTTATAAGGAACTGACGGATATAACAAACATATTATTTGGTCGCGGACATTTGCTGTATGCATGCTTATAACAAATTACGGTTTTAATGAACTAAAATTTGTGGTCCCTTGGAGTTTGTTGTAACTGTAGTTTACTGTTTGTCTCATTGTCCCTTTATAATGTTCACCACAACTTCTTCCTAATATTGATTGACTGGAAGTGCGTGTAAGTTTTTGTGCCAAGACCTGTGTTGAAATGTGTGATCAATGATACACATTGTCAGGATACGATGACAATCACCAAAATCCATTTCCATACAGCCATTGTGACCACTAGATCCTCACAGCCACGACAAGCATGGTTTACTGGGAAACGTCTCCTGTAGGGATTCTGGGTTAGAATAGGTCCCCAGCAACCTATGCTGGTCGTAAGAGGCCACCAAATGGATGCTCACAAAATTTACCCCTGGATTGTCTGGTCCAAGCTTGATTATTTACAGACCACCATTATACAGCTGGAATATTGCTGAGTGCGGAATTGAACAACAACAACAAAAATTGAACTTTAACACTTGATCAATACACTGCTTTAACTGTTAGTAATTTCAGTCCCCAAATATATTAAATGAATTCTAACCTATCACTCAAAATTTGGAATACATGTCACATTTATGACCCCAAGTTTGGAGAAATCCTAAAATTAAATTCAATATGGCCGCCACATAGTGTGCTCCTGTTTCCAGGCGTATATCCAGTACATGAAGTTTGCCAGACGGGCCGAGGGTATCAAGTCTGCACGGCTGGTGTTCAAGGCTGCCCGAGAAGACAAGAGGTCTCGCTACCACGTGTATGTGTCTGCAGCTCTCATGGAGTACTATTGTAGCAAGGTATGTCGCCGCAGGATTCATCTCCAGCTGCACCACAATAGTCGCCCCAAGTGTCCCACATGGCAAAAATTCCCATGTCAACTTATAGTATGGCCTTGCATAATTGACTTGTATTTCAATGTAAACAAGACAATAAAGATAATTCTTTATTGCTTAGTTTTATATTATTACTTTGAATTCAGTGTTAACGTATCTCTAAATTCCCGAAAATATTAATATATAATATTTTTTACATATCCTGCATTACTGCATTAAGGAGTAATGCAGGATATGTATATCAATGTAAAAAATATTTTGATTTTACTAAAAAAAATTCTTATCCTGCTTTACTCCTTAATGCATTAATGTAGGATAAGTATATAAATGTGGAAAATATGTAGAATTTTTAAGTTATTTATTAAAGTTTCAAACAAAATAAAAAAGATTTCTAATATGGGGGGCACTCTCCTACTGCTCATAACATTTGCCACAAATTTCTGTTAAGTACAGGTCAAAAAGTGTTTTTATTATGATGTTTTGTTTAACTCATTGGCTTTACACATCAGTTGAAAGAAGAGCTTAATATTTTAATCCTCCAAGTATAACCCGTACAGCTGAATGATCTGACCCAACCTGGGATTACCTGAACACACTTTACCTGCCTGATGTACCCTACGGAATAGATCAACTGGTAAATGTTAGTATCATGTCCGCACTCACCTAATGTTTACTTTCAGGAAAAGACAGTTGCCCTGAAGATCTTTGAGTTAGGGTTGAAGAAGTTTGGAGAACATCCCGAATATGATCTCTGCTACATTGAGTTCATGTCTCACTTAAACGGTGAGTGATCGGAAAACAAAAACAAAAACAATTCTGCATGTTTACTATTCATGCTTTATATGTCGGCATCTCTGCGGAACTCTCATCTTCCTGAGGCAAGGGAGCTTGACTGACTTTAAAAGTCCAGTTTCCATCCTTGCCGAACTAGGCTGGAATTATGGAGTTATATTTTGGCTGGACTAACGAGTCTATACTTTTTAGTCCAATCAGAATCGCGTAACGAATTGACATCCGGTTCGTTAACTGTCGTGCAGATTTTGGTTGATTGCAGGATTTGCAAGTCATGTGATACATGGGGTGGGTCTAGGAGATCATAGTGTAAACTATCTTCAACGGAAAGTGTGACTTACCTGCACTGAATTGACTTTAGTTTGTAACCTTTAACTCTTTGATGTATTGAATGTTGTTTGTGCTTCAGAGGACAACAACACCCGAGTGTTGTTTGAGAGGGTCCTGTCTTCCGGGCAGATTTCCCCGGAGAAATCCACGTGAGTTTAACAGCACATCTAAAATGTGATTCTCCTGTTTACAGTCAAACTGGGATTTGCATATGAGTATAGTATGGAGATTTTGTATCAGCAAGTAGTGTATTGATACCAATTTTTTTAATGTTTTGTATCATGTATTGAACATGAACCTTAATAGAATCTTATCGTATCACAAGGGTTTCTGTTAATTACATAAATACAACTCCTGTGAGTGTAGATTTGGCTGTGTTGGAGTTAATTCAGGGGTGAGAATCTTCTGCAGATCCATGGCTCCTCGAAATTCCACGAATTTAAGTGTCCACAAATTTGTTAAAATCTGATGGCTTCAAGGGGGGCCAAGCCAACCTGACCCCCCATAAACACCCCAAAATTATGGACCACGCTCCATTGAATAATAGTTTCAGTTGAAAACGAAAATGTCCATTCTCATCTCTGTTAAATAACCTCATCCCTAAAAGAAATGTAAATCCATATTTTGATGACATTTGAGGGATTCATTTAGTGGATCAACGGAAAGTAGCTGAATGTTCATACATACTCACTACCCCAGTCACTGGTGTAGACAGGACATGTCAAAGGTCATGGCCATCAGCAGTCAGTACCGTATGTGCCCACCCTGGGAGTCTAGAACTGCCTGACATCTCCAACCCATGGAGGCAAGGAGGTTAGGAATCAGACTGACTGACTGACTTGGAATGTTGGCTGACTCGGCACGGCACGGCACAGAGTGCCAGTTTCAGCTGCGTCACCCCTGTCTATCTAGCTCATCCCATAAATACCTGCAGAATTTCATCTCGTCCCATACACCAGGCCTTTTCTGGGACAGTTAATTCGTAATCCTTCATAGCTTGTTGGTTATAGTGAGTTAGTGAGTGAGTATGGTTTTACGCCGCTGTTAGCAATATTCCAGCAATATCACAGCGGGGGACACCAGAAATGGGCTTCACACATTGTACCCATCTGGGGAATCGAACCCGGGTCTTCGGCATGACGAGCGATTGCTCCAACCACTAGGCTACCCCACCGCCCCTTGTTGGTTATAGGGGCAGTGGGGAAACTCAGTGGTAAACTGGTCATTTGTACATTGAAGGCAGAGGTTCACTTCCTCAAGTCCATTTCTGGTGTCCTCTCTTCGTGGTACTGATGGAATATTGTTGTGTAAAACCATGCCGGCTCACTCACTTACTTACTCTAACACTCAACCTCCCACCGGCCCATCAGTCATTCTCCCAACCCCACTCTCACTCACGCATTTACATCAAACACCCACCCACGAACTCATTCACTCTCCCACCCATCCACTCACCCACCCACGGACCCATCACTCATTCACCCGACCCCAATCTCACTTACTCACATATTGTTTATTGTTTAACTATGTACTACACAGAGAGATCTGGAGCAAGTTCCTTGCCTTCGAGTCGGCAGTTGGAGACCTTGCCAGTATCCTGAAGGTGGAGAAGAGGAGAGCTCAGGCCATCGAGAAGGTAAACTACTACTGACAGTCCCACACAGTGTGCTTCAGACTCTTGCTTATGCTCTTGGTAAAAAAGTAGTAGTATCATGCATATTAAGATTAAGTATAAGCTCACAGTTATTTCATATACAATATGGGGGCACAGGTGGCCCAGTGGTCTAAGGAACCGTGATTCGCTGTGCGTGTGCAGAGTTGCGTCCCTTGGGTATGCCAGAAACTTATGATTGTGGGTACGAATCTGGGTTCGCCCCGATTATGTTTCTAGGTTTGTCAGCACCATACCCGTGCTCGTGGGTTTCACCAAAGTGGTAAACGTCTAAGACCTGCTTCACTTCGGGCTTTCCTCCCACATTAACTGACATATAACTGATATAACTGGAATAATGTTAAAAGCGGCGTTAAACCCAACTCACTCACTCACCTTTTCAAATATTGATTTTCCAATATATAGTTTCACATGAGTCAAATTTACAGTATACTTTTTCTGTCAACTGTCATAGCTGAACACATAGAGATCAGTAGAGCTAGGAAGATTTAGACTTGCAGACTTCCACCCACCGTCCCCCAACCATGACTTAACCCTGGCTACAAACAGGGCCAGGCCCGAGACAAGTAAATCTTATCCTGTGACAACTTTAATGGTTAACAACCCTGCACCTGGCAGCCAGCAGTGAAAGATGATATTGTACTCAGAAGAAGTTAAGGACCACCCTATTCTTCATTTTACTATAGTTAAATCTGTCTAAGTTATGAGGTGAGATGAGGTGAAATTGGGTTTAACGTCACATCCAAGATTATTGCACTTATATAGCGACGTGCATGTACGTGTGTGTGTGTGGCTGCTTGTACTAGACCGGATGCCAATTTATAGTGCTAGCCCACTGAGATACCATGCCGCAGTTTAACATGAATACCCCACTCAGACACAGTATACTGACTCCCAGCCGACCAGTCCTTGCTTTAACCCCTTAATGCCAAGCGCCAGACAGGGTAACAACAAGTACCATCTTATAACGTCTTTTGGTATGATGCGGCGGGGGATCGAACCCCGGACCTTCCGCTCTCTGGGCGGACGCTCTACCACTAGACCACGGAGGCGGTCGTCTTAGTTATGAAAGAATGGGGTGGTCCTTAACTTCTTTTTAGTAGTATATATCAATGACCCTATTGACATGAACAAGAAACGTTATTGTTGTGAAAGAACTACTAATGTGTATGTGTAATAATTACACGAGGATATGGTTCTAACTGGCAGCATTATTTCAGTGTTTTGTTCACTCAGTGTAAGTGAAGAAAGTTGAGGCGTTTTGATGTTTGAGTGATGTTACCTTGTTTTCCCTAGGTCCAGGAATTCGAGGAGAAGGAGACGGCCCTGCTGATAGACCGCTACAAGTACCTGGATCTGCTGCCCTGCTCGGAGCGGGAGCTGGAGTCCCTGGGCTACTGGGTAGGTTGTACTCTCTCTTCCACCCCTAGGATAATCCTCTTGTATGTCGGATGTGTGTGTGTCTGCAGGACCTGGTCAAGCCCCATGTTGTACTCTCTCTTCCACCCCTAGGATAATCCTCTTGTGTGTCGGATGTGTGTGTGTCTACAGGACCTGTCCAATCTCCATGTAGCACTAGATTAAGATAGTCCTCTTGTATGTCGGATGTGTGTGTGTCTACAGGACCTGTCCAATCTCCATGTAGCACTAGATTAAGATAGTCCTCTTGTATGTCGGATGTGTGTGTGTCTACAGGACCTGTCTAATCTCCATGTGGCACTAGATAGATAATCTTCTTGTATATCGGATGTGTTTGTGTGTGTCTACAGGACCTGTCCAGTCTCCATGTAGCACTAGATTAAGATAATGCTCTTGTATGTCGGATGTTTGTGTGTCTACAGGACCTGGCCAAACACCATGTTGCACTAGATTAAGATAATCCTCTTGTATGTCGGATGTTTGTGTGTCTACAGGACCTGGCCAAACACCACGTGGTTCAGATGCCACTGAGTGGTGTGAAGAAGGTGATGCGTCATATGAACTCCGACGATGAAGACTCTCGCAGACCACACTACCCAAAGCCAGATGTTGAACAGATGTTACCTTTCAAACCAAAGTCAATAGTTCGTAAGTGTCTACATATATGTCTGGGTATGGAGATATGTTGGCCTTGAGGTGATCGGGAAAATGAACCAACATCATGCTTCTGTAGCTATAGTGAAGACCAACCAGTGTCATACTACTGTAGCTATAGTGAAGACCAACCAATGTCATACTACTATAGCTATAGTGAAGACCAACCAACATCATGCTTCTGTAGCTATAGTGAAGACCAACCAGTGTCATACTACTGTAGCTATAGTGAAGACCAACCAGTGTCATACTACTATAGCTATAGTGAAGACCAACCAGTATCATACTACCGTAGCTATAGTGAAGACCAACCAGTGTCATACTACTATAGCTATAGTGAAGACCAACCAGTGTCATACTACTGTAGCTATAGTGAAGACCAACCAGTGTCATACTACTATAGCTATAGTGAAGACCAACCAGTGTCATACTACTGTAGCTATAGTGAAGACCAACCAATGTCATACTACTGTAGCTATAGTGAAGACCAACCAGTGTCATACTACTATAGCTATAGTGAAGACCAACCAATGTCATACTACTGTAGCTATAGTGAAGACCAACCAGTGTCATACTACCATGGCTATAGTGAAGACCAACCAGTGTCATACTACCATAGCTATAGTGAAGACCAACCAGTGTCATACTACCATAGCTATAGTGAAGACCAACCAGTGTCATACTACTGTAGCTATAGTGAAGACCAACCAGTGTCATACTACCATAGCTATAGTGAAGACCAACCAATGTCATACTACTGTAGCTATAGTAAAAACCAACCAATGTCATACTACCATAGCTATAGTGAAGACCAACCAGTGTCATACTACCATAGCTATAGTGAAGACCAACCAATGTCATACTACCATAACACCTGTGAAGATCCAGATTAAAATAAGTCTCCAGCAACCCATGCTTGTCGTAAAAGGCGACTATGCTTGCCATAAGCGACTAACGGGATCGGGTGGTACGGCTCGCTGACTTGGCTGATGCATGTCATCGTATCCTAATTGCGTGGATCGATACTCATGATGTGAATCACCGGATTGTCTGGTCCAGACTCGATTATTTACAGACTGCCATCATAAAGCTGGAATATTGCTGAGTGCAAACAAACACACTACCATAGCAATAGTGAAGCCCATGGTTCTGTATGGAATGGCCCAATATATTGTCCTATTTTAGTTTGTATATTTTTTTTATCAAATGTTGAGTTGAGCCTTTAATCAACCATCTTCCTTTCTGAGCCGTGTTCTTCTTTAAGTACACATTAGTTTCTCTCTTTGCAGCCATCGGTGCTCACCCAATACCAGGTGGGGTGTTCCCACCTCCCCCGGAGGCAGCTGACCTCATCTCCACGCTACCCCCACCTGACTGCTTCCATGTGAGTTGCCAGGGTTCACAATTAACATAGTCCATAGTTTTGTTCAGAAAGGACCAGTGACATTTCCTTGTGGACTACCACTTTTACCATGAGATAGATGGCTACTCTGTAGCAGGACTAGTGACATTTCCTTGTGGACTTTTACCATTAGGTAGATGGCCACTCTGTAGCAGGACCAGTGACATTTCCTTGTGGACTACCACTTTCACCATTAGGTAGATGGCCACTGTAGCAGGACCAGTGACATTTCCTTGTGGACTACCACTTTCACCATTAGATAGATGGCCACTCTGTAGCAGGACCAGTGACATTTCCTTGTGGACTACCACTTTAATCATTAGATAGATGGCCACTCTGTAGCAGGACCAGTGACATTTCCTTGTGGACTACCACTTTCACCATTAGATAGATGGCCACTGTAGCAGGACTAGTGACATTCCTGTGGACTACCACTTTTACCATTAGGTAGATGGCCACTCTGTAGCAGGACCAGTGACATTCCTTGTGGACTACCACTTTCACCATTAGGTAGATGGCCACTCTGTAGCAGGACTAGTGACATTCTTGTGGACTACCACTTTTACCATTAGATAGATGACAGCTCTGTAGCAGGACTAGTGGCATTTCCTTGTGGACTACCACTTTCACCAAGACCCCACTCAGACAGTTTACCGACGCCAGCCCTTCTTTCATCCCCTCAATGCCGAGAGCCAGCAAGAGTTACATACTATCTATTAACCACTTTTGGTATGACACAGCCAGAGATGTAACCACCACCCTCTGGGCAAACACTCCATCCACTACACGACGGAGAATGTCCAGCGGTATAAAGCAGAGATGTATTGACGATGTATTCTTAGTTATGTGTTATTTAATTTGATGTATTTTGTGACTATGGATATTTGTTTTGAGTTTCATGATACCCTCCTCTCCTTTCAGGGCCCATTTGTCGTCATTGATAAGTTCTTTGAACATATGAAGAAGTTGAAATTACCTGAAGGTGAGTGCTTTTTAGTGATCGCATTGATTTTTTTGTGATTTTTTTTTACAGAACTTCATTAAATTTATGAGTTTGGCACTCAGTTATACATTACTTCTAATGTTGTCTGCAAACGTCTTCATGAATCTAGCCTTGTCTGTATGCAGGTCTCATGTACAGGTCATGTAATCTAGCCTTGTCTGTACGCAGGTGTACAGGTCATGTAATCTAGTCTTGTCTGTATGCAGGTCTCTTGTACAGGTCATGTAATCTAGCCTTGTCTGTATGCAGGTCTCGTGTACAGGTCATGTAATCTAGCCTTGTCTGTATGCAGGTCTCGTGTACAGGTCATGTAATCTGGCCTTGTCTGTACGCAGGTGTACAGGTCATGTAATCTGGCCTTGTCTGTACGCAGGTGTACAGGTCATGTAATCTAGCCTTGTCTGTACGCAGTTGTACAGGTCATGTAATCTAGCCTTGTCTGTATGCAGGTCTCATGTACACATCATGTAATCTAGCCTTGTCTGTACGCAGGTGTACAGGTCATGTAATCTAGTCTTGTCTGTATGCAGGTCTCGTGTACAGGTCATGTAATCTAGCCTTGTCTGTATGCAGGTCTCGTGTGCAGGTCATGTAATCTAGCCTTGTCTGTATGCAGGTCTCGTGTACAGGTCATGTAATCTGGCCTTGTCTGTATGCAGGTGTACAGGTCATGTAATCTAGCCTTGTCTGTATGCAGGTCTCGTGTACAGGTCATGTAATCTGGCCTTGTCTGTACGCAGATGTACAGGTCATGTAATCTAGCCTTGTCTGTATGCAGGTCTCATGTACAGGTCATGTAATCTAGCCTTGTCTGTACGCAGGCGTACAGGTCATGTAATCTAGTCTTGTCTGTATGCAGGTGTACAGGTCATGTAATCTAGCCTTGTCCGTATGCAGGTCTCGTGTACAGGTCATGTAATCTAGCCTTGTCCGTATGCAGGTCTCGTGTACACATCATGTAATCTAGCCTTGTCTGTACGCAGGTCCTGTAGGGGTACACAATGGTGTGGATGGCCATGTCAAGATTGACGCAGGGACACAATTCTCCATCGACATTGCCAGCGGGATGCGCAAGCGGAAGTTGAATGATGAGGAGAGCGATGAGGAGCAACCCACCGAGATGACAGCCCCCGTCAACGACATCTACCGCAGTCGGCAGCAGAAGAAAGTCAAATAGTCCATGTAATCAGCTTCCAGTTCGGTGCACCCAGGACACTTGTCAACAACATGGTCGCTGGATCTGTCTAGTTGTCAGTGAAAAACACAAAGCATTTCAGATTTGTCTCCAGTTTCTTCATGATGATTGTATGCCAGCAAAACCACCGGCAGTAGGTCTGTTATCAAGCAATGGTTTGCCACTTGATTATCAACAGGCCGGCCACCTTGATTGTCCAGAGTATTTGTTACTGCAGTCTAAAACACCATTCGCTCAATCCACAAGTTTTGACGAATGAGAGTTTGGTTGTACTGAAGACTTTAAAGACTTTAAACTTTTCAATGGTGGGTTGTCTTCAGCCATTCATTTTCTTCTCCATTCAATGATTATTTTGCTACCTTTATTTCGAGTCTTGTATCATCAGTAGTTTAACTACCTCAGTGAACTGGAAGTAGAGACAAAGGACAGCCCCCTAATTGTGGTAGGAATCCAGTCCACAACAGCAACCTTGACCGTAAGTTAGTACTTTGCTGTTATAAGTATTGGATGCAGGACCGAAGCTATCCCACAATGCTGTCAAAGAAGGCTGGGTATTATACACGTCAAGTAGGGCTGTATTGGGAACCCTGGGTACTAGGCTTGGGTGGGTACTGGCTAGGACTGGGGTACCCACAGGACTATCTGGACCTGTGGCCACGTGATATATTATTTTATGGCAGAAATTCACTATAACTGCATAGTTACTCTACAAGTCAACAATGTTCGCATTTCTTTCTGACAATGCACGCTTTCTTTCTGACTTTTATATGATTGAATAAAATCAAAGCTTCAGTCAATTTCATTGAATGCGCGACCAGATTGTTTTTCTAACTACTTTTTGCCAACAATTTGGCCTTGTAAACAGGTGTGTATTGTTAACAAGGGCATATGTATGCCACCTGTATCTGAATGTCAATGTACCACTGGCACTTAGCAGCGATCTAGTTGTCATGGAGATGTTGTTAAGGAGACATGTTTGTTATGGGGATATGGTTGTCAGGGAGATGCGTTTGTAATGTTGACAGATTGTCAGGGAGATCTGGTTATCAACCTGATAGGTTGTCATGGAGATGCTGTTGTCAGGGAGACGGTGTTGCAATGTAGCTGCTGATGGTAGAGCAGCCTGTGTGTGATGTCATCATTGTTGTTGGACATTGAAAAGTGAGGGATATATACCGGGATATATAAGTTTTTGTCAATTCACTTTAAGCTGTTACATCAACATATGAAAATTATGACAAGTTTTTCTTCATATGTGCTCAACATATTTTAATATGGGAAATGGTGAGAGGTCAAACAAATAGTTTTCATCTTTATCAAAATTGTTTATCCCACCGTCACCACTCGCCCCTTTCCGTAACTGCAAGAAGACTCGTCCCCCTATCAATGAATGTTATGTGTAGAAATACGACAAACCAATCAGAATGCGTGTATGATTTCGAGTTCTTTGTCAAATAATCCCTCAGAAATAATTTTTGATTTTACACGTCTTGCATCTAAAAATATACCCAAGACACAGTTAAATGTGTTCAATCATACTGTATAATTCTGCACGTCCCGATGTGCTTTAAATTGCATCTGAAATATATATAATATATGGGGAAATATATGTGAACCATTACTCAACGAGTTGACAATTGTTTTAGGTACGTCCGTTTGCGCTAAGACAGAACCCAGTCGCAAAAATGTCCATGAGAGGGCCACGAGTAGCTATTCGGCTTGTCCCGGAATAACACAAGTTGGTCATGAATGTTGTTTCTCCTTCACCGAAAAGGGAGGTCACTCTAATAGGGGCTTCACAACTCTAATATGTACACAATGTGTTAGACAAGATCTGATCACACAAAAACACTTTTGAAGGAAGAACAAAAGTTGGAAGCCTTATAATGTTTTCCCACCTACTGACAAGAAGAAAAATCCATGTACCGAGAAATAACAATCATAGTGAACAATAAGACAATACTTTGTCAGATGGTGTATGTCAGACGACGGATTGTTCCCCATGTTGGATGAACCCAAGTTACCATATTCAATGTTATAATTAAATGAAATAGGAAGAAAATAGATACCATACATTTCCTGATATGAAATTTCTTGACAAAACATGAATTCTTTGTGATAGTGCAGTGCTCAAAGTAACCCGGTTTAGCCGGTGTGTTAGGGGAGATAATCCATGTTCCTGTCATGTCAGTATTGATGTTCCTGTACTCCATATAGACTGAGCATTCACAGATGCACACCCAGTGTCACAGCTGGCTGAATAGATGTCTGTTAGACACACCTAGACTGTGGATCATTGCTCATGCTGTCAACCACTTCTTGATCCAGACTTGATTATTTGCAGGTCGCTGGAATAATCTGGGTTGTAAAACAACATGCATTCACTCATCTCAGCGTGTAGTTGACAAGTTAGCTTCACAGAGTCGGTAGATCTTTATAGGACTGCCATCTATGTCATACCTTTCTCTCAATTTGTATATATGTAAAAGTGTTATGACATGTTGGTAAGATTTTCTATTAGAAGATGAAGATTTCATTCATGCATTTATTTCATCTGAAATATTTTATTTGATTCTTCACACGATCCCTTATTGACTTCATTGTGGGATTTGTGAACCAGCCAGTAGCCATGGTAACTGTTTGTAAATATGTCGTGGTGATATTAGTCATGATAGTGCATATTGTATTATATTATCTAGACATGTTTTAAAATGATATTGATGGCTACTTGTATGATGTCTTGACTAAGTCAAATAAAGTATTTTGACACAAATTATGTTCGTCTTATTATTAAGATCTCTGTGGGGATTTCCAGGGTAGAATAGCCACCGTTGCTGAAATGATTGTGTCATCATAACCCCATAACATCGTAGGAGTGAGTGAGTGAGTATGGTTTTATGCCGTTTTTTGCAAATTTCCAACAATATCACAGCGAGGGACACCACAATTAGGCTTCACACATTGCACCCATGTGGGGATTTGAACCTGGGTCTTCGTCATGACAAACGAACGCTTTAACCACTAGGCTAGCTCACCGCCCCGACATCAAGGGATCATTTATTGCTCGTACAGGTCTCAAGATGTTTACCACTTTAGTGGAATACACGAGCACGGGTATGGTGCTGACAAACCTTGAAACATAATCAGAGCAAAGCTGGGATTCAATCCCATGATCATAAGTTGATGGCATGCCTAAGGGAAGCAACTCCACCTGCCATGATATACATGTACCTGAAATTATGTTGTAGTCAACCCTCATGTGAAGACCTTAGGATCATAAGTAAAACTGTCCTTTTCACTAGTTTATCACTTAGAGTAGCCATTGTACATCTAAATAGTGCATTAATATCATACCATTCATATAGTATTGTCCGATAATCATGGTGAGAAGTTAGCAATTCTGTCCAAGAAGGGCCTGAGTCCAGGGAATTATTTCTAGAAACATGTCAAATTTCTCCAATTTGAGCAACATTCAAATGTAAAAACAGTCCTCAATAGAAAGCTTATGTTGCTTGGCACCTGTTGAATAAACAAATTCTGACTGGGTCTTTCTACACCTACGGGTATGTGCAGGAGTTAGACCATCTTCTCATCTGTTGACCACAACACCATGCAGACATTAAAGATACAAATGTTAACCCTCATTGACTGCGTAATGTCATTGGATTGTCTGGTCCCGAATTATTTGCATGCTACCATCATATAGCTTGACTATAGCTGTCAACATTAAATACAAGTTATTTAGTGACAAGCTTTTTGTATTGTTAGCTGTTTAATGCAAGACGGCTATATATCAACAATACTTTGGGTAATCGATGTCGGAGAAAATTACTGAGTAAAAAAATAAACCACTGCAATGACAAACCTTTTAATAAATATACAAGTACATGTTTTAATGGAAATGAACATAATTATATCATGGATGATATTTCTGCGTGATGGTAATGCAGATCCTCACACTCTCCATGCAGAGCGTGAAATAGGTTCATGAGCTATGTACAAGAGTTGAGGACCTCATCATTTGGTCGCAGCATATTTGATCTCATCGAAAGCTTTCCTGGCCTTCCTCAATTCCTCACTCATAAGGAGCAGTTCCTTGACCCTGGAGTACTTCTTGGGGTCCTTTCTGATGAGGAATATGATATCCTCCACTTGTATCCTGCCAGGACGGCCAGTCTCCATCGCCTTCTTTGTCTGAAATATAGGCGGAGATTAGCTGCGATATCGTAGCTATGTACTGCTCCAATATTACTAATCTAATCGTCACTAATACATCACCATGAATACTTTATGATGTTCTGGCAGAGTCTGATGCTGACTTTGCACCAGCCTTCACAAGTTGTTAGAGTGCACAATAAGGAATATTGTGAAAAAAATCGTAAGGGAATATCTGGGGTTTGAAAACAGAACTATTACATCCTGGAATGGCTGACAGGTTGCAAATCTCACCATCTCTGGGATGTACTCGATGACCAGATCTTCCAGGAGGTCCACTGACTCGGTGTAAGGATTCTGGTCATCTCCAAACCCATACATCATACAGCGCACTGGAACAATCAAATCATTACATCATACAGCGCACTGGAACAATCAAATCATTACATCATACAGCACACTGGAACAATCAAATCATTACATCATACAGCGCACTGAAACAATCAAATCATTACATCATACAGCGCACTGGAACAATCAAATCATTACATCATACAGCGCACTGAAACAATCAAATCATTACATCATACAGCGCACTGGAACAATCAAATCATATAGCGCACTGGAATAATCAAATCATTACATCATACAGCGCAATGGAACAATCAAATCATTACATCATACAGCGCACTGGAACAATCAAATCATTACATCATACAGCGCACTGGAACAATCAAATCATTACATCATACAGCGCACTGGAACAATCAAATCATTACATCATACAGCGCACTGGAACAATCAAATCATTACATCATACAGCGCACTGGAACAATCAAATCAAAGTCATACAGCGCACTGGAACAATCAAATCATTACATCATACAGCGCACTGGAATAATCAAATCATATAGCGCACTGGAATAATCAAATCATTACATCATACAGCGCACTGGAACAATCAAATCATATAGCGCACTGGAATAATCAAATCAAAGTCATACAGCGCACTGGAACAATCAAATCATTACATCATACAGCGCACTGGAACAATCAAATCATTACATCATACAGCGCACTGGAACAATCAAATCATATAGCGCACTGGAATAATCAAATCATTACATCATACAGCGCAATGGAACAATCAAATCATTACATCATACAGCGCACTGGAACAATCAAATCATTACATCATACAGCGCACTGAAACAATCAAATCATTACATCATACAGCGCACTGAAACAATCAAATCATTACATCATACAGCGCACTGGAACAATCAAATCATTACATCATACAGCGCACTGGAACAATCAAATCATATAGCGCACTGGAATAATCAAATCATTACATCATACAGCGCACTGGAACAATCAAATCATACAGCGCACTGGAATAATCAAATCATTACATCATTCAGCGCACTGGAACAATCAAATCAAAGTCATACAGCGCACTGGAACAATCAAATCATTACATCATACAGCGCACTGGAACAATCAAATCATTACATCATACAGCGCACTGGAACAATCAAATCATTACATCATACAGCGCACTGGAACAATCAAATCATATAGCGCACTGGAATAATCAAATCATTACATCATACAGCGCACTGGAACAATCAAATCATACAGCGCACTGGAATAATCAAATCATTACATCATATAGCGCACTGGAACAATCAAATCAAAGTCATACAGCGCACTGGAACAATCAAATCATATAGCGCACTGGAATAATCAAATCATTACATCATACAGCGCACTGGAACAATCAAATCATTACATCATACAGCGCACTGGAACAATCAAATCATTACATCATACAGCGCACTGGAACAATCAAATCATATAGCGCACTGGAATAATCAAATCATTACATCATACAGCGCACTGGAACAATCAAATCATACAGCGCACTGGAATAATCAAATCATTACATCATTCAGCGCACTGGAACAATCAAATCAAAGTCATACAGTGCTATTCTATTCTGAAGACGCACCCATCAACTTGGGGCTGTCCCTAGCCCTTGACTTTGAAGTGTTTGGGAATAATTATGAAGTTTCAATCTCATTTCCAACACATTCTTGTATTTGTAACACCATAGACATGATAAACTCACATTCTTTTGAAAATATTTTCTTCCTTTTTTCAAGTGGTGTATCTTCCTCAACATCCTCCTCTTCAAACTGTAAACATATGTAGATAGTTGTCAGCATCCTCTGTTTACATGACATTCATCATATTTCTGCACCATCAGTTATCTATCCTGTTCATCACTCAAATTATATCACGATTGGTCAGTTTTGCCTTTTGCACAACAAAGATTACTAAGTGCTAAGGAAGCACCTTATCTGTAAGCCATAAATATTCTATATTAATTCAGTTTAATGAAAGTAAGAGCTCTTTAGTTGGACAACATGTCAAACATGCTCCAACTTACCCCATGGTATTTAGCTCTGTGGTGTTATAGATACCAAATCTTACCTATCTCTGATTTACATGTATTTGCTCTCGTGAAAATGACATCACAATTCAAAGTGAACAGTAAATTATGTTTTGTGATTACAGCAATAGAAACAAAGTGTTCTAGTCCACCAGTCCTTATAATGATAACATATAGAAAACCCCTTAAAATGGCACATTTCTACGAGTCCTTATGATACCTTAACTATTGGGCAGTTTGGCAAGGACTACAAGACTAGTGCGAATTTCTAATGCTGGATTAGATAGTTATAGCATGTATTCGGATGTGTTATTCCTCCCTCCTATCACTGGGCCTCTGAGCTGATATCTCCAGCTATTCAAACATGCTATTATTCTAAAACTCAGCGCTGAACATATAAATTATGATTCCAGCTCATGATATTAACATGTCAATATTAGATCTTCATGTATGTGAGCAAGTTCTTAGTTTAACAACATGCTGCTTGAGCAAACGGTCCTGTTCCTGACATTATTTCATCCAATCAAAGGGAGCATCAAACTCCTCACGTGATGACTGAAAGGACAATGTGATCACATCCATCTCTGTTGATGCCTTACAATAAACATACCTCTGCACCTGGCTCCTTCTCACTCTCGGCCATTTCTAAGTAGTGGGCAGTTCTCTGAAAGAAACCAATAAATTAATATTAAACTATGTACAAGATTAGATGCATGTGAAATGATTTTGTTCAAACTCAAATTCAGGCTGTTTCATTCAGTGTTTGTTCGTATTATTAAGAGACCATGGGCCTATAGTACATGTAATACCAATGGGTGTATAAAAAATCATAAAGTAACACATTCGTAACGTCTCAGGTTATTAGCCAGCAATACATACACTGACAGTTTTTTGTTATTCCTACATTGTTACCTGACATTTAACCAAACAAATTTCTGTATACTCGAATAATGGATAAAATATTTATCAATGAACTGTTTCCTGAGTTCAACACACAACGGACATATTAGTCAGAAATGATATTCATTTTCTTCCAGAGCTCCAGATAAGCTGCGTATCTGCGTAAAATACGCATCAGAAATGCAGAAATACGCACTGAGATAAAATTCAAGCGTATCAAATACGCAAGGAACATTACAGATACACTACAAAAATAAAACTTGTGCGTATCAACAAAATATTGTGAAGTAACCCTGCGTATTCGATTAGCAAATCAAACTTATTTTGAAATTATATGCGGACATTCCGTCAACCTTGCCAAACTCCACGATGACAGTTACATCATGATCATTTGCCACACACTCTCTTGTGGAAGTATCGCGGTATTTTTGAGTCCTATAAACATGATAAAGCTCTCGAACCCACACGACAACAGTTTGCAGGGACTATATGAAGTGTTTTTAAATATTTAACTTAAATACCCACATGTGTAAAAACTAGTGGGTAACAGAAATTTGAATACCCAGATAGAATTACTGATACCCAATGATTTTAAAATGCATGAGTAAAATACCCACAACACCAAAAGCTTATCTAGAGCTCTGTCTAGAGTCCTTAAATCACAAAACTGACAAATTCTATGTTCTCTTCAGATCCCAGTATGTCTTTCCCTCTCAGTGAAGAGTGAGTGAGTGAGTATGATTTTATGAGTATCAATATTCCAGCAATATCACGGCAGGGGACACCAAAAATGACCTTCACACATTGTATCCATGTTGGGAATTGAACCCGAGTCTTCAGCGTGACGAGCAAACACTTTAACCACTAGGCTACCCGACCGCCCTCTCGCTGAAGAGTTCATGTAAGCTTCATCTGAATTTTGGAAGTGCTATTGGAATTTGTTTTAGTGTTAAATAAATATTGCTCTCAACACAAACTGTTTTTAAAAAGGGAATCAGTGATAGTTTACTGGACTGTGTTACTAGCAACAGCACATGAAAATATACAAGCCGTGTAACAATGGTGGTTAAAAGCACATTTCCCGGTTTCAATGAATAACCACTTAATTATTAAAACAGACAAATTCTTAAATGATTGTGTTGAAGAAACAATAACATAAAACTGGGTCCTGCTTCACCCAATAATCCAGACTTCAGTTTATGATAATATGGATAAATGAGGATACCTATTACGTCATCAATATGGATATATATTGTAAACAGCGTGAAGCGTGTGCTGTTTAGATGGAAACACAGTCCATCCAAATACCTCAAGATAGGGCATATAATTTATGCAATTACGTATCAATTCGTCTTCGACTGGATCAGAAAATATTGATATACACGGGTTCTATTGCGATACATGTTTATTGGTTTATCATGCACCCCTAGTTTCCCATGTTATCATATTGATGCACATGATACATGTCTGCTGTTATACATGATCCCCACGGTTAGACTGCATTTACAGTTAGAAAACAATGTAATCATCATCAGTTAAGATGCTTTCTTTTCTTTATTAGGGCTGTAAACTAAAAGACAAATTGATTTCGGGACTTTTGGGGAAACTCTTTTCCTGTTGTCTTTTCTAAGTTAAAACCCCATAAACAATTGAACAAGGACTAATATAAGGTAGAAAATTACACCATTTCAGTTGTTTTCTACTTGTTTGCCTAAAAAGACAATCAGACAACAAGGTAAATTTAGATTGACATTACAAACTAACCAGAAAACAAAATATTATTTTAGTATGGTTGGTCTGGCAGTTCCAGACCATTGACATTTAGAGGAACGTGTTGATTTTACCAAAATCTAGTTACCCAATACATCTTTTTTACTTAATCCACAAGTTTGAAATGAGCTATGGACTAGCTGGACCAATTTTAACTTCTTCAAGTGGGACTTAGAAGTTGGTTTGAAGAAGGGAGATAGTTCTATGGATATACAACTTCTTCAATCAGTCAATCAATTCGTATAAGGCCTTAGGCAATGTTTCTTGCTTGATAACAGTGTAAGAATGGTTAGTATCTACACCGAAACATCGCATTCATTGTAATATAGAAGTTGTATATCCATAGAACTATCTCCCTTTTTCATTACCAATGATGTCTACACCTGCTCCCAAAGTGTCATGCTATTTTCTAAAGATGAATGACATAGCATAATCAAATTATTCTATATCATAACTATCTTCCCGAGGCAAGAGAGTTAACTGACTTTATAAGTCCAGTTTCCACCCTTGCCGAACTAGGCTGGAATTCCTGGGCTCGATCGTAGTGCCACCAGTGGCTATTACGAGTTTTGTCCCTTCTATGCCTCTCCTATGGACCAATCAGATTCCACCGCTCGTATTTGCTTCAAACAAAATGGCGGTCGATCAAGACGATCTGATCGATAATCAAGATCTATATTGTAATAAAACAGGTCTTCATCCCAAAGTGCATCAAATCATGTGAGTACCTGGATTAAGAACATGAAAAGATTTGGAAAATTTCTTTTGACAACGAGCATGTGACGAGTTGGCTGTGCACGTTTTCCAAATCTTGCAATCGACCGAAATCTGCATGACAGTTTACAAACCGGATTTCGATTTTGTTGTGCGATTGTGATTGGACTATGCATAGACTCGTTAGTCCAGCCAAACTAACTCCATAATACCAGCCTAGTTCGGCAAGGGTGGAAACTGGACTTTTATAGTCAGTTAACTCTCTTGCCTCGGGAAGATGTATCATAACATGAACTTGATGATGAAGTGATAAAGCCTGAAACGCACACAAGATCATCAAAGATACAGCGTTTCAGGATTACAATTCATGCCAAATCATGATAACATGGCAGCGTCTTAGACCTCATTTATGACATGTTTTATTGTTGTGACAAGAGTCATTACAAGCTTCACCGCATCTATGACATCAATGTACTCAAAGTTCATTGCAAGATGTTAATATTCTATCATGATAACACCATGTATTAAACATGATGAATGTGACATAGATAGGCCTAATGTGTCATGTGTGTTGAACATTGCGAGAAACACCTAATCAGCAAATCTATATAAATGCGCCATAATTAAGCTAAAAAGATGGACTGATCATTGACGAAATAAGAATTATGCTGGTTTGTCTTTGAAAAAAAATCACGATTTCATCCATATTTCTTCATGAAGATGCCTTACTTCGCCTATGTGAATATTGTTGTAAAGAGAAACGCTACAGAAATATTACTTTCAGTCAGCTATCTGGGAACATGTACAAAATATTCACAATAAATACAGAATTTCAAAGACAAATACCTGTACCCCAAGCACCTGCTACCGGAAGTTGCTTAAATGCGGACAGATCATAATATTCTCCACATTCGCCGCCAGAGGGCATTTTCGATATTGGAATGGTTTATCTGCCATAGAGCGCTTGCGCTCATCGCGTAACTTTGTGCATTCGCTAGTACGACAGGGTACCAGTCTATTTTCGACATTTATCTATATGCGCTTAGCCTCTATCAGCTGACGATAAACAAATGATATAATATATTAAATCGATTTAATAACACCGATGAATACTTTAATCATGCAGCAAGGAAGAAAAGGATATTGCACATTTTGTTTCGCGAATCTGTGGGTGTTCCAGTACGGTGTGTATCCGGTTAACTCAGTTCCCAAGGGACGTAACTCTGAACAACCTTTGCTGAAACACGGCTTACGAAACGTGAGTTGCAAGGACGAAGTTGGCTGTGTGATATCATATATAGCTCAACAATGCCAGACGAAAAAGGTGGAGAAAAGAAACTGAAGCCATGCTGCGCTTGCCCAGAGACCAAGAAAGTTCGAGATCAATGGTAGGTTTGATTCACTCAGCCATGATGTATCGTTAGACATTTATTACAGTTTAAGTCATTTGCCCTTGATATGTACGGTGGACACTAATGCCAGTGAAATATATATCTACGTACATGTGAACGTTTTTCATTAACGCCAGATTTTACCAGAGAGAATGTTTGTCTTGGAGATCCACGGTGGAGTCGTATTTAGTCTTTCACGGGTGAAGTTAAGTTATTTTATGTCAGTGTGGATAAGTTAGCCTGTCGTCTTTATTACACTGACATCCTTCGAACGAGGATGGATATTCGTGTAGTTCCGTGTTTTAGAGAATTATCTAGTATTTTAAACACTCTCATTGTAAGTTCCCATGTCAGGCAAATTGGTGAAAGTGTGTTATTTTGTTCCTTCCCCAAAATATATAATTACATTACTTGGTTGTAGTCACTCCAGCTTGATAAACAGCATGAGAATCTATATCAAAGCGTTGCAAAATGCAATAAAGCAGAAGTTGTTTTCAATAAAGTTGTATGTTTTCTTATTAATCATTTCATGATAAGCATGGCGTTATCAGTGATTAAGACATATTTTCTTTAGGCCAGAAATGCTTTATAGCTTGGATTCAGTGTAAAATAAACATGCTTTGTCATTGTATTCAGGGTACAAAAAAATAATATTATCTTTTTCTTGATCACTAGTGCTAGTAGAATCACTTTATCTCTGTCATGTTGAGTAATTAGTACACAAGTAAAAGGCTTATAGCTAGCTGATTCAGTATCAATTAATGTCTTTATTTTTTGCAGCATAATTGAGAAGGGAGAAGATCAGTGTGGGAATCTGATTGAGAAACACAAAGAATGTATGAGAAGCCTTGGTTTTAAAATCTGACGAAGGTGAGAATGAGATGACTAGAAATAAAAGCACTTTATAATACCAGATTCCATTTTTAGCTCACCAGAACCGAAGGTCCAAATGTGAACTTATTGTGCTTATTATAGGCTGTTGTCTGTTCATACAGACATCTGATCAGAATTGGCTGGAGGAGTGTGCCTGAATGTTTAACATGTTTAAGGGATATCTAGATCTAGCTCTGTAATGTTAGGACACAAAATTGTTGAAGGGATTAAGATAAAACAAATGAACATGGTGAAGTTTTGGATTTTTTTATGGACTAAAAAAGTATTGCTATCTTTGTAAAATTGATAAAACTATATTCAGTCATGAAAAATGTTTAAACATCGTCATCGCAAACACACAATTGCTAAGAAATGATATTTTGGTGGGATATGCAGCACTGCACATGCTAAGATCATGTATTGAGAATAAGACTTTTTTCTTAAAATTAAAATGGCATACAGTCAAGTAATGATGTGTCGAACTTTGATGTGTCAAACTTATGGTTGTCTCGTAGTAAAAGCTTGGTCCCTGGGTGTTCATTCTTTATTCATCATTTTTGGTTGTGTCAAAACTTGGATAACTCAAAGTATTTACGTTGGTCCCTTCAACTTCAACACAACAGTGTATGACTGTATTTGTTTTAGAATATTACAATGGTCAGGCTGAATGTTTGTTGTTAAACAGCATTCAGCAGTATTCAAGCTATCAGACAGTGGCCTGTAAATAATGAAGTCTGACCAGACAATGCAGTGATTGATAGTATGAGCAACAGTGCCAACTATCCTTTCTGTCAGTGTATGATATCAACCAAGTCTGACATAGGAAGTTGGGGACCTATGCTGGGGATCGCTTAATCTATATGAAAACTCAAGTGTCTTACAGGCCCTTTCATATGCACTCATTAATGTCATGTGAAGTTTCAAGAATTTTACAATGGGTCATACTGTCATAAGGACCACATTAAACAACCAATAAGCTGCCACGCTTTCTTTTGGCCTTTTTTGAAAATTGGTTTACAGGTCCTCCGACCGAAAATAATGAGAAAATGGAATAAAATTAAATTTATCATTTTTTACAAGTGTTTTTTTATCCCAACAGCAGTGGTGACCCAAAAAACATTTGTTTTACAGCAAAAAGCTTTCTAGAATGTTGCAACGCAGTAACGAGATGACTTTGCCATCAAACTTTGCTTCTGTGCAGAAGGAATCGCTTCTGCAATGATTTATATGACAATGCAGTGTTGACTGTAAGGGTCAGTAACTCCCGCCATATCCGGGAACATTGCCTTGTCATGTTGGAATTTTTAATATTTTTTTCCTTACCAAACCAATTTTTGGGGGTAAAAATCTGTAAACCAACAAAAGATGACCTTACTAAGTGGCTAAAGATTTCACTATATTGTACAACATTCAGCTCAGCAACAGTTCCTTGGTGCCATTGTTTTTTATTGTTGCTCCCTGACTATTTGTTGTTGACTTATCATTTGGGTAAATATAGCCACAATTCAGTTATTAAGTGGCAGTATGCCCAAAAGCCTTGAACAATACACCTACTGCGAAACAAACTTAAGAAAAATGTGTGTGAACCCCCATCATGGGTCAGTGGGCTTTGCAGGTGAAGCAGAAGAATCCATTTCTTCTGATCAGGGAGAAGGAATGTGACGCTGTGCACATGGACTTCATGTTCTGTGTATATTTCACAATGCGTCAACTCAACACATGCTCTGTCGCTGTTCACAATAGTGGATTGATTGGAAAGGATTAGCTCTGTTCAATTGATGCATAGCAATCTTCCTGTGAAGATCCGGGGTAGAATAGGTCTTCAGCAACCCATGCTTGCTGTAAAAGGCGACTATGCTTGTCGTAAGAGGCGACTTACGGGATCGGGTGGTCAGGCTCACTGACTTGGTTGATGCATGTCATCTTATCCCAGTTGCGTGGATTGATGCTCAAGATGTCAATCACCGGATGGTCTGGTCCAGACTCGATTATTTGCAGACCCCCCGTCATCATGGTCATATAGCTGGAATATTGCTGAGTGCGGCGTTAAACAACAAACCAACAAACAAACAAATATAGCAATCAGATTTGTTTGTCCCACAGAAATCATCTTCAGAAATATTTGTAATGTCAGACTCTCAATTAGGACCACAATGCTGAAAGATGTTTAACCATGTTTTACCTGTTAACTATTAATAAAAGTTTTTAAATATAATTTTTGTTTCAGTGCCAGTTTTGCGTGTCTGTTCATCGGAAGCTAGTGAGTGAACAAGGCCATTGGTCAGGAAGGGACTCCAGTTCTCATTCTGGAGATGGCAAATCATATTGTTTTTTATCTGTTTACAATTTGTTTGTCTGAATCATATTTGTAAATAAACGCCCTCCACATGAATCTCAAGACTTGTGTTGGTTGCTGATAATGTAATCTAAGGCATTTTGTTCTGTAACCGTGACAATGGTCAGAGTGCTTGAATCATGTCTTCCACTGAAACAAAATTTACACTGAATCTATCTTTTAGGGATAAAGAAAACAAAAAAGAGAAATATTGCTAATGCTAGTAGGCCTATGTGTTGGCCAAAAAGTTGTGATACAGGTATTTGTATCGTGATACTTATTGCGATATATATTGGGAGCTGAAGTGTTTGATACTGATTGTACAGGTCATATTTATGTACACATTAAAGTACCGTATTCGACGTATCAAGCACCCAGGACGCTCTCAAAATTAAAAATAGTGGGCTCTTATTAGAATAAAATTTTGGTGAGAAAACACAGAGTTGAAAGATCCTAAATTTTGCGGTTAATGCTGACAGCCTGTAATGATACAAAAGAAAAGTCTGTGCGTACGCCACAGATATATTTTCCTGAATTTAATTGCCCATAATTAAGGGTGCATATAACACACGAGTGCGTATTATACACGAATAAATAAATCTTGTGTACATTGATCAATCAGAAGGAATTGTGATTGTACACCAGCCAGTATAATGGCAAATATTGCCGTTGGCGTTTATTAGAGCAGGGCGCTTATTACGTCGAATACGGTATATATTATGATGTCAAAGTCAGCATGATCAGTCATTACCATTTTGAAGTCATGGATACAGGGGAGATAACATGAGAGAAAACTCATCTCCACGTTTCCACCCTTCTGTAAATCAATTTCAAAATTTGCATTCACTGATGCACGACACAATAGGGAAGTAATTGTTGAAGCTCACAATTCACAGCCTGATTCTGTCTAATGGTAGAGCATCCGTCGGTCAGGGGTTTGATCCCCAGCCACATCATATCAAAATACGTTAAAAGATGGTACTTGTTGTTACCCTGCCTGGTACACGGCACTAGGGGATAAAACAAGGACTGGTCAGTTTACTGTGTCTGAGGGTATTCTGTGGCATGTATCTCCGCGGGCTAGCACTATGAAATTGGCATTAGTCCGGACGAGGACAAGCAGTCATGTGCATGCACATTGCATTATTATGCGTGCAATAATCTTGGACGTGACGTGACGTTATACTTCATTTCGCCTTTACCTCACAATTCACTTTCACTGACCCACAACACAGTGGGAAAGTGCTTGTTGAACCTCACAATCCTCATTCACTGACACACGACACGATAGGGAAGTGCTTGTTGAACTTCACAATTCACAATTTGTATGGCCAACGTAATACATGTATTGCTGAAAGCTGTCTGAGGCTGAACAATCTTGCATAGCATCTGTGGAGCACCACTGTACAGTGTATGGGTGTATGCAGCATCTGTGGAGCACCACTGTACAGTGTATGGGTGTATGCAGCATCTGTGGAGCACCACTGTACAGTGCATGGGTGTATGCAGCATCTGTGGAGCACCACTGTACAGTGTATAGGTGTATACAGCATCTGTGGAGCACCACTGTACAGTGTATGGGTGTATACAGCATCTGTATCTGTAGAGTGGTGCTCCACAGATGCTGCATACACCCATACACTGTACAGTGGTGCTCCACAGATGCTGCATACACCCATACACTGTACAGTGGTGCTCCACAGATGCTGCATACACCCATACACTGTACAGTGGTGCTCCACAGATGCTGCATACGCTGTAGTGGTGCTCTACAGATGCTGCATACACTGTACAGTGGTGCTCCACAGATGCTGCATACACCCATACACTGTACAGTGGTGCTCCACAGATGCTGTATACACCTATACACTGTACAGTGGTGCTCCACAGATGCTGCATACACTGTACAGTGGTGCTCCACAGATGCTGCATACACTGTACAGTGGTGCTCCACAGATGCTGCATACACCCATGCACTGTACAGTGGTGCTCCACAGATGCTGCATACACCAATACGCTGTAGAGTGGTGCTCCACAGATGCTGCATACACCCATACGCTGTACAGTGGTGCTCCACAGATGCTGCATACACCCATATGCTGTACAGTGGTGCTCCACAGATGCTGCATACACCCATACACTGTACAGTGGTGCTCCACAGATGCTGCATACACCCATACACTGTACAGTTGTGCTCCACAGATGCTGCATACACCCATACACTGTACAGTGGTGCTCCACAGATGCTGCATACGTTGTACAGTGGTGCTCCACAGATGCTGCATACGCTGTACAGTGGTGCTCTACAGATGCTGCATACACTGTACAGTGGTGCTCCACAGATGCTGCATACGCTGTACAGTGGTGCTCTACAGATGCTGCATACACTGTACAGTGGTGCTCCACAGATGCTGCATACACTGTACAGTGGTGCTCCACAGATGCTGCATACACCCATACACTGTACAGTGGTGCTCCACAGATGCTGCATACACCCATACGCTGTACAGTGGTGCTCCACAGATGCTGCATACACCCATACGCTGTACAGTGGTGATCCACAGATGCTGCATACACCCATATGCTGTACAGTGGTGCTCCACAGATGCTGCATACACCCATACACTGTACAGTGGTGCTCCACAGATGCTGCATACACCCATACGCTGTACAGTGGTGCTCCACAGATGCTGCATACGCTGTACAGTGGTGCTCCACAGATGCTGCATACGCTGTACAGTGGTGCTCTACAGATGCTGCATACACTGTACAGTGGTGCTCCACAGATGCTGCATACGCTGTACAGTGGTGCTCCACAGATGCTGCATACACCCATACACTGTACAGTGGTGCTCCACAGATGCTGTATACACCCATACACTGTACAGTGGTGCTCCACAGATGCTGTATACACCTATACACTGTACAGTGGTGCTCCACAGATGCTGCATACACCCATGCACTGTACAGTGGTGCTCCACAGATGCTGCATACGCTGTACAGTGGTGCTCCACAGATGCTGCATACTCTGTACAGTGGTGCTCCACAGATGCTGCATATGCTGTACAGTGATGCTCCACAGATGCTGCATATGCTGTACAGTGGTGCTCCACAGATGCTGCATATGCTGTACAGTGATGCTCCACAGATGCTGCATATGCTGTACAGTGGTGCTCCACAGATGCTGCATACACTGTACAGTGGTGCTGCATACACTGTACAGTGATGCTCCACAGATACTGCATACGCTGTACAGTGGTGCTCCACAGATGCTGCATATGCTGTACAGTGATGCTCCACAGATGCTGCATATGCTGTACAGTGGTGCTCCACAGATGCTGCATACGCTGTACAGTGGTGCTCCACAGATGCTGCATACGCTGTACAGTGGTGCTCCACAGATGCTGCATATGCTGTACAGTGGTGCTCCACAGATGCTGCATACTGTACAGTGGTGCTCCACAGATGCTGCATACTCCCATACACTGTACAGTGGTGCTCCACAGATGCTGCATACTCCCATACACTGTATGGTGGTGCTCCACAGATGCTGCATACACTGTACAGTGGTGCTCCACAGAGGCTGCATACACTGTACAGTGGTGCTCCACAGATGCTGCATACTCCCATACACTGTACAGTGGTGCTCCACAGAGGCTGCATACTCCCATACACTGTACAGTGGTGCCCCACAGATGCTGCATACACCCATACACTACAGTGGTGCTCCACAGATGCTGCATACACTGTATGGTGGTGCTCCACAGAGGCTGCATACACTGTACAGTGGAGCTCCACAGATGCTGCATACTCCCATACACTGTACAGTGGTGCTCCACAGATGCTGCATACACTGTACGGTGGTGCTCCACAGATGCTGCATACACTGTACAGTTGTGCTCCACAGATGCTGCATACACCCATACACTGTACAGTTGTGCTCCACAGATGCTGCATACACCCATACACTGTACAGTGGTGCTCCACAGATGCTGCATACGCTGTACAGTGGTGCTCCACAGATGCTGCATACACTGTACAGTGGTGCTCTACAGATGCTGCATACACTGTACACTGGTGCTCCACAGATGCTGCATATGCTGTACAGTGGTGCAGAGTATGCAGCATCTGTGGAGCATCACTGTACAGCATATGCAGCATCTGTGGAGCACCACTGTACAGAGTATGCAGCATCTGTGGAGCATCACTGTACAGCATATGCAGCATCTGTGGAGCATCACTGTACAGCGTATGCAGCATCTGTGTACAGAGTATGCATCTGTGGAGCACTGTGTATAGTCTAAGGGATATATACAGCATCTGTGGAGCACTGTATATTGTAAGGGATATATGCAGCATGAATGGGTACAGTGTAAGGAGTGTTGGTAAAATCAGCAATTTAAGAAAAATTGACAACATTAAATATAGATAGGTACCTCAAGGTTTTTATTTACAAATGTTGGAGTATGTACAGTAAAAATAAATCTACATATCAAACAGGAACATGTATACTGAGAAGGTTTTGGAAAGTTGTTCAAGACATGTTGCTTCCATCACTTTGACACAGCACATCCAAAACAGGAAATGGTATTGTTTGTATAACTTAGTTGAAACCGCATTTACATGTTTAGTAGATGACTTCGTATTTGACGTAAATGACCCAAAATTAATGTATTTCTTTAATAAATCTCTTTCCCACCCATGAAAGTGACATGTTTAGTGTAAGAGCGCAGCCTTGACGAGATCCTTCTTGTCGGGTGTGAGAGACTGGGGAAACACTATGTCAAAGTCTATGATGAGATCCCCACGCTCTGATGGGTCTGTTGAGATGGGCATGCCCTCGTCTGGAACTACTTTTTTGTAGCCCGGTCTGAAACAGACATATAAAACATATTATTTCCTTCCTAGGTGGGTGTGTCTCCATGTATACAGAAATTATGAGCATAATGAAAATATTACCCGACATATTTTATGAAATTGTCGATATTTATAACCATAAACAGAAACATTATATTACAATTAGTCTAGGGTTGTTTCCAAAAGTGATCTTGGTACTACAGCTATTGTCGGTTCGAGTAGAGATACCATCACTGTGGTAGGAGGAGAAGATCTCATTATCCAGAACAGCCAGAAACATTGGGCAGTACTTACTTGACAATGTCATTGATAGGAATGTGGAGAATACTCTCATCCAGGGTGCGGATCTCCACAGAACAGCCAGAAACATTGGGCAGTACTTACTTGACAATGTCATTGATAGGAATGTGGAGGATTCTCTCATCCAGGGTGTGGATGTCCACAGAACAGCCAGAAACAGTGGGCAGTACTTACTTGACAATGTCATTGATAGGAATGTGGAGGATTCTCTCATCCAGGGTGTGGATCTCCACAGAACAGCCAGAAACATTGGGCAGTACTTACTTGACAATGTCATTGATAGGAATGTGGAGGATTCTCTCATCCAGGGTGTGGATGTCCACAGAACAGACAGAAACATTGGGCAGTATTTACTTGACAATGTCATTGATAGGAATGTGGAGAATACTCTCATCCAGGGTGTGGATCTCCACAGAACAGCCAGAAACATTGGGCAGTACTTACTTGACAATGTCATTGATAGGAATGTGGAGGATTCTCTCATCCAGGGTGTGGATCTCCACAGAACAGCCAGAAACAGTGGGCAGTACTTACTTGACAATGTCATTGATAGGAATGTGGAGGATTCTCTCATCCAGGGTGTGGATCTCCACGGAACAGCCAGTCAGGGCTTTCCCCAGAGGCACTTTAGCTGTGTGGATCAGGTTGATACCCTCACGACGGAAACGAGGATGGGGCTTGTCTTTCACGATGAAAACTATATCGGCTGGAAGAAAAGCAGGAAGTTAAAGTTAAGTCAAGTCATTTTCGGTTGACAGTTGAATGCTGTTGTATGCTGCAACTTTCCAGCCATATCACAATGTCATATCAACGATGAAGTCTTGATCAAGCAAACAAATGGTCAACAGCATGAGCTTTAGCTAGGCTGTGTGGGAATTGGTTCTCAGGCAATAACTTTTGAAAATATATTTTGTGTGGGTGGTGTTTCTTTTAGTTTTTGGCTTGATCAAACTAGTATGTAACCAAATACACAGTTGTGTACCCTGCATAAACAAGCATACAAACTCCTATTTGCGCCATGACCAAAACACGAGATGCGCAGTGAACATGTAAAGGGAAGTTATATTGCATTGTTTTTAAGTATTAGGATCTCTTTGATTTTTGTTTAAATGGAAATAAAAACGAAACATGTGGCAGACTTTGTGAGGTTGCGGGCGGTGCCTGAGAACCAAGGCTATTATTTTTTCATCCTAATGCTGGTGTACTAGTAGCTAGGGCTGGGACTAATCCAAATTTACTACCCGGGTACCCACACCCCTATTACCCGACCTTACCAGGGTACCCGCTGTTGGTGTCAAGAGATAGGTACAAAATGTCCGATTGGGAATAGTTTGACAGTAGCCCTGGCAGAATGTATTTAGATACACATATAAAACGATGTGGTCTGAAGTTGACTGGTTTTAGCTTTGTTCAAACATCTATAAGTCAGAAGGAACATGTTCATAGTCCTGAAGAAATGAAAAATAGAGTGAATTTTTGTCATGAAACAATATATCACGTGACTAACCACGGGTTCGGGTAGTCCTGTGGGTACCCGGGTCCTACTCAGTACCCACCCAACCCGAGTACCCGAGTTACCCGTCCCAGCCCGACTACCAGCACAGGCCCATGTCCTCCACTATGTACATGGAGATGTTCATTCATCAGCACTGGCTCTGAAGGAGACATGGCTGATGTCGTGGACCCACCTGGCACATTGTTGGGTCCTTGGTCCCCCTCCTGGGGGAAGGTGATTCTGGTACCCGGCTTCCATCCCCGCTTCACGGTGATGGTGAGGATTTTGTCTCTGATGCTGGAGGTGTGGCCATCTTCGTTCATCACCTAGGGACAACAGATCCACACCTAGTGTCAACTCCGGCTCTCCTGGCACACGCAAATGCTGCCTAAACTATCTTGTCTTGAACCTTACCATGTACTATATTTGTTCATCATGTCTATGAATAATCCTAACCCAGTCTTTGTCTACAACCCAAACCTGTCATTTGAAATCATTTTCACATTTTTCAGTGTTATTTGCGGAGACCATATACAAGTCTCTGATACCAAAAGCTGTTAAATAGAGAGTACTTGTTGTTACCCTGCCTGGTGCTCAGCATTAAGAGGCTAAGACAAGGACTGGTCAGCTCGGAGTCAGTATATTGTGTTTGAGTGGGGTATTCATGTTAAACTGGCATGGTATCTCAGTGGGCTAGCACTTTAAACCGGCATCAGTACAGACAAGTACAAGCAGACACAGGCACGCACGCACGCACACATGCACACACATGCATGCACGTTGCCATGTAAGCGCAATAATCTCGGACGTAACATCCCATGTCACCCCACCTCTGATATGTGGACTAATGTTACCAGTGTTTACTATGCAGAAAGAATGTTTCTAAACCCTGGCTGTGGACCAGTGACTCAAGCCAATGCATTTACATTTTCCAAACAGTAAAACAGCATTCCGAATATTTACTCCAATGAGGAAAGGACTTTAGGCCAACTGTGAAACCACCTACACACACATGTATCACAAATATCTTTGAGCATGTATGGTTCAGGTATGTGTTTTTAATCATCCTTCAAATATTATCTTAGAACTGAAGGACATTTGAGACAACAATACACCTCGAACATTAATGATGATTTATTGATTTCACAAAACATTAATCAGGACCAGTAATTTCAAAATGAAGGCAATCCGACAGACTAGTTGAAATTTTGAAATGAAAAACTCATAACTGAATGGAAGAAATTGCCAAAATGTTTCCAAAACAAAAAGGAAGATGTACGGGTAATGTTTAATCTGACGATGTGCCAAGGTCTACAAACATACTGTTTGGACCAGTGATTTGTCTGTGGTCTTGGTAATTTTTTAAATTCCATTCGTCAAACCCTGTTAAATATTGAAATTGGGAAATCATCAAATCTACAAGGTCATATATAATATACTGAGTACAGTACTTCAATAGGACAGTGAGCTGAATGTCAGAATAACCTGACTGATGAGAGATGATTACCCGATCTGTTCCCATTTCAATCAATCAGGAAGTCAACCTCACCCCACCTATCTGAATAATTGATGCTCCCTAGCATTGTACAATCACAGCCCAATACACCAGTCAATAGTGGCATTTGCTATCCCAGGGAGAGGTTATTGTTAACTAAATGTAACATGATATTACAAGGGTTAGCAAACAGCAGTGAGTTAATTGATTAACATTCTTGCTCATGTAATATACATCAAATTCTGTCTTAGTTATTTTTATATAATTTTTAAAGGAAATATGCTTTTAAATGAAATGACCCAAAAATAATTAAATACAAAAATACAAAATATGCATGACATTATTATGTTCAACATTAAGTTCATTTTTAAACCACTGAAACAAATTCTGACAAAAAATTGAATTATCCAGTGTTGCCATGGAAACTTTGTTTAAACACACACACACACACACACACAACCCCAGATATTCATTCAAGCTCTTATAATTTATATATTGACTCCATAAAAGGTGAAATATGAAGTGAAGAATAAAATTCAATGAAATAAAATTTAAAAATTGTTATGAATCAGTAAATGTCAAGCATACAATCAATCCTACCTGTCGGGATATTTTCATTTTCTTGGTACATCCAAAGAACACCTCCTCCAGTGACAGATTTAAACTACATGTAACACAATTGCTCTCATAATGAGCCATGACGGACGTTGGGGCAGACATTTCTCACAGATCTCATACACCAAACCTACCCTCCGAGATATTTTCATCTTCTTCGTGCAGCCATGGAACACCTCCTCGAGTGATAGGTACAGGTCGCGCTCGATTGGTGGATCTTGCTTCTTGCGACCTCGACCTTGGAGGCCTCCAAAGCCCATGCTGAGGTCTCCATCAACACGATCGTAGAATTCTGCATGATGGAGACAGGATACATTAGTAAATAACAACGGTATCTAGGATAGGTGTAGCCATTCCATGGAGAGCTGCGGTCCGAGGAGTAATGAGGCGGTGATCACTTGCATGTTGTTTAATAATAATGATCTGTCTGAGAGACTTGCAGCAAATTACGTTGAGGCTCTACACAGGTGTAATGGATGTCAGGAGAAACATTTCACATTTTATATTATCTATTTTGATTGTTTCATATTGATTTTACATTTCCAATTTTCTGCATGTTCTGTGTTCCGTGAGACAGTGTTACTTATCACAGATTTGTAAATATTTGGGAAAAAAAGGAAGGAAGGAATTGTTATTGAGAAACTCGAGACCCTCATATACAAGTTGCTAATCATTGCATTCCATGACCACAGAAAGTCAGCTCAACAATTAAATCTTAATTATTCATACACAATAACACGCGGTGCCAAATTCAGGCTGAATGTGTTTAAAAATTTAGGGTGAAGCTCATATTACTTCTAAATGATGAGTTTGATGATCAATACGGTCGCTATGCAGAGTGTTAATGAGATTCCATCCCCACTAATGACCGGGGTTACACTAACGACTGGCTCTACCGTGAGGGCATCAGCAACTGGATGTAGATGCAAGTATATGTAATTCTTTATCATTTTTATAAATAGATAACTATTTAACATATTTTTTTCTTCTCACCCTTCTTTCAATAAATGATTTCAATTATTCTTATCTTTTAAGTTTTTAATGATTTTGGTAATTATTATTTTTGTAATGAAGTGTCAACAAGACTAAAAGAGAGACCAACAGTGACCAACATAAAGATTACATCAACGAGTACAAATCATGTCTTGTTTTGTTTTTTTCCTGATCAAGGTTTCCATATAAGCAACTGAAGTGTAGTGGCTCTGAATAAAAATGCTTTCAATCAATTTGTGTTCGAAGATTGTGTTATTTGTTAACTTCATAAACTCAGGAAAGGACCATTAACATTGCAAAACAATCCAAATCTTTATTCAACCGCTGAAACAGGTGATGCCTAAGCGTAAACAACAGAAAATAAACAACTTTTACTGTCTGCAACTTTAACCACTAGACAGAGCCCGAGTCTAGTAAAATTCTGTTCTGTCTTATAAGCTCAGCTAATAACAGGGTATACAGTCATCATAAAATCTACTAAAAATGATGCTAAGATACATGATAGGGCTGGCAGATTCAACAGTTTTTGACACAGACTGCTTATAGTCTTTTTGCACTTTTGAAAATGTTTTCTTAAACATGTTAAACATATTCAATTTGTTTTTTCTCTCACAAAACTCCCACTACTTTTGCATATAGAATGCAATATTTCGATCAAACAGTCACTTGTGAATCTACATACTGACTGGTACTGCTCACCTTGGAATGGGTTGTCTCCCCCAAAGAAGTCTCGGAAGACTTTTTCAGAATTGCCATGGAAGGTGTAGCCCTGGGTCCACGCTCCGGCCTCCCCACTGCCGGACGGAACGCCGTTCTTCAGTCCCTCCTCACCGAACTGATCATACGTAGCTCTTTTGCGAGCTACAAACGGAAACAGTGGTCATCATCACTGCTCTCTACATTCAATCACAGGACATTTCAGCAAAATTCATGCATATTCATTATTTAATTATTCATGGACGAAATCACTCTTTGAGGCCTTTGTCCACAAATAAATATCACTTTTGTTAAACAGTCCTGTGATTCAATCGTAAACATCTTAAATGACCAACTCAATCATGAGTGAGTGAGTATGGTTTTACGCCGCTTTTAGCAATATTCATGCAATATCACGACTGGGGACACCAGAAATGGGCTTCACACATTTTACCCATGTCGGGAATCAAACCCGGGTCTTCGGCGTGACAAGCGAACGCTTTAACCACCAGGCTACCCGACCGCCCCATCAATCATGGAAACTTTTCTATCCAATTCTTTTGGATGTGCTAAAAATCCTGTTGCGAGGCTGATACGATGTGACAGGACTGAAATACCAGTCCCATGGTGTTAAACCCAACACCTACACTCACATTTGTCAATTGTGTATAACGGTAACCTGATGACATGGGTTATTGCACTAGGTTGCCAGATGGAGACTCGTTTGTGTTCAGGCCACCATGAAACAGCTGTAATATTGCTGACAGAGGCAGAAAACAACATTCACCTACTCTTCATATTAGTTAGGTTGCAAGTCACTTTTGACATAAATTCAGAGAAGGCATTATTCCCCTGACATGTGTTTGCCTGGACGTGTCCATCACATATTACAAGAGTGAATGAGTAAGTAAGTTGGGTTTAATGCCGTTTTTAACTGAATTCCAGTTATATCACGGCCAAGCATCTTAATGTGGGAGGAAAGCCTGAAGTGATGCAGGTCTTAGACATTTAGCACATCGATGAAACCCACGAGCCCGGGTATGGTGCCGACAAACCTAGAAACATAATCGGGGTGAACCGGAATTCGAACCAAGCATAGGTTTCTGGCGTGACCAAGGGACGCAACTCTGCACAGTGAAACACGACGCCTTAGACGACTGGGCCACCCATGCCGCCCATATTAAAAGAAATGATGTAATATGTAACCATAGTTGTTTTTTGCATTGAATGTGTAATTGTCTTTACAATAACTAAAACTCAACTTACGATCCGAGAGCACATCATACGCCTCCGCAACTTGCTTGAACTTGTCTGTTGCATTCTGGTCATTAGTATTCTTTTCTGGATGATATTTCAGCGATAATTTCCGGAAACTGAAATTTAGATTGACAAATTCTTTTTCAGTATTATACATAAATACTGTGAAACGATGTGAATCCAGACAATAGTGCCTCCACTGATACCATCTGGAATTAAAATATTCTGGATTTACAAACCATGATTACTCAGTAGTGATTAATGTCACTTTATGTTTGTTTGTTTGTTCAACGCCCCACTAGCAATATTCAATCTAAGTGAAGGCGGTCAATAAATAATCAATGTGGGATAGACAATACAGTGATTGACATCATGAGCATCGATCCACGCAATTGGGATATGATGACATGCATAAACCAAGTCAGCGAGCCTGTCCCCTTGATCCTGTTAGTCGCCTCTTATGACAAGCAAGTTTACTTGATGTTTCAGTAGGTTTTGTCTACAATAATGAAAGGGAGACATTTTATATGGCTGCACTGTTAGTCAACCACCACCAAAATCAGTGTATGTTTCAGAACCCAGGGCCCAATTTCACAAAGCGATTGTAGTGTTTCGACCCTCGAAATCCTATGTTAAAGTTTGGAGTTACAATCACCATATCGCTAAGATCACTTTGTGGAACAGGGCCCTGGAATACCACACATGACCTTGCTTCCATAGTCACATGACTACATTTAGAACACAAAGACTGCAATGTCAATATACTGTCACAACATTTGATTTTGGGGTGTCATGTTGATACCTCCCAACAAGCAGGTTTTTTTTGTTAACCATTGTTATTGATGTGATAAATATTTTAGGGTTGCAACCATGGAGACATGCTACTGGTGGCTAGTTATTTGGTACATGCATTATTTAACAAATAAACGACAAGTGGGAGCTGTTTGTTGTATGATAAACAACAGCCACGAAACATTTATTCCTTACATGAGATATCAATATTATGTACAGCCTCTTTAAGGATGCTAATAAAATGTACAATATTAAAAATATTTACCATAGTTAAATAACAAAGACTCCCTGAATAGAATCCGACCTCAGCAAAGTCAGACATGTCCATATTATGAACAGGGGGGATAAAATTGGTCTTTCTCGCATATTCTTATAATTTGTACGTTGATTATTTGCACCTTTTCTCCCAATACTGATTTTCATATGTCTCCCACTTTTGGATGTGATTGTTCGGCCATTTTGCTTATCTACATTGCCCAGCTACATCTACGGGGAACAACTCACTAGACAACCCCCTCTCAAAAATAACTTCATCAAATTTACGATATCAATTGTGAATCATGTTCGAATCTCCACAATAACGTCATGACAGAGCAATGCTATATCATGAAATAATCCATGCTTCCTTCTTCATTGTTCTTTGTGATTTATCGCATAGCTATCTTATATAACTCTGTACTAATACAGTGCATGAAACACAGGTCAATAGCCTAAATGATTGGTACTTGAGTATTAATAAATGAAAATGGTTGGTAATTTGCCATTGGTATGAATATTATCAGACATATTCTAAATGGTGACAACCATCTTTTTGTTGCTAACAATGCAAGCTTTGATTGTCCTACATGATGAATGCCTCTTCAGATAATGATACAGGGCATATGAAGTACATAAATATGTCTAAAATGAGCAAAATAGGTCAATATTTCGAGCTTATAGAGATGTTCTATGAGCAAGTCCTTTACCTCAGATGAATATTATATGATTCTTTGTAATTTTTGTTATTGATTGTAATATTTCATACAACAAAACATCGTACCTAGTTATGCCGACAACCCTAACAACCAAATGTATTACCAATATCTAATTGACAACTTTGAAGTATTCACTATAACAATTACAGTGACTTAATTCTAGACAGCTATGGGCCTACACACCAAAGCAACGTAATAAAGAAAGCTGCAGTTTCGTAGAGGCAAATATTAATTTGTCAACTTATTTTGAAACATATTTTGTATGTGCTGACTTCTAACACTGGATTTAATCATCTATTTTAACATTAATGCACTGGGGTTCTTCAACTTACTGTTTCTTTATATCACCGTCGCTTGCACTTCGCGTCAGCCCGAGAATACTGTAATAATCCACTCCCATCTTGACACTTCTGTCACTTTCCGAGTGGGACCCTTGTTTGTATACTCCCAATATGGCGGGTTGCTTAGCAACGCCTGTTCGAATACTATTGACATTGCCTTCGAATCTTTTTTATTGCAATTAGTTCCAAACATATCTTTTGAAAGGGCGGAATTGATATAATAAAGAATTTTTAAAGCATTATTGTTGACGCGAGTTCAATAAAATCGAGTAAATGAATTGAAAACTGAATACGAAGAGCGGTTGTTAAAACGAGTCTATGCAGAATCCAGGCAACCACCAAACAATATGGCGCCCCGGGACTCAAACCTTTCAATTAGTGGGCGCTGCAAAATATAGATGAATTCCAAACAAATATAGTATCAAGGAACAGTATCAAAGATGGAGGGTGACATATCAGGAGTCCGCATCACACCCCCATCACTGGAATTTTATGATACCGAAGCAAACACTGTTTATCAATTAAACATAACAGTGAAAAACGTCAGCAAAGATAGCAAACACATTCGATATTATGGACCCAAGAGCAGCGTAAGTATTGTCTTTGGAAGTATATTTGTATAGGAAAATGCATACAGACAATGGACGTCGTGTCATGTCACTTGAGTTTGGAACTTCAAATCGTTCATTTTGTATCAGCTGTGTTTATGATGTGACTTATTTCGACCTGATTTCTTTCAGGGTTAATTTTAGAATAAAACCAGGGCATAAACAGAGATGTATATTAAGTTTATTTTTATGAGTTCCCAAGTATTTAACCTGTGTAACAATATCAGTACCAGCCAATTAAATAAACGAACAATGTTATGTAGATGTTATATAGAATGATAATTCATCAAATGAGCCAAAGAAGTTGGGAGCTGTGAGTAATTTTCAAAACTTCAATTATCCACCATTTTTTATGTTTTGTTTGCAATAATAATGAATTTTTTTCATGTCTAACAGGCAATGTTGTATAAAGCAAGCTAGTCTGAAACCTTTGAAAACTTCACTTGGACTAGCGACCGCAGCTTATGATACTTCATATGATAACATCAAATCTACTGAAAATGATGTTCAGGCTTGTAGACTCAAGCGTTAGCACAGAATTAGCACATTTAGCACAGAATGGGTAGCTGAGAATGCATTTTGATTACACTTTGATACGTTAACTGGAAATGTAATGTGCTTTGAGCATGCACCTATAGGTGGTAGTCTTTGTAAGTTGCCGATATATGACTATTTTAGGTGTCAGCAGTGTTTGTTGTCGTTGTTGTTGTTATTACTTCATGTATTTGTTGCTCAGTTAACATTTGGAATACAGGTCACCTGTTGAAACAAAAGAGAAATAATGTATTTTTAGCACTTCAACTTGAAAGTGAAGAACCCAGAGAAAGCTGTCGCACCGGGGCTATGTGTGGCTGCTGTGGTGGAGTATGAAATCAACGAGGTCGAGGAGATCACAGATAGGATTGTTGTCACAGTGGATGGAGATGTCATAGAAATACCTGTACATGCGTAAGAATTTTTGTGTCTTTGAAGAACACATGCTTCAAGATTCACTCAGGGCTTAAAGGGAGACCATGCTCAGGCCAGTTGGCAGCCCCAGCTAATTCAAGTCACTCAAAACTCACTTGGTCTGTCAACCAATCTCATTAAAATCAGACCTTAGTTCTCGCTACTGCTAAACAAAGATCTGAAGACATCCCATTAGGGGTCACGTCAGAACGACCTTTTATCCGACCAATCAGTGCGTCGCTTACCAGATTATGAAAGTGACAGTCGGAATGTGATTTCTAATCATGCAATCTCGAAAACTTTAACATGGGGTATTCCGAACGATAGTTACGGGTTTAACGACTGAATCCTTACAATCTAGACCATCTATTAGCCATTCCAGAATGTTTTTTGTTCAGGTTTCAAATTTGTAATCGAGAATTTGTCAAAATATGTTTCGAGACATAGTGGCCAATTTGAAATTTGTGCCGTAAAGCACGAGAAAGCTGCCTTCTGATTGGTCATTCCATTGGTCGGTCAAAGTTCGCGCAGGGTCGGTCTGACGTTACCCATAATGGGATGTCCTCAGATCTTTGTTTAGCGGTAGCGAGAACTAAGATCTGATTTTAATGAGATTGGTCTGTCAACTGAAAATGCGTGATTATGTCAATCACTTGATAAATATGCTAAAATTATTACACAAGTCTGAGTTTTGCATCGTCACTAATAACAACATCTAGATATAGGCACCAGAAGTCCCCCTTTTAGTAACGTGTATTTCAATAGGTTATTTGAGAAATATTTGAAACTTAAATGAAAGTATTTGAATTTTATGGAAAATTAATTAATAGACTTGAATTACCAGGGAATAAGTAAAATGTGGGCTTTAAAAGAGTATATTCTTTTGAATGTTTTATTTTTCAAAGTTGCCCTTGTAAATGCCTCTGGGAGGTTGTACTTTTAGATGTGATTTCATGGTGGTCAGTATGAGAGTACTCTGAGTGGTGTTCATTTGCACATGTTAGCATTGAACAATGGGATATTTGGATTTTGGTTTTGCAGATACCCTTCCCAGCCTGTTTTGGAAATAGGAAAACAAGTGGACTTCGGGAATATTGTGGCAAACAGTAGGGTTGTTGCAAGGGAGATTACTCTCCACAATCATGGATCCAAGGCTGGAGAGTTCAAGATCAAATACAGTGGAGATAAACCTCTTGCTGTCATACCAAGCTCTGGGACGATCATGCCCAAAACAACACAAGTTATTAAGGTGATGTCACAGTCATAAACACTACTGTTAGTCATTAACGCTGCTCTCTGAACAAGCTGGTGTCCTCTGGCTTCTAAGACAGTGGAGTGACTTACTGAAGAATTGACAGATCTTGTAGATGATTCAGAGTGCATGAACTTAAACATCTACCGTATTCGACGTAATAAGCGCCCCGCTCTAATAAGCACCCACGGCGATATTTGCTAATACATATTGGCTAGTGAACAATCCCAATTAGCACCCCACGGCAATATTTGCTAATACATATTGGCTAGTGAACAATCCCAATTAGCACCCCTTCTGATTGATCAATGTACACAGGACTTATTTATTCGTGTATAATACGTGTGTTATATGCATTCTTAATTATGGGAAATTAAATTCTGAAAAAAATATATCTGTCGTATATATACATTTCAGGCTGTCAGCATAAACCATGAAATTTGCGATCTTTCAACTCTGTTGTTTTTCACCAAAATAATATTCTAATAAGAGCCCCCATTTCTAACTTTGAGAGCGCCCTGGGCAAGTGGATGTTTGGTTCAATTAACGGCCATTGTCAGGAAAATTTAGGGAATATGTAATGTTAAGTTAAATCTCATCCAAGCTCATTGTTTAGAGTAGTACATTTGGTTGTCTTGACGATGTGAAATGTGCCTGTGTACTGCTCTGTAATGACATGCTCAGGGAACAGGAATGTTGGTGTGTGTAACCATGGTAACCATTTAGTAACACATTTTGGGATGATATACAATCTCATTATAATCAAGTCTTATAGTCTGATTCGATATCTCTCACATATCTTCACTTCATTACCGGGGGCACGGGTTGCCAAGTCGTCAAAGGCGCCGCGATTCGCTGTGCAGAGTTGCATCCCTTGGGCACGCCAGAAACCTATGATTGTGGGTTCAAATCCCGGTTTGCTCTGATTATGTTTCTAGGTTTGTCAGCACCATACCCGTGCTCATGGGTTTCACCGAAGTGGTAAACGTCTGAGACCTGCATCACTTCGGGCTTTCCTCCCACATTTAGCTGACAAGCCGCGATATAACTGGAATACTGTAAAAGCGGCATTAAACCCAACGCACTCACTCACTCAACTCACTTCATTACCACTTTGATTTGTAAATTTTGATCTTTGAAACTGCCACAGAACACATACATACCTTAATAGTCCTTGGCACTGAGGAATGAAAAGATGTATGAAATATCCACAACAACATAATAGCATTCACCTGACAAAGAAGTAAGCATATTCTCCGAAACGTTGTGTTCCTCATAATATTGAAGTTGACATCCATAAATTCTCTTCCTTATGTGTATCACTTCTAAATGCCTTTCAAAGACTTAATACAATGGCAGCTTTATTTATTTGCATTTGGAAGTTCCCAATTGTACTTGATTTCAAACTTCAAAAAAGAAATATGCTTGTCTGAACTACTTTACTCAATTATATTGAAAAGTAGGACCCTCGATGCTGATTGGTTGATAAGAAAGTTCACCTGGTGTGACCTATGGAGATGTCCTCGGATGTTCACACAGAGTTATCATGTCAGAGTAAAAGATCAAGATTATAGTGAGGCCATGATGACATGTTTTGACAGTAACCTAGGATATACAAGATTATGAAATAATGTACATCATAATCAGTGATAACAGAATGCACAGGTTTTGTTATGTCATGATCTCCAGCACCTCACTGGTATTAAGTATGTAATGGTCTAAACCATGTACACAAAATGTATATGTTTTTCATTCTCAATTATTTTTTCAGGTGGAATATGTTGCAAAACAAGCTGGAAAATTTGAAGAAGTTGCAAAGTGAGTTGTTTTGTGTCTCTGTACTGATGTATGTAAACAATTATTTTGTGTGTTGAGTGTCTGGTAAATAAAGAAGAAAGTACTCTACGTTATCACTCTGTGCCAACTCACTCTGAGAAATTCAGAAGATAAACAGAATCTCACCCACATGTCTTCCAAGGTCAAATATGTCAAGATGAGTTGAGAAAGGTTACAAATATCCAAGGATATTTTAAAATTTATCAACAAGTCTTGGTATTTTTTAGCTTTGAAGACATGAGGGTGAGATTATGTTTATCATCTGACAACATTCTTGTCTGTTTGTTAACACTAATAACCAGTATCTTGAGTGTAAAAGTACGGCTCACCAGCTTCAGTGGCAGAGAATATAGAGATGTCATTTGATTGTGATGTCATGGTAACTAATGATGTAACAATGGTCTACAAAGCATTGTGCTGAAATATCACTGTATTGATATCTCCTGACGAAGCCAGTTGTGGATGGTAAAATCTGTTGAGTCTTAGCCTAAATATGGCTCTCAGCATCATTTTAGTACATTTTAGTGTTATTAAGGTGACAATTATTAGCTGATTTTATTAGACCAAACAAAAATATTCTACATTTTGGACAAGTGGTGCACATCACTGACTGCATTAAAACCTCTTCAATATTGCTTCACTTAACTTACCTCAGATAATTAATTTCCTTTAAATAAAACCATGTTTCAGGGTGAAACTTGAAGGTCAAGACGTTCAGAGCTTGAGCATTCGAGGGAGCGTTGTTGAGCGAGCTCTGGAAGTATTGTCTCTCCAGACTGAGGACCCAGTCCAGTGTATCAAGTTCGGCAGCGCCTACTACGGCACTGACAAGACAGAGTGTGCCCTGCTCTACAACAATGGCCCAGAGCCGATCAACTTCGTAGCTGTCCTCAATGAGGATGCTATTGCACAGGAACTGGTAGGGACCCAATGTCTACAACGTTCTTATAGTTAACAGCATTAGAAACTGGCACTAGTCCAATAGTCCTTGCCAAATTACCCAATAGTTAAGGTATCATAAGGACGAGTAGAAATTTGCCATTATTAAGGGTTTTACTATATATGTTATCATCATAAGGACTAGTGGACTAAAACAGTTTTTTCTTTTGATAAATTATGGTAATAATTCTTCATATTTTTTACTTATCCTGCATTACTCCTTAATGCATTCACTGCTTACTTACGACAACTAGAAGGACAGCGCTGCGAAGGTCCTGGGTGAAGAAATAAAGTTGTTGTTCTCAAGTCCCAATCAGTGGCCTTCCGTCGCTGTCCTGTGACCTTGATGACACCTAAGGTCATCTTCTCATCACTGCTTGTCGCAGCACAGCTAGGACGTGTCCAAGCGGAGCTCTCCTTTTGGATTAATTTTAGACCTTCAGTTTGTCTACAATCTTAAAAATTGATCTGCGATGGGTGATGTATTCTTTTCATATTACTTTCACCATGTTGTGTAGTTTTATGTGAATTAATTAGGCGTGAAAAGACACTTGTTTTTTTTTCCCGCCAAAATATTGTTGTTCGCCGCCATTTTGAATTGTGTTACAATCGTTTGCCTGCCAAGGTAGTCATATTGTTTACAATTCTCAGCTACGTATGTATAACATATTCTTATGTTCTTAAATATTACTAGCTTTGGCGTAACAGTGAGTTGCGTATACTAAAATTATTGTATACTTTTTCAACTCGTTAAAAATATGGTTGCCGATAGATTAATATCAAATCTACGGCTTTCTTCCAGTCCCGCTTCATCAACAATTCTTTTATTGCGTACCTATGTTTATGCGATTAAATAGTTTTTTGTTGGTATTTTTGGTTTTACATTGAGTTGCGTATATGAACTATTGTATACTCTTGCAACTCGTAGTTTTTGCCGATAGATTATTGTTCAATTCTATGGCATTCTTCCAGTACCGCCTCATCAACAATGGCGTAATTGTGTTTAATTTAAACATATTTTATTGACATATATGGTCAACGGGATTGGGCAAAAGTTATCCAACTTAGGTGGCCCTTTCCCTACTCTATATGTACAGACATTGAATATACATACATATATATATGTAATTGTGTAACTTATGATTGAGCCTGGTATTAATTGTCGTGGGAAAAATCTTACAAAGATTATCATCCACGTTGTTTGGTTTGCGCGCAGATGTGCTCTCCAAACCCTAAATGAAAATATAAATACCCTTGGTTTACATTGGGTTGCGCATACAAAAATATTGTATATCCTTGCAACTCATAAATTTGCCGATAGATTAGTGTTCAAATTCTTCGGCACTCTTCCAGTATTATCTCATCAACAAGGGTTTCATTGCGTAACATACCTTTGAGCATTTTACTAATTGTCGTGGAAAAAAACTTACAAGATTATCATCCACGATTGGTTGGTTTGCGCGCGGATGTGCTCTCCAATCTCTAAATGTAAATAGCCTTGGTTTACATTGAATTGCGTATATAAAAATATTGTATACCCTTGCAATTCATATTTTTGCCGATAGATTACTGTTCAATTCTACGGCATTCTTCCAGTACCATTTCTTCAATGGTTTAATTGCGTAACATAATTATGTTTGCTCGGTGTACATATTGTCGTGGAATAATCGCCCAAAGCTCTTTATCCACGGTCATAGGCATGCACGTAGATGTGCTCGCCAAAATTCAAAATGTAATTTTTATGTAAATCTCTAATCCAACGAGTTTACTATATAAAAGCAGATTACTCACAATCATATTTTGCAGTTATTCCGTCGTGAGACGAGAGGAATGTCACTATCGCAGAATAGCGAATGACATATGGTTCTGTCATTACCACCCAACCGTTATTATCGGCAGGTATTATGACGACTGTGATTGCAGAAGTACACCATCCACCGAAATCAACAATACCGGAGGATTTTGTGAGTATCGTAACTGCTCCTATTTTTTCAGCCGCCGGACACTTCCAGATACATGTATGATAATCTGTGACGTCGGCGACAGCACCAGCGTATCGAGATGCTATGATGGGGGTAGATTAGACACAAGCCTTGATCCAGTCAATACTTTTGAGCTTTGTGTCTGATTTATCTGCGCCGAGCGCAGCACTTGACTACAACCAAAGCTCTTCTATTACGCAAGCGGCGCACGATCAGCTTAGCGCTGTTCCAACATATCCAGCATAGACCTGCGCCGAGCGCAGCGTCTGACTGATACCCAAGCGCTCCTATCACGCCAGTGACGCACGATCAGCTTAGCGCTGTTCCAACATTCCAGACCTGCGCTGAGCGCAGCGTCTGCGTATCAATCAAGGTCTCTACAATGACGTTAGCCCAAGGCTTACAGTGTACTCGGTTACGTAACCGGCACACGATCAGCTTAGCACATGTACCCGATTGGGAAGCAGAGCATCTCGTGTCAGTAACGCCCTCCCCTGATAACAGGGTAAATAAGAGGGACACCACGAGGTCATTGGAGGAAGCCTTCTCCAAAACTCACATTTGCTCCGTGATTTAAGCGACCAATATCGTCAATGTTTGCAGTGGATCATAATCTATTAGAGGATAACCCTATCTGATTAGATCACTTCCAAACTATGGTGTTTTTCCTACAGCGTCAGTTTGACCACAGGAAAATTCATCTTGAGACCGTTCTGACGGTGATTACCGTTACACACAAGACTTTATAGCGTTTCCAACTGAGATGCTGGTTTCAAGGGCAGTCTATTACGTCAACCTTGATCATCTACTCCCCTGTTCAACGAACAGATCGCAGACACGCACGTCAAGTTCCCAAAAAGCTTGGAAAGTCCAAGTCAGGGAATTATAAGCCTAGACGCGCGTTTCTCAGGGAAGACCAGCATTCCCTTACTGAGAAAGGGAGTGGCAGAGACAAGTCTCAAGGACGATTTCGTACTTATCGCACTATATCATGGTGTCCGTATAAGGGTAGAGTTAACCCCACCGTTGACCACAGTTTGATTGGGAAAATCCAACATAGACATACTGTTGGTAAGAAGAGCTGTAGAGTGGGTTCACAACCCAGTCTTTACTCCGGGGTTTTATCCTCACACCTACCTGGTACTCATGAAGGACCCAGACAAGATGAGAATGATCCACAATCTCTGTGTTCAACGAACGTTTGATTCTTCATCAGTCTCGACTATCCATCCCAACCGTAGACTTTTCAGGTCCAGTTCATTGGGGTTCACTACCAATGGTAGTATTTCACATTTGACATGTCAGTGACACTTATGGCTATTTACAGGAGTAATGAAGCCAATAACTATCTACACGTGACGAACACTTGGTTCGAGTCGTAGATGGAGGGCGATCTACTGTATCATCAACACATGTCAATAACTGGGATAGACAATCAACGAGGCGAAGTCGGGAGTATTCTCCTTCCTATTGACTTCAGTTCATAGGAGACCTGTTTAAGACAGACCAGGATATCCTATCTGTACCGAGGGACAGATGGCACAAGTTTCTACTTCTTTTGTCATCTACTCTACACCAACCACACACACTTCGCCAGTGGCAAGTGTTGCTAGGGTTAATCACCTCGGCACAGGAGTTAACTAGCATGGGCCGCTTACAACAGCGACCAATTCAATTTTTTTCCTGAACCCTTACATCAGGAGTCAGGATCCACTCAAGGCCATCACTCTACCAACTAAGCTAGAGCCTCAATTTGTGGCGCTGAATGTCTGCGGAGTCTGTTTATTCGGATTTTCCCCGAATACACACCTGTTTGTGGACGTCCCCTTTCAGGGTTGGAGTCTTCACTTACAAGACCAGATAAGCTCAGGGCTATGGCCCGGCGCACAATGGAAGTGGCACATAAACAACTTGGAGTTGGAAGCTTTAATTCTGGCTATATCACATTGGCAGAATCAACTACAGTTAGCCCGACTCGCTATATCCACAGACAACAGCACTGCGGTGTGGTGCCTGTGCAATCGGGGAACAACGCACTCCCACTCTCCACTTCTAAGGACATTCAGATTTCTTCCATCTAGTGGATCGGCTGTGACTAAGGTTCATAGTTCAGCACATCCCCGGATGTAGAAACATACTGGCCGATACTTTATCACGTCCAGACAGGGTGGCTCCCACTGAGTGGAAATTTCTCACAGAAGCATTCCAGTTACTGCTTCAGGAATTCAGGCAACCAAACATTGACTTGTTTATTACTTGCCTAGGCCACCAACTCATGACGTATATCTCCCCGTTGCCGGATCCGCAGACTTGGGCGGTGGACGAGTTCAGTATCACTTGGGAAGGGCAAAGAACTAAAACTCTTCTGCCACCACTATAACTTCCCAAGGTGCTACAGGGGATCAAGGAGACAAGGTATCTCGATCTCTCCTTTGGTCGCACCATGGTAACCGGCGAGAGGGTAGTTCGTCAAGCTCGGAAAAATCTAAAACGATTCACTTCCCCTCTCACAGTGGTCCAACCTACTCATCCACCCTCAACAGAAAATTGCCTCACCCAACGTCTGCACGCATGGTTCGTCTTTAAAAGGCGTTTAAGTGCGAAGGGTTATTTCGACACGGGCAGCAAAGCTATAGCTTTAGTTCATCGTTACTCTCCCAGAGACGACGATGACAAGTGGGGATCACTTGAGACTTTTTACAGGGAAGAAAAGAATCAAGACCCTACGATTGCGTCACAATTCCTAGAGGAATACCTCCTACATTGCGTACCCAAAAACACTTGGAAGGTAGCACCATTACTACGTAATTGGCTGCAATTATCTTAGTGTTGGCCGTTTCCGGAAAATCACAGTGTGATTAAGGTCAGGGAACTACAGGCCATATTATGCTCATTCAGGTTTGAGGATCAGAAGGCCAAGTTCCAGCCACCTGATTGGGACTTGAACGTGGTACTTCGAGGTTTGCGAGGGCCCCCTTCGAGCCCCTCATTGCATCCTCATTTTCAAGCTCCTTCCCAGCGCGTGACACCTTCGTTACACTCTCGGTATAGTATAGAGAGCTCCGCGAACGGGCTATCGCTGTGAGGAGCTTGGACATCACCAAGGAAACTATGGTTTCTCTTGGCATTAGCAATGGCGGTACGGGTGAGCGAACTACATGTGGTCGACTCAACCCGGATCCGTTTTGAGCATGGGACGCACGGAACAGGACATCTATGGTTATGCTGGGATTTTATTGCTAAAATCTACTACCAGGCCAACCCGACCGTTCTTCACCATCCCACCGATATCGACTATTGTGGGAATCGTACATGGTGAAGTTCTCCTGGGCTCGGTGCGAGCAGTTCGAGTTTTCATTCGACGCTCCAAGACAAGGCGTGGTTCGTCCACGACAGAAGTTAGTCGCATAATCGCAAACACCATATCTATATGGTTACGCGCAGTAATCCTTCAGGCCTACGAGATCATCAAACGGAACTCGCCGAGAGCGAATTACCCTCAAGATCTCAAGGTGTCAGCCTTACCAGGGCTCAACACGGCAATTGTGGTTTTGGAACAATCACGGAAGGATATTTCTGGAGATTCGACACATATTTTCGTTAGTCATAACCTTCGCGTTGTGACTCTCGAGGATGTCAAAGAAGTTCGAAGTTTGGCCCTCTGGTTGTTATCCTGCAGATTGCCAACCACTGACGCAAATAATGAACTCGCCCTATACAGAGCCAGTCAACTTCCATGTGCAGTCACTCAGTCGCCACCAGTGGAAGAATATTAGACAATCTTGTTTGTCAGCGACGGCTCTATGACGCAGTAAGTAAAGAATTAGCTGAATAGCTATTATTTTCTTTATTACTAAGCGTGTATAGGGAATTTCTCTTTAATTCCTATGTTCAATGTTTTTGATTTTTGAACAACCCTACCGTAATGGCGTTTTTGTCTGAACTGTTCCGCTTCACGGTTTATCGACCAAATGGGGTCGTATTGCAGGGTGTGAATTATTGAGGTTTCTGTATTCTGAAGGTTGACCCACCTCCAAACCGTCCGATACAGATGCATTAAGGAGTAATGCAGGATAAGTAAAAAATTTAGTAAAATCTAAATATTTTTTACATTTGTATACTTATCCTGCATTACTACGCTTAAGGCCCACCCGTCGTTAGACTTGCCTCCCCACTTTGGCTTCAGAAACCTCAAAAGTATGTTTTTCTAAGAGCTTGGGCGACAGGCAGTGATGTGAAGATGACCTTAGGTGTCATCAAGGTCACAGGACAGCGACGGAAGGCCACTGATTGGGACTTGAGAACAACAACTTTATTTCTTCACCCAGGACCTTCGCAGCGCTGTCCTTCTAGTTGTCGTAAGTAAGCAGTGAATGCATTAAGGAGTAATGCAGGATAAGTATACAAATGTAAAAAATATTTAGATTTTACTAATTTTATAGAGTGAGTGTATGATGTGTGACATGTGTTTGAGACTTCATATGTCTTAAACTGAGCTTTCTGCGTATCTGCATGAATATTTATTGGAAGAAACTTAATCTGTCTTCTGTGTGATAGGGTGTGGACCTCTCTAAGAGTACAACAGCTACACTGGCCGAGCAGGATAAGAGTCCCACCGGACTGACCAACACACTGACCTCTCTCATCACAGCTATCCCCAACCAAGGTGTACTTCAGGGATACCAGAAAATACCCATCTTCTTCCGTTTTAGTCCCAGGTCTGTACCTTGTACCCAGAGTCTGTCTGTGTCTGTCAATGTCTGTCTATATCTGTGTCTGTATCTATGTCTGTCTGTCTGTGTCTGTCTATCTATCTGAGTCTACATCTGTGTCTGTCAATGTCTGTGGCTGTCTAGATCTGTATCTGTCTATATCTGTCTGTGTCTGTGTCTGTCTATCTATCTGAGTCTACATCTGTGTCTGTATCTATGTCTGTATCTGTCTATATCTGTCTGTGTCTGTCTATATCTGTGTCTGTATCTATGTCTGTCTGTCTGTGTCTGTCAATGTCTGTGGCTGTCTAGATCTGTGTCTGTATCTATGTCTGTATCTGTCTATATCTGTCTGTGTCTGTGTCTGTCTATATCTGTGTCTGTATCTATGTCTGTCTGTCTGTGTCTGTCAATGTCTGTGGCTGTCTTTATCTGTGTCTGTATCTATGTCTGTCTGTGTGTGTCTGTCTATATATCTGAGTCTACATCTGTGTCTGTGTCTGTCTATTTGTGTCTGTGTCTGTATCTATGTCTGTCTGTCTGTCTGTGTTTGTGTGTCTATCTATCTGAGTCTACATCTGTGTCTGTGTCTGTCTATATGTGTCTGTCTATATCTGTGTCTGTATCTATGTCTGTCTGTCTGTGTCTGTCTGTCTATCTATCTGAGTCTACGTCTGTGTCTGTGTATATGTCTGTGTCTGTATCTATGTCTGTCTGTCTGTCTGTCTGTGTCTGGCAATGTCTGTGTGTCTATCTATCTGAGTCTACATCTGTGTCTGTGTCTGTCTATATCTGTGTCTGTATCTATGTCTGTCTTTCTGTGTCTGTCATTCTGTGTCTGTCTATATCTGTGTCTGTATCTATGTCTGTCTGTCAATGTCTGTGTCTGTCTGTCTATCTATCTGAGTCTACATCTCTGTCTGTGTCTGTCGATATCTGTGTCTGTATCTATGTCTGTATGTCTGTATGTCTGTGTCTGTCAATGTCTGTCTATATGTGTGTCTGTCTGGCTGTCTATATCTGTGGCTGTCTGGCTGTCTATATCTGTCTATATCTCTGTGTGTCTGTCTGTCATCTCTGTATCTCTTTGTATACTGTATATTGGTGCCTCTTTATCAATCTGGTTTTGTCTGTCTGTCATGACTGTGTATCTTGTAACTGTTGGTATCTCTCTTTCCTTCCTGTGTCTGTCATCCCGCCTTCATCAAACCCATCTTTTTTCATGTAGTATTCTGCAGAGGTAACAGACCATTTCAAAGAGCTTCTTACAAATTTAAGGGATTCTGTAGCTAACATGAACTTATATTCCAGATGGAATTCTTCTAAGCAAGGCTGGAAATGTCAAGTTGCGCCTCCCCCTCGTAAAGATTTTGCGATCTTCATGCGCCTAGAGATCATTGGATCAAGTGATGGGTTCACGCAGGACGCAGACAAGCCAGTCAATGATGGTGAGATGAGCAGGGTCGCAGGAGGCATGGCAACCGTCTGCACTACCTTATCTTCATAACTTGACATATAGGCCTACTTGTGTTGGTACCTGGTTACAGTGTTATTGTTTCCTTATTATTCAGCGGGAATCTGTAAACACAGTTGATCCTACAAGGTTAAAATCGTCCCCCGAGGTCAATGCCAGACAGACAGACAGAAAGACAGACAGACAGACAGACAGTTTATTCAGTATGCAAGGCCATATGGCCCATAGTACAGTTCAGATTTAACAGATACATAAAAAATCAACCTGATCTTGACCATAGTATAATATATTCACCTGAGTCTAAATACATGTTTCAAATACATTGCTAGAGATTTAATAACTTCTTCATTGGTCGAATTCAACAAATTGATCATCAATTGCTTGTCTTTGTGTGTAATATCTAAATTAGGTAGAAACTTTAATCTCAACGTTTTATATTTTTCACATATAAAAAGAACATGAAACTCGTCTTCAATCTACTGGTTGGTACAGTTAGAACATATATAATTTTCAAACTCACTGTCCTTGGTTCTACGATATTTATTGACAAGGAAGTTATGAAGAGATATGCCATTAATGATAGACAGACATAGACTTCCATCTTATCCAAATGTAGATTTGCATATCATTTGGATAGAAGTTTGTATCCTGTACTTAGTGTAGAGGATGTAGTTATAATAATCCTGCCATGTGGAGCTGCTATGTTTACGGGAGCTATGTTTCTATGTTTCCCCCAGCCCCGGGAAACTATGCTGAGATCGGTCTGACTGGAACAGCATTACCCGTCCTCCTGAACATCTCCCCGGCAACCAAGTATGACTTTGGGGTTTGTTCCGTCGGGGAGCATGCTGATATCCTCTGTACCATCAAGAACGAGTCTTCCGTCCTCCCAGCAATATTCCAGTTCCGGAGAATAGCCCACTTCACAGCTCATCCTCCAAATGGGAAGATCTCCGCCGGACAAACACAAGATGTAATCTTCTCCTTCGCTCCACATCAAGCTGGTGAGTGCTGGCCCTTGTCTTGTTGTGTATTCATCCTTGTATAAACTCCTCTGGCCTGAAAGGCATGTGAGCTTACATCATCGGGCCATACACTTATTATATTTTCTCCGAGAGTCTCCGAAATTGTTTGATGCATCATTTGATTTACGAAAAAAGGGATTTACAAAATGTTCTTTTCCATAAGTTAAAGGGCCTGAGGCCCGAAACTTGATGGATTAGATGGTCACAACATGTAGTTCCAAGTGTGTTCAAGGCATGTTGTTTGGAAATTAAAAATGGCTGTCAGCATGTTGGAAAATATACAAAACTGGCCTCATCGGCTGTAAACATCTTCTCCTCAATGACCATTTGACCAATGGACTGAAACTTGTCATCCGATGATGACATTCCAACTTGTGCAAGAGATTCGAATATGATTTGCAATATGGCGGCCATATTTGAAATACTGATTTGCATTATCGCGTGATGTGCCAAAGGTGATGCACAGGCTACCAAACTGTGGATGCCTGTGCCTATAAGAACAACATGACATGAGAGCGGATTAAATGGCTGAGGGTATGCAGGTGCTACTTGGCTACTAAGCTGCTAGTTACTTGCACGAAAAGCTACCATTACCAATGGTGATTAGCAGCTACTGCTACTGGCCCTGGTAACATACTTATCTATAAGTAACGCTTCCATTGCTTGGCAAGTACCTGGCCCCAGATAGCATACTTGGCAAGTGCCGGCGCCTGGAAGCATAGGGAATCCCCATAAAGTGTGCTCTGATTGGCTTCCCGAGCCACGTCACTGGCGGCCTTGTTATGAATTGCATTGTTGGGAGGAAGTGTGAATGTCCCACCTTCATTATTCCCACTTCATTATTTGGGGGGGTTGGGGAGGGCGTGAATGTAATGTAATGAGTCTGCTTATATTGACGGGAAACTAAACTTGTGAAACAGAGCTTAGGACTTTGTTTGTTTCTGTTTGCAGGTACATTCAAACCCATGCAACTGGTAGACGTGATTGGGCAGGTAGCAGACAGTGGCAACCCCACGATGGCCTATCTCCAGGTGATGTACACTCTGCCCATACAGCTGGTCGGGCAGAGCAACCCCTCCACCAGAAAGAGGAGCCCCAGGTTCAACCCAGGTACACACACAGTGACTCTACCTGTACTCTCAGACTTTCTCCTCCTCCAGGGCATCTATCCTTTACTATATCAGTGTAACTATCCTTTCCTCTATCAGCACATCTATCCTTTTCTATATCATCACATCTATCCTTTCCTCTATCAGCACTTCTATCCTTTCCTCTATCAGCACTTCTATCCTTTACCCTATCAGTGTATCTATCCTTTCCTCTATCAGCACTTCTATCCTTTACCCTATCAGTGTATATATCCTTTGCTCTATTAGCACATCTATCCTTTACCCTATCAGCATATATACCCTTTACTCTATCGTCATATCTATCCTTTTCATCTGTCAGCAAATCTATCCTTTACTCTATCAGCAATTCTATCCTTTAACCTATCATCATATCTATCCTTTACTCTATTAGCACATCCATCCTTTACTCTTTCAGCACATCCATCCTTTACTCTTTCAGCATATCTATCCTTTACTCTGTCAGCACATCCATCCTTTCCTCTATCAGTGTATCTACCCTTTGATCTATCAACATATCTATCCTTTGTCAGCACATCTATCCATTGATCTATCAACACATTTATCCTTTACTCTGTAAACCCATCTACCCTTTACTTTATCAGTGTATCTATCCTTTACTCTATCAGCACATCTATCAATGTCTATGAGTGTATCTATCCTTTACTCTATCAGCACATCTATCAATGTCTATGAGTGTATCTATCTTTTACTCTGTCACTCCCCTCCACACACAACACACGTCACTCCAGCCTCCATCTTCTATCACTTTGAACCAACTTACATTATCTGTCCGCATGGCCTGTGAGGGTAGTCCTATCACCTGTCAGTGTTTGTGTCCATCACCCCACCAACCATCCATGTGTCCTGCAGGAATCACCCCGTACATCAGCAACGAAGTGGGGATGTTTGTAGACACAGACTTTGACTCGCTTGAACCGGGCAGGTTGCGGAATGCCGTGATGAGCGCCAACAAAACCAGGCTGCACCACCTGAGACTGAGCAAGTCGGCTAACGAAGATAACCGGGCAGTGAAGGTTGCCTTCCCCAATGACCGCGCCCACAGCATCCGCCCCAGTGACAGGAAGGAGCGATTTCAGTAAGTGTAGACAGAGGCGTTGGTTAACCCTCGCCCTGGATGGACGATTCTCCACAATCTGGCCTCATTTATACTGTGTCTAGATTTAGTACCTATGCTATGGTAATCATTAACAGTTGACAAACATGGGTTGTTTCAGCAGTAGAAACTAACAGTTTTAGTCCACTAGTCCTTATAATGTTAACACATACTTATGATACATTGGCTATTGGGCAGTTTGGCAAGGACTACAGGACAAGTGCCAATTTCTATCGCTGGTTTTCATGATTTGACTCAAACTTGATTGGACCGCAAAGTGTCCCATGCCAAGTGACTTTAGAAATTCACTTTTTTCTTGAACCTTGGCCATTTAATTCACTCTCATCTCGTGTCTTTTTATTATAGGCACGGGCATCCTCAGTTTGGTGGCCTGTGCCTCTTCTTTGGCTTATCACACGATAATGTGTATTCTTTATCAGTTTTAACCTCATTACAGGGATGGGGCGGTCGGGTAGCCTAGTGGTTAAAGGAAACACTCGTCACGCCAAAGACCCGGGCTTGATTCCCAACATGGGTACAATGTGTGAAGCCCATTTCTGGTGTCCCGCGCCGTGATATTGCTGGAATATTGCTAAAAGCGGCGTAAAACCATACTCACTCACTCACTCATTACAGTGATAATTATAACCCCTTCAATAGATGGACTCAAATGATCATGCAGTTCCCATCCCCCCTGACATACATCTGAGACCCCAGTAGTTCGTATGAATCCCTTGTTGTACATGGAAGTGTAAGGATGACTTGAACTGGGCTGCAGTACATGGATGACACTTTAAAATGTACGTAGTTAGATAGTTCAATAGTCTCGGGATACCAGACTTACTTCTCAACCTCGGCAGCCCACGCCTCCTCTGTTATTTTACACTGCACAATTCATGCACATCATGTATGTAAATCTGCGCTTGTGTAGGACAATCTTCACCCAGATGGAGCGGCACACGTACGTTGACCCCGACTATGCCTTCACTGACAGCGAGGCTGGTGGACGTCAGACACACCGGGACCAGTACATAGGGATGGTCCGACAGATGAGGGACGCCAGGCTCCATCTCAAGAAAGCAAAGTAGGTGAAACTGCCAAAATACGTAGAACCTAAAGCCAGATTGCTTCTGTTTCTCAGTTTATAGATTTATTTGTCTTAGGTAGGTGAGAAGAAATATGATAAGAATGATTTCGTTTTGCTTTGTTTTTGTCAAAAGGTTATCTGTATGGTAACCTATACAGTTTGGTAACCTGTCTTTGTTGTAACCTGTCCTCACCTTGAATCGACTGTATGCATCCTTTTCTTTGTTCTTTTGAGGTTTGGTGGAATCCATAAACCAATTAACTTACTTTGCATGTGAGATTACATGCTTTTGATGTCAAGAGGTAGAAGTCTGTCTGAAGGACACAGATGTCAAGTTGTCTGATTCTTGTGTAATGTAGAATCCCATTCATTGGGATATAATGTCATTTATCATCCAAAACTGGCTCCCACAGGAGATATCGCTTGGATGAGATCAAGCGATATCTACACTGTAGATATCGCTGCAATGAATTTACATCACAATGCTTTGCAGACCATTGTGACGTCATGGTAACCAGTGACGTCACAATCAAATGACATCACTAATGGCTCTGCTACTGAAGCTGTTTTCGGTACTTTTTACACTGAAGACACTGCTAATTACTGACTACAAATTGAAAAAGTTGAAAGAATGATGTTGGATGATAAATAAAATCTCACCCGAGTGTCTTTTGATATCAAATATATCAACACTCGTTGATAAAAGTGGCAAAAATCCTCAGCAAGCCTCGGAATTTTTCCACTTTTATTAACTCATGTTGATATATTTGATATCAAAAGACACTCGGGTGAGATTCTCTATATGTACTTGCAATTACATGGCTGTAGTGAAATGTTGATGCAGTTGATGCTGCCCATATTATGCTGTGGCTCATCCTTGTTTTCCAGTTACTGTTTATAGCCTTTGGGCACCTTTGCTATCCTTCAGGTCAAGTCAGAGTATTGTCCATCAGATCCATGTCTTTCAAAATTATTAGATAGTCATCTACTGTTTATGACTGATGATTTTTCTTATGAGAAACTCTTGTTACACTGAGTATATCCCACACGCAAGAGAAGACATGGGAACATGTTTGTTTGTTTGTTTGTTGTTTAATGTCGCACTCAGCAGTACTCCATCTCTATGACAGCATTCTCTAAATAATCAAGTCTGGACCAGACAATCCAGTGATTAACATCATGAGCAACGATCCACGCAATTGGGATCAATTTCATGCATCAACCAAGTCAGCGAACCTGACCACCCAATCCCGTTAGTTGCCTCTTACGACAAGCAGTGGCCTTTTATGGCAAGCATGGGTTGCTGAAGACCTATTCTACCCCGGATCTTCACGGGTCCATGGGAACATATGTCTGCATTGGTGTGATATTGTAACATCTACTTTTATCCTTCACAGAGAATTCAAGGAGACCAATAATAATGTTGAGATTGGGATCAAGTCCGCCGCAGGTCTCCGGCCTAAACGTTTATCACAGGAGCAGATCAAGCCTGACCCGAGCTGTGAGTGATTCTGTATGCTTCAAACATAAATACAACTGTCTTCAATCTCCTTCATCCTGCTACAAGATAAACAAAATAGATACACCTGATCATATCAAATCTTAGTAATGCCTCATTAAGACTTTCAGAAATTACTTGATATGTATATTTTGGAAATGTTTATTTTCCTTCCTAAATACTCATGCTGCAATAAGTTTATTAAGGAGATAGTGGTGCAGACTAGTGGCTAGTGTGTTTGCCCGTCATGTCGTAGCCTAGGGTTCAACTCCCCACCAGTAAAAACATGTGAAGCATTTGCTTAACAATAATAATAATGTGTATACTTATTATGTACAAATCCATCCCGAATGCCTGCTTAAAGCACTGCATTTTTACCCCGATTAATGGATCAGTGTGCACATGAATTTCAGTCTCAGCTCCCTGTGGAGTATACAACCCAAGCTGCCTTGAGGCGCCAGAAAGTTAACATTCCCATCTCATTCTGCCGGGTACCCATTCACTGCTGGGTGAACTTTTCTTGGTGCCCCTTAAGTCCTAAAGTTGCAATATTTCCAAGAGCAGCATGAACTCACCTGACCTGCCTAATGTTTCATACAATGTCATCTGTCCACCTTCAGCTCCACGACCACCAAATGCAGACTGGAAGTTGCTGAGCACTAAAAAACTGTCAACAGCGGAGAAAGAGGCACTGTCTAAACCTGTGAGTCTGCCCCATTGTAATTTAGCTTCCTCACTGGCAGTTCACTAGTCCCAGTGTTGCTTGACACGTGTGTTGTGTAAGGTAGTGGACAGAGGGCCCAGAGTGGGACTGCCATGTATTGTATAACCCAATCTCATTAAAATCAGTTCTTGGTTTTCGCTACCGCTAAACAAAGATCTGAGGACATCCCATTATGGGTCACGTCAGAACGACCTTTCGCGAAGTTTGACCGACCAATGAAATGACTTACAAGAAATCGTCATTGGTCAATCAGATGGCAGCTTTCTCGAGCTTCACCACACTAGTTTCAAACTGGTGACTACGCTTCGAAACATATTTTGACGTATTCTCGATTAAAGAGGAACATGCTGGAATGGCTTATAGATGGCCTAGATTGTTTGGATATAATCATAAAACCCGTAACTGTCGTTCGGAATACCCCGTGTTAAATATATTGTGGTTGCATGATTAGAAAACACATTTCGACTGTCACTTTCATGATCTGGTAAGCGACGCTCTGATTGGTTGGATGAAAGGTCGTTCTGACGTGACCCGTAATGGGATGTCCTCAGATCTTTGTTTAGCGATAGCGAGAACTAAGATCTGATTTTAATGAGATTGTGTATAACCAGACAGCACTGACTGGCAGTACATAACACATTGGTATTATAGTATTCTTCAGTATGGCATTCAAAGTGAAATGTTTTGTATAAAGTCATAGATTGTGATAGTTTGATGTTTATGATCCAGGTACGTGATGGCCTGAACGCTGTTCCGACAACCCAGCAAGAGAAGGCAGACTGTCGCAAGTGGCTGAGTCCACAACAGTTGCACCAACTTATCATAGGTCAGTTAGACATGGTCATGTGCACAGTTAGCATACATGGTCCAAGTACTAAGTATATGTGGCCCAAAGTCATAGTAATACATGGCCCAAGTGCACATTTATGCAAGGCCCAAGTGCCTGGCTCCTGTGTTTGATTATTATTAAAGAAGGCTGAAGTTGTTAGTTATATAAGGCCAAAACGCTTGGTTAAAGAAGGCTGAAGTTGTTAGTTATATAAGGCCCAAGTGGTTGGTTAAAGAAGGCTGAAGTTGTTAGTTATATAAGGCCCAAGTGGTTGCTTAAAGAAGGCTGAAGTTGTTAGTTATATAAGGCCAAAGTGGTTGGTTAAGGAAGGCTGAAGTTGTTAGTTATATAAGGCCCAAGTGGTTGGTTAAAGAAGGCTGAAGTTGTTAGTTATATATGAGGCCCAAGTGGTTGGTTAAGGAAGGCTGAAGTTGTTAGTTATATAAGGCCCAAGTGGTTGGATAAAAAAGGCTGAAGTTGTTAGTTATATATGAGGCCCAAGTGGTTGGTTAAGGAAGGCTGAAGTTGTTAGTTATATAAGGCCAAAGTGGTTGGTTAAAGAAGGCTGAAGTTGTTAGTTATATAAGGCCCAAGTGGTTTGTAAAGGAAGGCTGAAGTTGTTAGTTATATGAGGCCCAAGTGGTTGGTTAAAAAAGGCTGAAGTTGTTAGTTATATAAGGCCCAAGTGGTTGGTTAAGGAAGGCTGAAGTTGTTAGTTATATAAGGCCCAAGTGGTTGGATAAAAAAGGCTGAAGTTGTTAGTTATATATGAGGCCCAAGTGGTTGGTTAAGGAAGGCTGAAGTTGTTAGTTATATAAGGCCCAAGTGGTTGGTTAAAGAAGGCTGAAGTTGTTAGTTATATAAGGCCCAAGTGGTTTGTAAAGGAAGGCTGAAGTTGTTAGTTATATAAGGCCCAAGTGGTTGGTTAAAAAAGGCTGAAGTTGTTAGTTATATAAGGCCCAAGTGGTTGGTTAAAGAAGCCTGAAGTTGTTAGTTATATAAGGCCCAAGTGCTTAGTCATACTTTTGTAAGACCCAATTCACTCTTTTTCCAGTACTTATACACAACCAAAATGATTATTTGATTGGAGTTATCAACAGAGTTGTTTGCCCATGATTGCAGGCCCCCCAACCATTGACTTCAGCAGCGTGTGTCTGAGATCCAACAGTCAGAAGGAGCTCAACATCATCAACAACCTCGACCAGTACATCCACGTGGTAGCAGAGGTAGGCTTAAAGTCAGCAGGGCATATAGGATTAAACACGCTGAAGACAGACATATGCACATCTCACTGTCTTTAGGGTTGCTATACTGAGGATCCAGTCAACACAATGGCTCCTGTGTGTTAGTAGAATTAGTGTAGGGTGATTAGAATTAGGGCAGCTTCCAGCTGTGACCTTTCATATTATGACCGCAATATTGACCGCTGTTTTGTGTTTGGTCAGACAATATGCCATCATACAGCTTTGATATTGATGACTACATCATATAAAAAATCACCCACAAATGTGAGTCCTGTATATTACCAATGTCACAGCCTTGTCATAGCCGTGGTCTAGTGGTAGAGCGTCCGCCCGGAGAGCGGAAGGTCCGGGGTTCAATCCCCGGCCGCGTCATACCAAAAGACGTTAAAAGATGGTACTTGTTGTTACCCTGTCTGGCGCTCGGCATTAAGGGGCTAAAACAAGGACTGGTCGGCTCGGAGTCAGTATACTGTGTCTGAGTGGGGTATTCATGTTAAACTGCGGCATGGTATCTCAGTGAGCTAGCACTATAAATCGGCATCAGTCTGGACTAGTACAAGCAGCCACACAAACACACACACGTACATGCACGTCGCTATATAAGTGCAATAATCTTGGGCGCGACGTTAAACCCAATTTCACCTCACCTTGTCATAGCCTTGTCACAGCATTGTCACAGCCTATCAGGAGGCCTGGTGCTACTGTGAATGTTAATACTGATTTATGTTCACATCTGGAGCATTACACTTATCCAACTTGGCAGCCTGGCAGCTCCTGAATCCCACTGGAGTGTATCCGCTCTGGTACAGGAGCGCCATTGTAGGTGATGTACGGATGAGGTGCACTTTTCCAGACATCTGTATTGTTATTGATGATAATCACACTGGTAATCACACATGATGTTTGCAGATTGACTGTCGGGAGCTGCGGCAGAGCAGCCCTCTCTCCCAGGTGGTCCCACCCAAGTCTCGCGCCACCATCCCCATCCTCTTCGAGTCCAACACCAAAGGAAAGTTTCAGAGGTATGTCATAGCATAGGAATCGGAGGTTCTGATTAAAATGATGATTGCATTTTACTCTAAAACACCGCTCTCTTTATGAGAAACACTTGGAATGAATTGTGACCACAGAAATGTCGACCCGTGAAAATCCGGTGTAGAATAGATCTTCAGCAACCCATGCTTGTCATAAGAGACAATGACCAACGGGATCGGGTGGTCAGGCTCGCTGACTTGGTTGATGCATGTCATCGATCCCAATTGCGTGGATCGATGCTCATGATATTAATCACTGGATTGTCTGGTCCAGACTTGATTATTTACAGACCGCCGTCAAATAGCTTGAATACTGCTGGGTGCGGCGTTAAACCAACCAACCAACCAACCACAGAAATGTCATAAATGTTGCGAAAGAAAATCCTCATTCTGTTTTTTGGTTTGGTTTGTTGTTTTACACCCCATTCAGCAATATTCCATATTTTTTGGCTTTCTGATCAATACAAATCATGCATTAACCGTAGCTCAGCAATGTTGTAGAGATGTAACTCCTGTGTGTTTGCCTGTGTGTCAGGTCAGTGATGTACACTGTGAATGGCTTCTACAAGCACCATGTGACGGTGGTGGCCGACGTGGGGCCAGTCACCCTCCAGCTCTCCACGGAGGACCTGCTTCTCAAGCCCACCCCCGGGCTGCCAGCTGATGCAGGTACTGTACCTCACCCCACCCCCCTCCTCCAGGAGGGGGGGTGACAGATCATGTTGAAATGTTTCATGTTTAATTCTGCTTGAGTTTCTCACTATATGTTTGGGTCATGATTTCATTCACCTGTCTTGCTGAAGACATCTTGCATGGGTATAGGGTGTTATTTTATCGCACCCAACTGATGGAAGTGGTATTTCTTTTAGCCCACCTTCACTATCTATACTCGGGAGAACTTTTAAAGTTAACTTTCTTTGTTGATGTTGTTTGATTGTTGATTCACCTGGTTCCCTAGGTTACCGTGGCGTGGTGACCCTGCACAATCCCCTCAACTACCCCGCAGAGTTCACCTGGTCCCCAAACCTAGGGGAGAAGGGCACTGCTTTCTCCATCAGACCAGCTACAGGTAGGTTTACCTCAGTTACATATACACACGGGGGCAGGGGTGGCCCAGTCGTGTAAGGTGCCGCAATTTGCTGTGCAGAGTTTCATCCCTTGGGCATGCCAGAAACCTATGATTGTGGGTTCGAATCCCGGTGCGGCCCGATTTGTTTCTAGGTTTGTCAGCACCATACCCGTGCTCGTGTGTTTCACCGAAGTGGTAAACATCTGAGACCTGCATCACTTCTGGCTTTCCTCCCACATTAAGCTGACACGCCGCGATATAACTGGAATTCTGTTAAAAGCGGCGTTAAACCCAACTCACTCACTCACTCACACATATACACACAATGCATATATTAAGAAATTAGTGACAAATGGGAGTTGTTTATTGTACAATAAAACACTGTAAGGAGAATAAAACACTTGGGGCTGCGCCCCTAGTTTATTCTCCGTTTATTCTCCTGCAATGTTTTATTGTACGATTAACAATGACCATGAGCCGTTTATTTCTTATATGACATATCAACATTATGTACAGCCTCTTTAAGGATGTTGATAAAATGTACAACCTTTAAAAATAGTTACCTTGATTTTAAAAATGATGACTCCCTGAATAGAATCCAACCTTGGCAATGTCGGACAAGTCCATTTTATGAACAGGTTGGTTATGTTTAGTATTTCCCACATAATCTCACAATTCTCATGTTGATTGTCTGTACCTTTTCTCGAAATACCGATTTGTATTTTGGATGCCATCGTTTGGTTAATTCGTTTTTCTGCATATATGGGGAACAACTCACAAGACACTTCTTTCCAAAAAGTAACCTCGTCCAGTATATGACTTCATAAAGTTGCAAGCTCATATTCGAATATCCAGAAATGACATCATGATAGAACAATGTTTTATCGTGAAATAAACCGCACTTCATTCTTCATTGTTCTTTGCAATTTATCGCATAGCTATTTGATATTAATAAATATGTATAGATCTATGTGTGTTTCATTTTATGACAATAAGGGCTGGGACGAGTCCAAATTTTACTACCCAGGTACCCACCCCACTATTACCCAACCCTACCCGTGTACCCACTGTAGGTCTCAAGGGATAGGTACAAAATGTCCGATTGGGAATAGTTTGACCGTAGCCCTGGACAAAATGTATTTAGATCTGGTCATGCATACACTGAAGTTGACTGAAGTTTTATCTTTATTCAAACATATAAAGTCAGAAGGAATTGGTGCATAGTCAGAAAGAAATGCAAACATAAGGGACTTGTAGTGTAACCCAATTTAGTTCATTTTTGTCATTAAACAATATATCACATGACTAACCACGGGTCCGGGTAGTCCTGTGGGTACCCGGGCCCTACTCAGGACCCACCCGACCCGAGTACCAGAGTTACCCGTCCCAGCCCTGATGACATATTACCAAGGTTTGTGTGTAATGTTTCAGGTATGGTGGATGCCTTCAGTGACCTTGACTGTGAGGTTGTGTGGCATCCCTCCTTCATGGCTCCAGAGGATGGCTCCTTCACACTGATGCTCCTCAATGGCAACCCATCACAGTTCCGATGTCTGGCTCAGGTAGGTGCACGCTTTGTAGACAGCAGCACACATCACTTCATGCTCAGCCATTGCATTCTACAAGCATCACACTCAATACACTATGCTGCCCAAGAAACACAGTATGCTCTATGCTCAACACACTAAACCCAGTTCTCGCACACTATGCTCAATACTCAACACCACATTCTACACGCGACACTTCATGCTCAACACAACACTTTTTGAAGCCATTTTGCAGAGCTCCAGATAAGCTTTTGGTGTTGTGGGTATTTTACGCATGCATTTTAAAATCATTGGTTATCAGTAATTCTATCTGGCTATTCAAATTTCTGTTACCAACTAGTTTTTACAAATGTGGGTATTTAAGTTAAATATTTAAAAACACTATTCATCTAGTCCCTGCAAACTGGTGTCGTGTGGGTTCGAGAGCTTTATAGGACTCAAAAATACCACAATACTTCCACAAGAGAGTGTGATGGCAAATGATCATGATGTAACTGTCATTGTGGAGTTTGGCAAGATTGACGGAATGTCCGTTTATAATTTCAAAATAACCTGCTGATTTGCTAATCGAATACGCAGGGTTACTTCACAATATTTTGATGATATGCACAAGTTTTATTTTTGTAGCATATCTGTAATGTTCGCTGCGTATTTGATATGCTTGGATTTTATTTGACTGCATATTTCTGCATTTCTGATGCGTATTTACGCAGATACGCAGCTTATCTGGAGCTCTGCGTTTTGTAATATAATGTTTCTTTGATGTCTTTGTTTTGTATGCCCTACATTAAGGCTGGGATGAGTCCAAAGTTACTACCCAGGTATCCACACCCCGCTGTAGATATCAAGAGATAGGTACAAACTGTCCGATTGAGAAACGTTTGACTGTTGCCCTCGCAAACTGTATTTAGATACACATGTAAAACGATCTGGTCATGCATACACTGAAGTTTACTGCATGAAGTTTTATCTTTATTCAAACAAGTAAAATTTAGAAGGAATGGGTGCATAGTCAGAAAGAAATGGGAACATTAGTGACTTATAGTGTAACCATAGAATTTTAGATAATTTTGTCATTAAACTATATATCCCGTGACTAACCCCTGGTCCGGGTAGTCCTGTGGGTACCCTGGTCCTACTCAGTACCTACCCAACCCGAGTACCTGAATTACCCGTCCCAGCCCTACTCTACATGTTACATTGCTGTACAAGTAACTTGTCATTTGAAGACATCCGTGCCTAAAGTTAAATCCTTGCCATTGGAATAATGGCCATGTTTACGTTCCAGCTCGGCACCAGCTCAGTTCAATTTGTGGAACGAAGGATAATGTTTGGCCAGGTTCCAGTAAACCTGACTACCACCAGAACGGCTCTGCTACATAATTCTGGCCAGAACCATGCTTTCTTCCAGGTAAGTCACAACGATGTACATAAACACACACACACACAAGGTTAACAGATTCTTGCCACTAGTCGGTAATGTATTTTTGTCTCGCAAGTGCACAGACAACATATAAATTCAGTCCAGTATTTTCAAAAGTATTTGTGATAATTGTAAAGAATCAAGACTATGGCAAGTAATATGTATATGGAAGAATCTACACTGATTATACAGTCAAGTCTCGTTAATCCGACACTCGTTATTCGGACAGTTGGCTTTATCCGACACTAATAAAGGGAACCGATTAAATCAGTGCTATTTAGACCTGTTAATCCGACAGTCTCGCACTCCGACTCCGACACACCTAATTTGCAACGGATTAGCGAAATCACTCATTAATCGGTCTTGTTAATCCAACACAGTAATCAGCGTACTCTGTGGTCATCTGCTCGCGAGTACACAGCCAGTGTTTTGATGCGAGACAAGTCGACTGGTAGTTGCATATTACAAAGCTGCAGAGATAAACTTTGCTTAACAATAAACAATTAATGCTTTGAATAAAGAAAACAGGATTAATCACATGCTTAGATTACCTCAGTCTCATTAAAATCAGATACAAGTTCTCAAATTGCAGATGACATACCATTACAGGTCACGTCAGAAGAACCTTTCGCGAACTATGACCGATGAACGTTGGTACTACTAAATTTCGTTTATCCGACATACTCGTTAATCCGATATAATCATATGCAACCAGCCATGTCAGATTAATGGGACTTGACTGTATATATTCAATGTAGATTCTTCCATACCTCTCCAAAACAGGTTGTGAATATGATATGTTGATTAGAGTGTGATATTACCCATCAGGGCATGGTTATAGTGAACTTATTTTCAGTAATTTCCACTGAGTATTATAATTGTTCCATTATTTTAATTGTTTGTGATTAGACCCGTAGCACCGTGACATCCTATTAGCCCATTGTTCATTGAGGATGACATCATCAACTGTTTTGTGATGTCATGACAATTTATGTGATGTCATTCCAACAATAGACTCAGCTGATGTTGAGATCAACCCACATATTTTTAGTTTCTCCAACAAATTACCTGCATGGAATTACAAATTACCTGTGCTGACTGAATTAAATTTGAAATTAATGTTAAATAAATGTCACAAAATTAATTCAACTGTAATTCCTTGTAGCGCATAGGTAATTCTCTCACTCGTGGATCTCACCATGCAAGCAGGTGTTCAGGAATAATTTAATTGAAGGAGAAGCAAACAGATGTATGTGAAAATGATGGATATTATTTCCATGGCTTGTTTTATGAGACCTGCACAAAGCGATCTTAGCGCTAAGACTATCATAAGCCTATGATAAAGTATGGGAGAAACGATTATCTTAACGTTTAGATCGCTTTGTGCAAGTTGGCCCAGATCCCATACCACATAAATTATCTTAGTGCTAAGATGATTGTAAATCCCATACTTTAACATAGTCTTAGCGTGAAGATCACTTTGTGAAACAGGGCCCTGGAAGTAGCCATAACTTGAAAACCATGACAGGTGTGAAGTCCTGATGCAATGTTTTCCTCGGCTGACCGATAGTCCGGTGTTAGGGTGAGTTGTCCATCTCACTCTGTATTGTCCGTGTATAGGTCCTGGACCCCAACCCTTTCCCCGGGCTCACCGTGAGTCCGGTCCATGGAGTGGTGCCCGTCGGAGGAACGGCCGAGTTGAGAGTATCCCTCACCCCAGACGCTGTGCTCAAGTTCGACACCCGCGTCCAGTTGGCCATCAAGGGGGGGAAGACCATCGACCTGAGGATGGGGGGGACAGTGGAGCCCCCGAGTGTCGACATCAGCATGGTACGCCTATATTTTTGGAGTTGGAGATACGCTTTGGAAAATGGATAATGTGGCTTTATGTAGCAAACATTTATTGCATCTTTAAGTGGCATACATGAAGCTACCCGTGAATAGGTCTTCAGCAACCCATACTTGCCCGTAAAAGGCGAGTATGCTTGTCGTTAGAGACGACTAACAGGATCGGGTGGTCAGGCTCGCTGACTTGGTTGATGCATGTCATCATATCCCAATTGCGTGGAATGATGCCCATGATGTCAATCACTGGATTGTCTGGTCCAGACTCCATTATTTACAGACCCCCGTCATATACATACATTCATGTTGTATCTATAGACGAAAATAATTCCTTTGATCAAGAGTACCAGATGTTTATGTGTCTTCTGTATATTGCTGCTGGGGATCAAACAAGGTATCGGACATATCATCTAATTCAACTGTTATATTGATCCAGATACCATTAGTATAGCAAGCATCCCGTTTACAGCTTGATTTCTGTGTTGCAGCCTTCCTTCAACTTCGGTGGCGTGTACTGTGGATCCGGGTCCACCATCCAGTTCCAGCTGCTCAACAAGGTAACACTGGACCCGGTACAATGGGGCAGCAAGTGCAGACCAGGTTACCACTGGTTCCCAGAAACCTATGGTTCTTGTGAGAGGCGACTTAATGGATCGGATGGTTAGGATCGGTGACTTGGTTGATACTGTGTCATCGTACTCTGCGAGTGTGGGTGGTTGCTCTTAATATCAATTACTGGAGTGTCTGGTCCGTACTTGATTATTTACTCGCTATTGTCATATGGGTGGTACGTTGGTAGGTTTGGTGTTAAAATAACAAAAGAATAAATGACATGAATCGTTGCTTATGCAGTAGACCACAGGTTTGCCAGACTTGATATCTACAGCCCGCTTGGAAAAAGCTGAAATGATTCTGACTGTGGCGTAAACCATCATTCACTCACTTACTTGACTGATTAACTGGGCACAGGATAGCTTGGATGATCTGGTTCTAAGTAATCAATAAGGAAGGTCAGATGGTTCAATGCTTCTAAAAGTATTATTCTTGACTGGGTAAAAGGTGCTGGGTTTGCTCCTCATACTGAAGACACAGGTTCGAATCTCCAGTACAATGTGTAAAGCCCTTTCATAGTGTCCACAGCTATGATGTTTTCACACCTCGTCTTAACTCATTAATCAATAATAACAACAACGGTGACTGTAGTTCAAAACATGGTATCTTTTACTAAATCCTCAGTCACAATTGACTTCTCCATCTTACTGGCATTACCATGACAACATTAAAAACATATGCACATTGCATCACAATCAAGATGAATATATATACATACTGTAACTAAGGATACATGATCATGCATTCTACACTGTGAGATGGAACAAACTGGCTGTTTGCAAAGGGGCATAACTCTTGTAGCCCTTCTTGCATACCACTAATAATATAGTAACCTCATAACAATATGACAGGTGTGAAGCTTACTCACAAACTCGAATTTTGAAGAAAGCATTACCCAAATGATGCTTTTGATTAAGTTAATACGAAGTGACACCTGAAGCATCTCTGACATTTTCTTCATTGGTGTTTCTGGCAGAGGTATATGCACATCTATGCTTGTTGTATTGTGATGTCATAGACTGAGGTATTCACCACTATGTTTGTGTTGTATGGTGGTGTCGTAGACTGTCACCAAGGCAAAGATGGAGTTCGACCTGACACGCTTCAAGGACTTCACGCTGGCCTTCCCAGGGTTCCAGACTCAAGGTCAGTGTCAAGGTCACCCTAACCAGTGAAACACAACAGCCACAGATTCACAGATAAACAGTGAAATTCTGCTTGTCATTACACTGAACCTTAGCTGCAATACCACTTCACCTCTTTTGACGTATGACTGAGTATGAGTTGCACATCTAGATATTTGTTAATCTGGTCAATTTCACATCGTATGCTTAGAGTGGTATCATCTGGATTGAACAGCTTTTCAATTATAATAGATGAAACAGTGCCTTACAAAATGTTTTTAACTTAATGTTCTACTTGTAAACTCTTTTCAAGTCAATTAATGTTTCAAATTATCACAAATAGATAATTGCATGACTTAACCTATGATACAACTATTGTAGGAAGTAACAATCCTGATAACAACGATTGTAGGATGTAACTACCCTGATATCAACTATTGTATGACATAGCTATTCCTGATATCAACTATTGTATCATGTAACTTTTCCGATATCAACTATTGTAGGATGTAACTATTCCTGATATCAACTATTGTATGACCCTTCCATTCCTGATATCAACTATAGTATGACATAACTATTCCTGATATCAACTATTGTATCATGTAACTATTCCTGATATCAACTATTGTATGATGTGACTATTCTGATATCAACTATTGTAGGATGTAACTATCCTGATGATATCAACTATTGTAGGATGTAACTATCCTGATATCAACTATTGTAGGATGTAACTGCCCTGATATCAACTATTGTATAACCCTTCCATTCCTGATATCAACTATTGTATTATGTAACTATTCCTGATATCAACTATTGTAGGATGTGACTATTCTGATATCAACTATTGTAGGATGTAACTATCCTGATATCAACTACTGTAGGATGTAACTTTCCTTATATCAACTATTGTATGACATAGCTATTCCTGATATCAACTATTGTATGACATAACTATTCCTGATATCAACTATTGTATGACATAACTATTCCTGATATCAACTATTGTAAGACCCTTCCATTCCTGATATCAACTATTGTATGACATAACTATTCCTGATATCAACTATTGTATCATGTAACTATTCCTGATATCAACTATTGTAGGATGTGACTATTCTGATATCAACTACTGTAGGATGTAACTATCCTGATATCAACTATTGTATGACGTAACTATTCCTGATATCAACTATTGTATGACCCCTCCATTCCTGATATCAACTATTGTATGACGTAACTATTCCTGATATCAACTATTGTATGACATAACTATTCCCGATATCAACTTTTGTATGACGTAAATATTCCTGCTTTCAACTATTGTATGACACTTCTATTCCCGATATCAACTATTGTATGACATAACTATTCTTGATATCAACTATTGTATGACGTAACTATTCTTGATATCAACTATTGTATGACGTAACTATTCTTGATATCAACTATTGTATGACGATGCAGATGACTACAACTACCAGCTGATGAACCAAGGGATGTACTCGGTCACGCTTGGTCCGGAGGAGACTGTCCCAGGGGAGATAACCTTCATGCCCTCAGAGGTAGCAGCTAGACTGTCTCACAGTCCCTACACCATATTATTTTCCCTTTCACACAGCCCTTAATGTAATGTTATATCCCTATAGCAAGTCTAGATTTTCCCCGGACTCTGAATCTACCATCTCACTAGGGCTCCTTTTCAATTTATATATAGTCGCTTGTTTCTATCAAAATTATATATTTTCAGAGACTAAGTGTCTAAGGTAGCAGCCTACTCACCTATCGTCTTTAATCACATTTACACAAAATTCCACAATTGTTGAATACAGTTTTGAGAACATTCTTCTTTCTTCAGGCTATCTGTTAACTAAATTAAAAGTTGATCAATGAAGTCATAAAGTTAACCTGTTAACTTATCTTTGACATAATATTTCATATGATCAACAATTCTTTTGGGGGGGGGGTGGTAAAAACATAAAAAACATGATTATTATTTCCATTTAATGTTGACCAATGACCACCTACTCTGTAAACCAAGTGATGAACATAAAGATACCTGACCTGTATCTCACTCTTGCAGGTTGCTGCGTACGACTTTGTGATGCCATGTGTCATCAACCACGTGGGTGCCCCCACCCCTGCCCCCACGCCCTTCCCTCCCACCCCAGCCCCCTCACAGAAGAACAGTCTACAGCACATCATCAACCCCCGCCCCCAGCCGTTTATGGTTGTCACGCCCAGGAAACATGTCATTGCCACGGCACTGCGGCAGCCATTACAGCTGTCCCAGAACAGGATAGAGTTCTACCTTCCCCCTAGCATGCATGAGATGTACAAGGATACCGGCATCGGAGCCTCCAAGGTAAACTCTCTTCACTGATACTTAGTGCTAGGGTACCGTTCCACAAAGCGATCATAGCGCTACGACTATCGTAAATCTATGTTAAAGTATGGGAGTTACGATCATCTTAGCACTACGATCGCTTTGTGAAACAGGGACCAGGCTTGATACAGCTGTACATGGCTTTATTCTATTTTATGCTGATTGTTTTTTAGGCCAATCCAATTTTTGTTATTGATTTTATTATGAGCATTCCCAAATCTGCACTCTCAAACAAATCAGACAAAAATATGAAAATATTGTGAAAAAATCATCAATGTATTATAAGTTATTCATTTAAAATCATTATTTGGAAATACGTTTTTTTTCTTTCTCAAAATGCCATAATTTGTTGTGCAGAGTTGTGTCCCTTAGGCTTGTCAGGATCCTATGAGCCTGGGTTCGAATGTCAGGTTCTCCCTATTAAGTTTCTAGGTTTGTTAGCATCATACCCGTGCTTGTGGGTTTCACCAAAGTGGTAAAACACCTGCATCTCTTCGGGCTTTCCTCCCATATTAGTCTGACATGCAGTGATATAACTGAAATACAGTTCAAAGTGACCTTGATCTAAACTCACGCATAAGCTAGTTATGCCTGAAGATGTAGTAGGTTGGAGATGTATATTAGCTACCTTGTCCTTATTTTTTTTCATTTCTTTTCACAGAAACATGCCCAGGTATATATTATAGCACAGATTTTAGTTTGTTGACTGATGTTTTTGCATGAGCACTGATACCAGCTGATAGATAATATTAAAACCTAGACATACATAATTGTTATATTATTTTACTCTTCTACTTTAGTCATTAACATGTAATGGATATAACATTTAAAAATTTTAAAAAATTCTTTATAAAGAAATTCTTAAAGAAAAATAAACATGATAACATCCTAATCTTTTCACAGGAGTTTGAAGTTCTGATTAAAACAATGAATTTGTATGCCTGTTTAACTGTCGATTAAATAATGGTTGGAGGTGAGATCAAATGCGCTGTCCATTGGTAGTTTCTACCTAGACATGGGGTCGTTCGATAGTAAAAAGGGCATACAACTTCACTTCTTTAATAAGAACTTTAGATTCAGGTGATACTTGTAGCTGTGTCAGATAACTTAATGACAGTGCAAAAGTTACACCTCTCTACCATTCCTGTGTCAGACTTGATTCAGTTACTGGTCATCATTCTAGTGATTCTGACAATGGCATAAAGACACATTCCCCCACACTAATCATGCACTTGAATCACTTGTGTTATCTCTCACAGCACGTCATCATGATATAGAGAATCTCACCAGTGTGTCTTTTGATATCAAATATATCACCACGAGTGGATAAAAGTGGAAAAATTCCTCAGCAAGCCTCGGAGTTTTTCCATTTTTATCAACGAGCGTTGATATATTTGATATCAAGAGACATGAGGGTGAGATTTTATTTATCATCCAACATTATTCTTCCCAATTTTTCAGTTTGAAGACAGTAATAAGCAGTGTCTTATGTGTAAAAAGAACTGCTTACAGCTTCAGTAGCAGAGCCATTAGTGATGTCATTTGATTGTGATGTCATTGTAACCAATGATGTCACTGTGGTCTGCAAAACATTGTGATGCAATTTCATTGCAGCGATATGTACAATGTAGATATTGCTTGATCTTACACAAGCGATATCTCCTGTGGGAGCCAGTTTTGAATGATAAAGGACTTTAACATTTCACCACTTGAAGATCCGAGCTAAATTTGAAATTAGTGCCGTAAAGCACAAGAAAGCTGCCTTCTGATTGGTCATTCCATTAGTCAGTCAAAGTTCGCGCACGGTCGGTCTGACGTGACCCATAATGGGATGTCCTCAGATCTTTGTTTAGCGGTAGCGAGAACTAAGATCTGATTTTAATGAGATTGCTTGTGATACATGACTAGTTCCATAATTTAATACACCACTAATCATAAGATGTATTAATACACAACAATGCATGTACAGCCAGCATGACAAGTTTCAGTGGAATGATTTAAACGTTAGTCACCCACAGTTGGAGGGTTGTACTCACGCGCCTTGATAGTCATATGAAACAAGGGGTGGTTGGGTAGCCTAGTGGTTAAAGCATTCACTCGTCACACCGGACCCGGGTTTGATTCCCGACATGGGTACAATGTGTGAAGCCCATTTCTGGTGTCCCCCGCCGTGATATTGCTGGAATATTGCTGGAATAGTGCTAAAAGCAGCGTTAAGCCATACTCACTCATATGAAACGATGAGGTGTTCTTTAACTTCTTTTGAGTAGTATACAGTCAACTACATTTACAAAGAACATGCTTATAACGAACTGACGGATATAACTAACTATTTTTTTGGCCCCACCCATTTTCTGTATAATTTATCATATTAAATTGATTGATATAACGAACCCGCCCAGATTAACCCCTTTAGGTCTGGGCCTATGCCTAGTCCTGTTAACATGTGTTCCTACAAACAGGTTTTCCCTTAACGTGTGGGTCAAGGTGAGATAGTTAGAGTGTACAGAAACTTTAGCCTGACAACTTCTCTTACATCAGCTTAGGCCAGTAGGTAGAGCGTTTGCTCATCATGCAAAGGGTCAGAGTTCCATTCCCCACACTATAATAATATTCCAGACTTTGGTCTTGGTTTTCTCGACATTCACACAACTTCGAACATATTGAAAAACTGTGTGAAACTGCCAGCTCCCACTTCCACCAGTCCTACCTAACGCTAACAGTGTGTAGCACTTGTTGGCTGGTCACATCTACTTTTGTCTATATCGGAAGGGTCTGAAACATATTCCTAGCATTACTAATACATTATTTCCATTCAATGTTTCACCTCCGGAAACATTTTACAATTTGTACTGTATTCACTCAATCACTGAATGTGTCGTTACCCTTACTCTGGGTGAAAATACAGAGGAGAGTGGAGACTTTGATTTTGGTGTATACTCCCCAGGAAGTTGGGAATATGATTATACTCTGATCCTTTGAGATACTAAAATATGGCATGTGCTCTGAGTTTGAATCTGGCACTGCTACTGCAATCCTCGTCATTTTAACATTACATTTATCCTTACCTTTCTTTAAATATCAATCAAAAACTAAATTTGTATGATACCACGACTTTGTTATTTATCATTATAGCTAAAATGGATAGAATTATCATTAAACCATCCGCATGTTATCAGAAATCAGTGGGCCACTGTAACTTGATAATGCCCTCATATTGCTTGACGACGGGCCATTATCACGCCCGTTGTTAGGTGACGTCATAGGGTAGGGAGAAGTGACGTCATGTTCAATAGTGACGTCATCTGGTTTGTTCTATGACATTTCCATATTTGTAAAAGTGGGTCAGTGACATTCATGTTGATTGCAGTAAATGTTTCAAAACCGATATTGTTGTTTCTTTTTATTTGATAACAAATTCCATCCATTTTAGCTATAATAAAAGTAACGCTCTTTTTCAGGGCATTATCATTTGCAGAAGCCCTCAGTCTTTTCAACTGCCTTCCTTCATCAGGCAGTTAATGGAAGACCTCACGCTTCTGCAAATGATAATGCCCTGAAAAATAGCGTTACACTTAAAGTAGAAACCTAGATCTCCCAGATTACAGTACTCCCCCACTGCAGATAAACACTGGGGGATGTCTCTGCCTTGCTTATGTCTGTTGCACATTGTTGTCATTTTGTTATAGCCTCTCATCATAGTCAACAACAGCCCTCGCAACCTCAAGTGGGCGTTTGACTTGTCCAAGCCAACGAAGGCCCTAGAGGATGGGGCGCTGAAGTTCACCCACTCCTCTGGCGTGCCGTTCCTGCAGCTGCAGAAGAAGCCGAGTCGGGGGATTGAGGGAGAGTTGGAGCCGGGGCAGACCCAGGAGATCTCTGTCCACTTCTGTCCCGGTCAGTGTGTCCTGGGTGTCCAGTGACATGAAGGGCTCTATTACTATTTTTGCTAATTTGTTCCTGTTTCCATGGCAACAAGTTTGACTTTGACTCTTTTCATATGTGTATGTGTGTCCGGACCTTGTCACTAAAACTAACAAGTATTCTTTCATGAAACTTTGCAAACACAAAAACTAGGTTGTCAACTGGTGCCTTTTGCTATTTAGGGTGTTATATTTTTTCATTTTCCATGGCAACAACTTTGATTTGGACTCTATTCATGTTGGTGTGTACCTGACATTGAAATACAAAGTTCTGAATCCCAATTCCATGGTATTGTTTTGATAGTCTGTCTTGCAGCTCACCCCGGCAAGTTTGAGTGCCTGGTGCTGGTGGTCCTCTATGAGTTGTGTTTCAGTGTCTGTCTTGCAGCTCAACCCGGCAAGTTTGAGTGCCTGGTGCCGGTGGTCCTCTATGAGTTGTGTTTCAGTGTTTGTCTGTCTTGCAGCTCAACCCGGCAAGTTTGAGTGCCTGGTGCCGGTGGTCCTGGATGAGCTGTGGGACAAGCCCTACCAGTACCTGCACATTCTGGGGGAGCTGAAGGCGCCCCGGGTCTGGTTTGACCCCCTGGCTATCTGCCTCACCCCTGTGCCCCTCACCACCGAAGTCTCCTGTGAATTCAACATCCTGGGCTCGCAGTACCGAGTGTAGGTTGTCACAGTGACCTGTTAGTGTTATACAACGTGATCTCAGTAATTACTACTGGGACTGTTGCAACTGTGTAGGAAATGTGTTTTTAGATGTGGTCAACAAAGTACTGTAAAATAAGTAAGACGAGTTCTATGGATGAACAACTTCTTTTTTACAATTAGTGCGACGTTTCGGTGTAGATCCTAACACCTTTATCAAGAATCACTTGCTTGATAAAGGTGTTAGGATCTACACCGAAACGTCGCACTAATTGTAATAAAGAAGTTGTTCATCCATAGAACTCGTCTTACTTCATCACACCAACTTCTAAATGCCACTCAAAGAAGTTACTGTAAAATAAGACTTCACAAATGTTCTGAGCCCAGTTCCACAAAGTGATCTTAGCAGTAAGGCTATGTTAAAGCATGGGAGTTACAATCATCTTAGGGGCAGTGGGGTAGCCTAGACCCAGGTTCGATTCCCCACATGGGTACATTGTGTGTAGCACATTTCTGTTATTTCTGGAATATTGCTAATAGTAGCATAAAAACCATACTCACTCACTCACAATCATCTTAGCACTTAGATCACTTTGTGGAACGAGACCCAGGGTTGGACAAGTCTTTAAAAAAAATTCTCAATTATGTTCTTAGTGATGAATTACTGTATTTATCTCCCTAAATATGTTTGATATCTCACTGAAGTTATTAAAGTTTTATGTTGGAACTGTTTTCGGTCTGTTTCAAGGACAATGGTTTCCGCGGTAAGATCATAAAGATCTGTGAGAAAATACATAATAAACTGAACATTTGTCCTTGTCAAATAACATGTTTACTCAGGTCACTTGATGAGATAAACGTTTACCGGGTACAAACTGTACAGTGTGTCTGGAGTATTCACAGTTGAGAATGAAAGTCAGGGGGACATGAAAACCCTGAGTTTTAGTGGTTCCATACATCTAAATACTAAAGCAATTAACCTGAAGGACCCAAGGCCCTTTAACATGTTTCATTTCTAATGCTGGTCTTCCTTGTGTCTGTGCAGGTCTGACACGCTGAGTGTCGAGCTCCCCGAGGTGGAGTGTGAAGATGGTAGCAGCATCAGTCCTCTCACTGTCCACTTCCCTCAAGGTCAAGGTCAGTCACAGTTTTGTCTACAATCTACTGATCATTCAAATAAAGGTGTTAAAGGTTGTGTAAAAGGAAAACAATTATTGCGATTTTGTATAAATTTTCCTCGATGCATTTAGTCAGTTTGAGGGAAATATTCTTAATATTTGTAGAATGTTTTTAAAAGTCAAAGTGAAAGTGCTGAAATCACATGCTTGCAAAACAAAACTATTTTGGGTTGGGCCTTAAGCTACAGGTGCACCTTCGATCTTGACATTGTTAAGAATTAAGATAACAATGAACAATCTTTGACTAGCTCTTTTATGACAAACGTCCTGTTTGAGTCCTGAAAACCAGGGGTCTGGAAAATCGGGAAAACCCTCTGAATAGACCCCCGATTCCTGTGTACCAAAAGGGTGTTGGTAGCCTCACTGAAGACATCTTTACTGTTGTTACTAATAAGGCATAAATTGACTTAAGTTGTGGACAGAAAAAAATCATGGGCAGAAGCAGGCAGACTTGGCACCTGTCCTATTGTTAAAATCATTGACTGGGAACTCGTTTTAATCCCTACAAGAATTCCCGCAGTGGCAAATTCTTTTATTCGGGGGACAATTTCGTTTTTTTTATTTGTATTGTCTGTATTACGCTGTTGTCGTTTTTTTATTTTAATTTTGGTCAGGCATGTGTGATTAAGTAGTACAACCTGCAAAATTGCTATGTTGACTTTACTTGACCTTTGAACTTAACTTCAGTTTTGTTTAAAACTCATGCTTTAAGGGTCGTATGTTGCATGCCTTTGCTTTCATATATACTTTCAACTCTTGCTCCAGAAATCAAGCCTTGTGCTGGAGATGAGGGACAGATTGACCCCTGCTGTATCCCCTGCAAGGTCACCTTCATCAGCCCCAAACCGATCTCCTTTTCTCAGCCAATCAACTTTAAGGACACAGAGGGCAGAATGTAAGGGAGATAACTCATAATGTTTTACTGATTAGTATTGGTAACTTACTGGATGTCTGCCTCATTTCCAGAATGTAGGAGACAAGTTTTAAATAGCATATTTCAATAATCAATGCCACATCTATATTTCATAATTGCAAAATGCAGTTGTTCGTGAAGAATAATGTATCAATTTAAAAGTTGATTGTAAGGCAGTTGATCATTTAAGTTGTACTATCTGAGTTATTTACCTTCTTATAGTGGGGACACGGGTGGCCTAGTCGTCTAAGGCATCGCGATTCGCTGCACAGAGTTGCGTCCCTTGGGCACGCCAGAAACCTATAATTATGGATTCGAATCCCAGTTCGCCCCGATTGTTTCTAGGTTCTTCAGCACCATACCCATGCTCGTGGGTTTCACCGAAGTGGTAAACATCTGAGACCTGCATCACTTCAGGCTTTCCTCCCACATTAGGCTGACACGCAGCGATATAACTGGAGTACTGTTTAAAGCGGCGTTAAACTCACACCCACCTTCTTGTAGTAATGGCTAGCTATGCTCAATGTGATGAACATGCTCTGTGGTAGGACTAGTCAGTGCCAATATGCTACATGTCACATGACTTTGTGTCTTCATCTCGTGTGTGACCTTCTTCACCTTGATTTCCAGATTTTCCCTGATGGTGACCGCATCGTCGGACAACTGCCTGCTGACCTGCTACCCATTCCTGGCTCTCCATCGCAGTGACCATCAGATAGTCTGTGAAAATGTACTTCAATCTTCTCTAGCTTTAAAAAGGGACTATGCTGTACGGCCTCTGCTTCATAACCCATTCACAGTCAAGGTCCAGAACCCACTTGCACAAAGCGATCTTAGCGCTAAGATGATCGTAACTCCCATACTTTAACATAGGCTTACAATAGTCTTAGCGCTAAGATCGCTTTGTGCAAGTGGGCCCTGATCGGGTTATAAGTGCCTGAAACCGAGACACTGTGTCTGCGTAATTTGGGCAATAATTAACTTCCAGATTGATATACATCTAATAGATGGATTCAGCAGACAAAGCAAATAAATCAAATCAAATCAAGGACAGTCAGCCCAAGCCTAGTCCCTCTTTAAAGTGTATGAATTAAAGAGAGTCACAGATAGAAGGAAGCCTGGCTGTATTGTAGAAAATCAGGGGGCATGGGTTGCCCAGTTGTCTTTAATGCCGCAATTTCAACTGTGCAGAGTTGCATCCCTTGCGCATACCAGAAGCCTATGATTGTGGGTTCGAGTCCCAAATTATGTTACTTGGTTTGTCGGCACCACAACTGTGCTCATGGGTTTCACCAAAGTGGTAAACATCTTGGACCTGCATCGCTTCAGGCTTGTTACCAACATCAAGTCGATACACCGTGATATAACTGAAATACTGTTAAAGTGGTGTTAAACCCAACTCACTGACTCATAGAAAATCCAGGTTAATTCGTCACATGGGTGCTTCTTGTGTAGAATGTTCTTGTGCAGAATGCTGCATTAAGACTTTCCCAGCTTCCTACTGTTTGTGAGTTTAGAGGATTATAAAACACATAAAATTGCAAGTATGTTACTAATTGGTTTAGATCACGGTTTGCAGTTTTATATGACCTTGAATCAACTAACCCATCAGTGTAGTTCATGTATTTTACCATTAAATATTTTTTCGTCCGTTCGTTTGTCCGTCCATCTGCCTGTCCGTCTGTCCGTTCAGTCGTCTGTCCGTCCGTCCATCCGTTCGTTCGTTCATTCGTTCGTTCGTTCGTTCGTTCGTTCGTTCGTTCGTTCGTTCGTTCGTTCATTCGTTCGTTCTTTCGTCACCTTCGTTGTTCCCATCATTAGATTAACTGACCATCCTCTGTGTGCAGGGCTCCTCCCCCAAGGGTCATAAGCTGTTAGGCTCCAAGGACACTCTGAGTGCAGGTGAGGCCGTGCTGGTGCCGTGTCAGTCCCCCAACCACTCCAGCAGCCGCCCAAGCACCAGCGCCACCAGCTCCAACTTCCAGATCTCCTCCTCAAGCTACGAGTCAAGCGACAGCGTCACAGGTAGGGCTGTCCTGATTGGTTCAACTACTGTACATGTCCTGGCGGGGTACTTTGATTACAGGTTACAGAAAACCCTTCACACCTAAGTCATTGCCGAACCATTCAGAGCTGTTACTAGGATTTATCTGCTTCAGATTCAGCTGACAACAGCACACCTCACCCTCGTGATGGCGCCATGAACAAGCCGCAGTCTGGGTCGGACATCAACTGCCGCATCAATGCTGGTCTTGCTACACGATCTCTGGGGTCGGCCATGTTCCCTGATGAAGATACTGAGGAGGGAATATTTCACATGGAGGTCCTGTTTGCTGTGCAGAGATGGTTCTCCTCTATGGGATGGCCGGGGGGACCTTTCCCCATCACAATACCAGAGTCTCTCCGAGTGTAAGTACAAAGCAATACCAGAGTCTCTCCGAGTGTATGTACAAAGCAATACCAGAGTCTCTCCGGATGTATGTACAAAGCACTACCAGAGTCTCTCCGGGTGTAAGTACAAAGCAATACCAGAGTCTCTACGGGTGTAAGTACAAAGCAATACCAGAGTCTCTACGGGTGTAAGTACAAAGCACTACCAGAGTCTCTCCGGATGTATGTACAAAGCACTACCAGAGTCTCTCTGAGTGTAAGTACAAAGCACTACCAGAGTCTCTCCGAGCGTAAATACAAAGCAATATCAGAGTCTCTCCAAGTGTAAGTACAAAGCAATATCAGAGTCTCTCCAAGTGTAAGTACAAAGCACTACCAGAGTCTCTCTGAGTGTAAGTACAAAGCAATACCAGAGTCTCTCCAAGTGTTAGTACAAAGCAATATCAGAGTCTCTCCGAGTGTAAGTACAAAACACTACCAGAGTCTTTCTGAGGGTAAGTACAAAGCACTACCAGAGTCTCTCCAAGTGTAAGTACAAAGCAATACCAGTGTCTCTCTGAGTGTTAGTACAAAGCACTACCAGATACTCTCTGAGTGTAAGTACAAAGCAATACCAGTGTCTCTCTGAGTGTTAGTACAAAGCACTACCAGAGTCTCTCTGAGTGTAAGTACAAAGGAATACCAGAGTCTCTCTGAGTGTAAGTACAAAGCACTACCAGAGTCTCTCCGAGTGTAAGTACAAAGCAATACCAGAGTCTCTCTGAGTGTAAGTACAAAGCACTACCAGAGTCTCTCTGAGTGTTAGTACAAAGCACTACCAGAGTCTCTCTGAGTGTAAGTACAAAGCAATACCAGTGTCTCTCTGAGTGTAAGTACAAAGCAATACCAGAGTCTCTCTGAGTGTAAGTACAAAGCAATACCAGAGTCTCTCTGAGTGTAAGTACAAAGCAATACCAGAGTCTCTCTGAGTGTAAGTACAAAGCAATACCAGAGTCTCACTGAGTGTAAGTACAAAGCAATACCAGAGTCTCTCTGAGTGTTAGTACAAAGCATCATCAATCTCTCCCAGAGTAGGTACATCACAACATATTTTTAAAGGAGCAAGAAAAGACAAATCATTATTTGAGTGTCTGCTGATTTGTTTCAGAGATGAACGTCCACGTTCTTCCATGTAAGTGAAGGATCTAGAGTCTAGATGATGTAGTTGACATAGACTGTCTGTATACCATCAGTAGTTCTTCCTAACTCAGAGAGACATGTAGATTCAGCCAATAATAATAATCATAATCATAATCATAATAACCATCATAATCATAATCATTATAATTTCATTTTAATATCAACCATATCCCTTCTCACACTATACATTACTTCCTTCATCTTTTGATCCTTATGTGGGCGGTCGGGTAGCCTCATGGTTAAAGCGTTCTCTCGTCACGCCGAACACATCCCAGGATCACCATGGACACCATCCAAACAATAGGGTCATGCGCTGATATTCCGTGCACAGTGTCCTATCACAAGCTTACATACCTACCTCAGCCCAATCCTTATCTTTCTCATCAACCCTCAGTGAAGACGTGTTTGAATATTTTAGAAAATACAGTTTGTTACATTTTGTTTTTTGCCTGATTACACTACAATCTGAGTGTAGAAGATGATGGGTCAGATCTATGTTAACATTGCCCTGATTACACTACAATCTTAGGGTAGAAGATGATGGTTCAGATCTGTGTTAACATTGCCCTGATTACACTACAATCTGAGGGTAGACGATGATGGTTCAGATCTGTGTTAACATTGCCCTGATGACACTACAATCTGAGTGTAGAAGATGATGGTTCAGATCTGTGTTAACATTGCCCTGATTACACTACAATCTGATGGAAGACGATGATGGTTCAGATCTGTGTTAACATTGCCCTGATTACACTACAATCTGATGGTAGAAGATGATGGTTCAGATCTGTGTTAACATTGCCCTGATTACACTACAATCTGAGGGTAGACGATGATGGTTCAAATCTGTGTTAACATTGCCCTGATTACACTACAATCTGATGGTAGAAGATGATGGTTCAAATCTGTGTTAACATTGCCCTGATTACAGTTCAATCTGATGGTAGAAGATGATGGTTCAGATCTGTGTTAACATTGCCCTGATTACACAACAATCTGATGGTAGAAGATGATGGTTCAGATCTGTGTTATCATTGCCCTGATGACACTACAATCTGAGGGTAGAAGATGATGGTTCAGATCTGTGTTAACATTGCCCTGGTGACACTACAATCTGATGGTAGAAGATGATGGTTCAGATCTGTGTTAACATTTCCCTGATGACACTACAATCTGATGGTAGAAGATGATGGTTCAGATCTGTGTTAACATTGCCCTGATTACACTACAATCTGAGGGTAGAAGATGATGGGTCAGATCTGTGTTAACATTGCCCTGATGACACTACAATCTGATGGTAGAAGATGATGGTTCAGATCTGTGTTAACATTTCCCTGATGACACTACAATCTGAGGGTAGAAGATGATGGTTCAGATCTGTGTAACTTAAACTTCCCCTGATTACACTACAATCTGAGGGTAGAAGATGATGGTTCAGATCTGTGTTAACATTGCCCTGATTACACTACAATCTGAGGGTAGAAGATGATGGGTCAGATCTGTGTTAGCATTGCCCTGATTACAGTTCAATCTGAGGGTAGAAGATGATGGTTCAGATCTGTGTTAACATTGCCCTGATTACACTACAATCTGAGTGTAGAAGATGATGGGTCAGATCTGTGTTAATATTGCCCTGATTACACTACAATCTGATGGTAGAAGATGATGGTTCAGATCTGTGTTAACATTGCCCTGATTACAGTTCAATCTGAGGGTAGAAGATGATGGTTCAGATCTGTGTTAACATTGCCCTGATTACACTACAATCTGATGGTAGACGATGATGGTTCAGATCTGTGTTAACATTGCCCTGATGACACTACAATCTGATGGTAGAAGATGATGGTTCAGATCTGTGTTAACATTGCCCTGATTACAGTTCAATCTGATGGTAGAAGATGATGGTTCAGATCCGTGTTAACATTGCCCTGATGACACTACAATCTGATGGTAGAAGATGATGGTTCAGATCTGTGTTAACATTGCCCTGATTACACTACAATCTGATGGTAGAAGATGATGGGTCAGATCTGTGTTAGCATTGCCCTGATTACAGTTCAATCAGAGTGTAGACGATGATGGTTCAGATCTGTGTTAACATTGCCCTGATTACACTACAATCTGATGGTAGAAGATGATGGTTCAGATCTGTGTTAACATTGCCCTGATTACACTACAATCTGATGGTAGAAGATGATGGTTCAGATCTGTGTTAACATTGCCCTGATTACACTACAATCTGATGGTAGAAGATGATGGGTCAGATCTGTGTTAGCATTGCCCTGATTACAGTTCAATCTGAGGGTAGAAGATGATGGTTCAGATCCATGTTAACATTGCCCTGATTACAGTTCAATCTGAGGGTAGAAGATGATGGTTCAGATCTGTGTTAACATTGCCCTGATTACACTACCTTCTGATGGTAGAAGATGATGGTTCAGATCTGTGTTAACATTGCCCTGATGACACTACAATCTGATGGTAGAAGATGATGGTTCAGATCTGTGTTAACATTGCCCTGATGACACTACAATCTGATGGTAGACGATGATGGTTCAGATCTGTGTTAACATTGCCCTGATGACACTACAATCTGATGGTAGAAGATGATGGTTCAGATCTGTGTTAACATTGCCCTGATTACACTACCTTCTGATGGTAGAAGATGATGGTTCAAATCTGTGTTAACATTGCCCTGATTACACTACCTTCTGATGGTAGAAGATGATGGTTCAGATCTGTGTTAACATTGCCCTGATTACACTACAATCTGATGGTAGAAGATGATGGTTCAAATCTGTGTTAACATTGCCCTGATTACACTACAATCTGATGGTAGAAGATGATGGTTCAGATCTGTGTTAACATTGCCCTGATTACACTACCTTCTGATGGTAGAAGATGATGGTTCAGATCTGTGTTAACATTGCCCTGATGACACTACAATCTGATGGTAGAAGATGATGGTTCAGATCTGTGTTAACATTGCCCTGATGACACTACAATCTGATGGTAGAAGATGATGGTTCAGATCTGTGTTAACATTGCCCTGATTACACTACAATCTGATGGTAGAAGATGATGGTTCAAATCTGTGTTAACATTGCCCTGATTACACTACAATCTGAGGGTAGAAGATGATGGTTCAGATCTGTGTTAACATTGCCCTGATTACACTACAATCTGATGGTAGACGATGATGGTTCAGATCTGTGTTAACATTGCCCTGATTACACTACAATCTGAGGGTAGAAGATGATGGTTCAAATCTGTGTTAACATTGCCCTGATTACACTACAATCTGATGGTAGAAGATGATGGTTCAGATCTGTGTTAACATTGCCCTGATTACACTACAATCTGATGGTAGACGATGATGGTTCAGATCTGTGTTAACATTGCCCTGATTACACTACAATCTGATGGTAGAAGATGATGGTTCAAATCTGTGTTAACATTGCCCTGATTACACTACAATCTGAGGGTAGAAGATGATGGTTCAGATCTGTGTTAACATTGCCCTGATTACACTACCTTCTGATGGTAGAAGATGATGGTTCAGATCTGTGTTAACAATATTTCATGCACTTTATGTTAGCATGTTGCCATATTGACATTTACTTATCGGAGACAGTAACTAACAAAGATGCATCATATTACTGACAAACTCACACCAGTTAGCAGGGGCCTATAGATAGTAATTCTGTAGTATTCTCTGCTCTCAACTTATTTACAGGAACAAATGCATAATATAGTTACTCTTTATAGCTTTAACTGATAGACTTTAAATTAGAGGTAATGGTGGTGACAAAACTAATTTGCCATTTGAATTACATGTATGTTTGAACATATTTCTTTTGAATGAATGTAATATGTCGAAACTATTTCTCCACGAATTACATGTGGTATATGTTTTCTCCTTGAATTACATGTGGTATGTGTCAAACAAATTTCTCCATGAATTACATGTGGTATATGTCAAACATATTTCTCCATGAATTACATGTGGTATGTGTCAAACATATTTCTCCATGAATATATGTGGTATATGTCAAACATATTTCTCCGTGAAGTACATTGGATATCTGTCGAACATATTTCTCCATGAATTACATGTGGTATGTGTCAAACATATTTCTCCATGAATTACATGTGGTATATGTCAAACATATTTCTCCATGAATTACATGTGGTATGTGTCAAACATATTTCTCCTTGAATTACATGTGGTATGTGTCAAACATATTTCTCCATGAATTACATGTGGTATATGTCAAACATATTTCTCCATGAATTACATGTGGTATATGTCAAACATATTTCTCCATGAATTACATGTGGTATGTGTCAAACATATTTCTCCTTGAATTACATGTGGTATGTGTCAAACATATTTCTCCATGAATTACATGTGGTATATGTCAAACATATTTCTCCATGAATTACATGTGGTATATGTCAAACATATTTCTCCGTGAGGTACATGTGTCGAATCATGTCTTGCATAATTTACATTCGGTATGTGTGGAACCATGTCTCCATGAATTACACGTGGTATAGTATTACACTGTATATACAATATTTGTCTGTATCTCTCTGAGCATCACTGGTCTCGCCCTGTGAACTGAACAAAGCTTTGATCTGTGATGACACGGCATATATAATATCTGTCTGTGTTGTAGGGCCATCTCCCGCAAACCAGCGGAGGAAGAGGGGGGCAAGGGTCCGAAGTCTGGTGGCTGGGACACCAACAATCTCAAAAAGGACTTCAAGACCATCTACGACATGATCAGCCATCTAAGTGGGCGTCCTGTCCCAGGGATCCCCCTTAACTCCTCCCTCCCTGCTGACCCCCTAGAGAGGGTCAAACAGATCTACTGGCAACACTCAACACTTCTCACCTTCCTCAGGTAAGTCATTGATGAGGTAATCATTGTTAAATCTACCTGTCCACTTGTTCAGGTAAGTCATTGTTAAATCTACCTGTTCACTTCCTCAGGGAAGTCATTGTTGAATCTACCTGTTCACTTCCTCAGGTAAGTCATTTCCTGAGGTAGTTGTTTAATCTACCTGTCCACTTCCTCAGGTAAGTCATTGTTAAATCTACCTGTCCACTTCCTCAGGTAAATCATTGTTAAATCTACCTGTTTACTTTGTCAGGTAAGTCATTGTTGAATCTACCTGTCCACTTCCTCAGGTAAGTCATTTCCTGAGGTAATCGTTATTGAATCTACCTGTTCACTTAATCAGGTAAGACATTGCTATTCTACATATACATTTTCTCAGGTAATTCATCAATTAATCTGTTGTGTAATAGATTTTCTTGCTTGTTTGCGCAGGTGTCAGGGAGCCTGTGTAGCTGCGATCAGGCCGGAGCATCTGATGGAACCACGTGACTACAGTCTGTGGAAGCGTCTTCAGCAGCAGCTCAAGATGGAGCTGGTGAACCAGGGGATGACCGAGGAGGCTGGCCGTATCCGTGACAATGAGGAAGAGCTGGAGGAGGACGTGTTCGAAGCTGTGTCCAAGAGAGCATGGACGGACATACTGCTGCAGATATACAAGGTGAGTCGGAGGCTGCATGGCGGTTGTCGATAGTCTTACATGCTACAATAACTTTACTGATTCAGATCGTGGCTGTAGTCATTCAATTACCCATTAATGATGATTTCTACAGTGTTGTCATGATGGTCTCCATGTGTGGTTAATACATAGTGATTATTTTACGAGCATATTTGTCATATTAATTTTACAAAACAAGTCTCAGAACTCTTGTATTTTCCGAGCAAAAGCAAGGGTAAAACATGAATTCTTTCACAAGTTTCAAAAAATCAGAATGACATACATACAAGTGTAATAATTTCTCTTTTATCCATTATTTCTTAATCCTTTTGAGCTCCACTTTAGAAAAATGCACGAACGACGACTGGCGTCTTGAAAACCACAATTGTCGTGTGATGTCAACAAATGTCAGCTATGACATCAACAATAATGACTGGAACAATAGACTGGTGTGCGTGATGTGATATTTGTCCCAGTGGACATACGATATTTACGTACTCGTTTATTTCTATCCCTATGGGAAATGAAAGGGTGTCGAGAATTCACAGTATTATGCCTACTTTCTACTTTCAACACCTAGTGTCTCGATCCTTATCACAAACACCGATTATCAAGTGCTGATGTACATAGGGGTTCTGGACAGGGGAAGATCCTCATGAAGTAGATCCATATGACATTCCTGTCTCACTTGCAGTCCCTGGTTCTGGCGAAGATTACGCCTCGCACACTGAAGACCATGGCCTCTCCAGACCGCAACGTGGCCCTGCCAAGTATCAACCCCGACCCTCTGTCCAGCAACGTCTACTGTGTTTCTGAGCGCATCGTACTCTCCTGGCTCAACCACCACTTTGAACACTACAGGCACACAGTGTGGGAGAACTGCCCCAATGGTGAGTTGACCCGACATAGGGGAAGTGAAATATGAAAAGACTGTGTCTACTAAGTAAGGATAAGATGTATGGATGAACAATTTCTTTATCACAATTACAGCTTCTTTATTAATAAAAAAGTTGTTCATCATATATCTTATCCTTTCTTAGTACTCCAAACCCATGAAGATCCGGGGTAGAATAGGTCTTCAGCGACCCATTCTTGCTGTAAAAGGCGACTAACAGGATCGGGTGGTCAGGCTCGCTGACTTGGTTGAAGCATGTCATCGTATCCCAATTACATAGATCTAGAACGATGCTCATGATGTCAATCACTGGGTTGCCTGGTCCACTCCACCGTCATATGGCTGGAATATTTCCGAGTGTGGCATTAAACAACAAACAAACAAACAAAAAACAAACTTAGTGCGCTAACTTCCAAATGCCTCTCAAAGAAGTGTGTCTATTAAGGTGGTAAGATCAGATTATGTTTGATAATGATTTTGTGTCTTGTAGTTGACTTAACCAAAATGAAAGCCCTTTCTTTAATGAATATGTTTTATGTTGTTTTTATCTGCCTTGTTTCCCCTCAATTGAAGGTGGGGTCCCATCTTCTCGATGGATTGTCAACTATGACTTTGACCTTCTGGATGGGTTGGTGTTTGGTGCAGTGTTGGGAGCTCACATGCCCTTCCTGGTAAGTGTGTACAGTGCTGTGGCAGTGTTTGGAGCTCATGTTCTCTTTCTGTTTTGTCATCTTTTAAAGCTTGCAGTTTCCTGGCTGCGAGGTGCATGTATTTTATTGTAAATGTCAACCTGACATCAGATAATACAGTTAATGATCTCTCCCCATGCCCCTCGTCCCTCACCCCTCATCCCTCACACCTCATCCATCACCCCTCTTCCCTTGCCCCTCGTCCCTCACCCAACATCCCTCACACCTCATCCATCACCCCTCGCCCCTCACCCCTCGTCCCTCACCCCTCGTCCCTCATCCCTCACACCTCATCCCTCACACCTCATCCATCACTCCTCGTCCCTTGCCCCTCGTCCCTCACCCATCATCCCTCACACCTCATCCATCACCCTTTCGTCACTTGGCCCTCGTCCCTCACCCCTCATCCCTCACACCTCATCCATCACCCCTCGTCCCTTGCCCCTCGTCCCTCACCCATCATCCCTCACACCTCATCCATCACCCTTTCGTCACTTGGCCCTCGTCCCTCACCCATCATCCCTCACACCTCATCCATCACCCCTCGTCCCTTGCCCCTCGTCCCTCACCCATCATCCCTCACACCTCATCCATCACCCCTCGTTGCTTGCCCCTCGTCCCTCACCCCTCATCCCTCACACCTCATCCATCACCCCTCGTCCCTTGCCCCTCGTCCCTCACCCCTCGCCCCTCATCCATCACCCCTCGTCCCTTGCCCCTCGTCCCTCACACCTCATCCCTCACCCCTCACCCCTCATCCATCACCCCTCACCCCTTATCCATCACCCCTCGTCCCTTGCTCCTCGCCCCTCACCCCTCACCGTGTCATGAGCTATTCGAGATTGCTTCCACAATGGAACCATCAGCCTGTTTCTGTAAATCTAAATCTATGGAACAAAGCCACACAAACATATTTTTTTTTAATTAGATGTATTTGTGAACACAAAATTCCATTCCTTACTCAAAACTATGATTAAAGGATGAGTTTGGATAAGTTACCTTTTGGGCCCACAGTAAATACAGTGTAAGTCGGTGAACCAAGATGAAGTTCTCCCATGTGTTCTTACAGTTAGCTACATCTATGAAAATCATCTTGAGTAAAGACTTGCTCATGTTCAAGTATTAGGAAAACACTTACCACTTAAGCCTCTAAAACAGTTTGAAAGATTTCAGCCTTACAATGCATTTAGGATTGTTATAAGCTGCAAAACTGCAGTTGTTGATATGAGCCAAGTTATAATTCATACAAACACATCTGATAACTTTCATAATGATTTATGAAGCTATCCTTCATATATATATGTTCCTTGGGTCAAGAAGAGCCCTTATCGTACCTTGTCCTTTTGTGTGTTTTGATAATATGTTATACTTCTGATACGTATATAGTCACGTTGGTATACTGTGATGGGAAATACATGAGAGGTTTAAACTTCAGGTTCTAACTGAATGTAAGATTGTGTAAGCTTGTACGCATTGCCAGGGAAAAGTAAAAATAGCGTCCTATGCAAGTGAGACAGATAACAAAACACTGCTTGTTTGCAATGGAAACCTGTGTTTCCATGTTCCTGGCCCTGGGAATCGTTCAGGATGTTTTGGGGACTGGCCAATGTATTGTTGTGGTGTTGTGGAGTGTTCGAATGTACCTGCTGAATGTCTTGTGTACTGGTGAATGCATTGTTGTGGTGTTGTGGAGTGTTCCAATGAATGTCTTGGGTACTGGTGAATGTATTGTTGTGGTGTTTTGGAGTGCTCCAATGAATGTCTTGGGTAATGGTGAACGTATTGTTGTGGTGTTGTGGAGTGTTCCAATGAATGTCTTGGGTACTGGTGAATGTATTGTTGTGGTGTTTTGGAGTGCTCCAATGAATGTCTTGGGTACTGGTGAATGCATTGTTGTGGTGTTGTGGAGTGTTCCAAAGAACCTGCTGAATGTCTTGGGTTCTGGTAAATGTATTGTTGTGGTGTTGTGGAGTACTCGAAAGAACCTGCTGAATGTCTAGGGTACTGGTGAACGCATTGTTGTGGTGTTGTGGAGTGTTCCAAAGAACCTGCTGAATGTCTTGGGTTCTGGTGAATGTATTTTTGTGGTGTTGTACAATGAATGTCTTGGGTACAGGTGAATGCATTGTTGTGGTGTTGTGGAGTGTTCCAAAGAACCTGCTGAATGTGTTGTGTACTGGTGAATGTATTGTTGTTGTGTTGTGGAGTGCTTCAAAGAACCTGCTGAATGTGTTGTGTTCTGGTGAATGTATTGTTGTGGTGTTGTGGAGTGTTCCAAAGAACCTGCTGAATGTGTTGTGTACTGGTGAATGTATTGTTGTTGTGTTGTGGAGTGCTCCAAAGAACCTGCTGAATGTGGTGTGTTCTGGTGAATGTATTGTTGTGGTGTTGTGGAGTGTTCCAATGAACCTGCTGAATGTGTTGTGTTCTGGTGAATGTATTGTTGAGGTGTTGTGGAGTGTTCCAAAGAACCTGCTGAATGTCTTGGGTACTGCTGAATGTATTATTCTGGTGTTTTGGAGTGCTCCAATGTACCTGCTGAATGTATTGTTGTGGTGTTGGGTACTGGTGAATGTACCTGCTGAATGTATTGTGTTCCAGACTGCCAGCCACCTGAAGGACATGTACACCCACCCATCCAACGCCGAGCAGTGCCTGCACAATGCCCTCAAGGTCGTCAACGCCATGAGATATGCAGGGATTGACTATGATATTCAGGTGAGGGGACCTCAGCATATGCTTAATTCTTTCTACATCAAGATCGTTGCTGTTTCTCAAGCTCAGCACCATTTGTTATTTGAGAATTCATTCTTATAAATCAATCAACAGTCAGATTTTCATGAACTGCTTACTTAGTCATTAACATAAAAAATGTAGACTGTACAAAATCAGTGACAGCGTTCAGTGCAATAATGCGATCCAATATCAGTCAATCAGGAAACAGCAGTCTGCTAGTGGGTGTGGCCTAATTCACTTTCGGTTGATGGGACCATACTCCCGAACAGATTTGTTTGGTAAGCCATCAAATGCTATGAAATCACCTGCAATTTATTTATATAAATATAAATGTGAAGTAACAGTCTGCAAGAGTTTACAAAGGGGTCACTGTATGGCAGGAGAACATTCTCTTTGATGATACAGAAGTACAAAGGTTATTGAATACATATTCACAAACTATCAAAGATATTTTCATTCTTCTGAAGGTCCTTTATGGTCAGATTGTAGTGTAGTGTCTAAGTCTGTAGTATCAAGTGTACAGTGATCCCTCACCACAATGCCGCTCCCTTTGGGGTCCAAATAGTTGATGAGCGTTATAGACGATGGGCGGTTTAACCAGGATGGAGACCAGATAGTATACTAATGGGATTAATTGCATACTTCAGTTCAGGTTTGTGGACTCGTATTTCAGGTGTTACATGCTCAGATGATAATGTTTTTTGAGATGGGGAAAAACATTGTGTCTGTGTAAAACTTGAGTTCATTAAAAATGTAAGTAAATCTTTGGAGCCCTCCATTACAGTGGGCTATAACTGAGTTAGCTATAAATAGTAGGGCGCAATAGCGAGGGATCACTGAATCATGATTTTCCTCTGTTTCCAGGCTATCGACATCACGGACCCAAACCCCATCTCCCTGATGCTGCTGAGTGTGCACCTGTACCAGCATCTGCCTCAGTACCTCCCCAAGTCCACCGTGGACTTCACTGGCAGTCTACACGCCACGGTCGCTAGACAGGTAAACTGGGGGGCAATGTATGTGCCAGCTGCAGGCTGTTGCAGAAAGAAACGATGGTCTTTTTTTAATAGACATAGTTTAAATGTTGTCATGGCTGGAGACATAGTGAAAGGAGCTAGCTAGTAAAGAACAGATGTTGCTGTGTGAACCTTTGCCTTTATTTCTTTAACGCTGCACTCAGCAATATTCAAGCTTTATATGATGGCGGTGTGTAAATAATTGAGGCTGGAGACAGGTAATCAACAGAAATTCTACGGTGCTTGGATGCTGTATCATCAACTTTTCGAAAATGAGGAGCAGCTTTCAATTTAATTTTAGTTTTGTACTTAAGATTTTAATGTTTGAGACCATGTACTTGCCTAAACTGCAATATGATATATAAACAAGAGTGAATGTGTGAGTGAGAAGTATGTTATTTTCTGTAAAAAAACAACAAAGTAAGATGTACTGATAAGTTGTGCTTTATGTCATGGGCTTTCTGCTACCCTGGGCGGAAGCCCATTTATGTAACAGGTGCATCTTTCTAAAAACAATAAAAGAAAAAAAAGAAAAAAAAAAGAATAATTGAGGCTGGACCTGACAAACCTCTAACTGACATCATGAGCATTGCTCTAGATCTATGTAATTGAGATACGATGACATGTATCAACCAAGTCAGCGAATCTGTCAACCCAATTCCATCAACTGCTTCTTACTACAACCATGGGTTGCGGAAGAGCATTTCAAGGATGAGCGGAAGTTGTTTATTGTACAATAAAACACAGCAGGGAGAATAAACCATGAGATGCACAGCCCTGAGTGGTTTATTCTCAGTGTTTTGTTGTATGATAAACAATGACCACAAGTCATTTTTTTCTTATATGAGATATCAACATTATGTACAGCTTCTTTAAGGATGTTAATCAAATGTACAAGCTTTAAAAATATTTACCCGTTTTTAAATAATGATGACTCCCTGAATACAATTTCGACCTCGGCAATGTCGAACATGTCCATTTTATGAACAGGGGGATAAGTTTGCTATTTCCCGCATATTCTCACAATTTTCACATCAATTATCTGTACCTTTTTTCCTATTGTCATATCTCTCCGACTTTTGGATGTGATCGTTTGGCCATTGCGTTTATCTGTGTAGCCCGGCTACATCTACGGGGAACAACTCACAACACACTTCCCTCTCAAAAATAACGTCGTACAATTTACGACTTCATCAAGTTCGAATATTTAGAAATCGTGAAATAAAGCATGCTTCAATCTTCATTGTTCTTTGCGATTTATTGTGTAGCTATCTTTTATGATCACATGCATAATGGAGGTTTAGATATCAACTTTGTCAACTCTACATCTATTGAGTGAGTGAGTCAGTATGGTTTTACGCCGCTTTAAGCAATATTCCAGCAATATCACGGTGGGGGACACCAGAAATGGGCTTCACACATTGTACCCATGTCGGGAATCGAACCCGGGTCTTCAGCGTGACGAGCGAACGCTTTAACCACTAGGCTACCCGACCGCCCCCTACATCTATTGAACAAACAGATGATGGTATTTTCCTCCCAACTGATGGCAGAGTAATCATTGTAAATATAACCATTCTATGTAAGGTACTTTTTTGGCTGAGAGCGACATATGATATGGCATGTCACTATTGTATTGATCAGCTCAAACATTATTTTACAGCACATTAACATAGCATGCCCATTAGAATGAGTTTATTTCATTTCCACATGCATTAAAACATTTCGTACATTGTGATTTTATGTTTCAAAATCATGTTAAGTTTTCTACAAATTGAAAGATGTGCGTTGTTGAGCAGGAAACCCCTGGAACAGGTTGTTGTGCTAGCTTTTGACCCTTTGTGACCTTCACCCTCTCTGTAGCCATGACCCCTCTGTGACCTTGACCCCCTCTGTGTTCAGGTGAAGTTGAGCAACCCAAGTGGCAAGCCTTTGGTGTACCAGGTATTGGTGGCAGGAAGGGATGCCCGCAACTTCCGTATCCCGAAGGGGGACGTCATCACGGTCCCATCCCGCAGCACCTTTCCCATGGCTGTAGAGTTCACCAGCTGCTTCCTGCGACCAGCTGAAGCTGTGCTTGTCTTAGTTGGTCGCAGACAGGGGTCAGCCACTGCAACAACCTTGACCTTTAACCTTCGAACACAAATTGATAACATCACACCGAAGGTATGTTTATGTAGCATTTGCTGTTGAATATTTCCGTATTTTTTCATATTATCATTATATAATTTGAATGCAGTATAAACTTCATATTCCAGATTGCATATTCTATGTTTTTCTCTCAAAATGTACATCCCTTCATCTAATCTTTCAAATACATCAGTTTTACTCGTTCTGTTTCTAGACTTATTTTATCATAATTCCATGCTTAGTGATTTTAGCCAATAATTCTGTTAATCGTAATGCTAACACTTGTGGTTGGTGTAGCTGTTAATCTTGCTGTTAATCTTTAACGAGCATGCATGATGTAGTACCAATGCCTCTGCTTACAGAACTCCAGACACTGTGAGGTATATGGTTTGTTTTGCTACTCTTGTGGTTTGTTTGACTAACTCCGACTAACCCAGTGCTGCTGTTGCTTTCCTGTTCTGTTATTAATTAACTTCTCTGGGCCTCTAATCCTCCATCTTTTGAGGGCACACTTGCACAAAGCGATCTAACACTGACTTCAGCAGTCGTAGCACTAAGGAAGCTTTGTGCATGTGGTACCTGGCCCTATTTCACAAAGCTATTGTAGCGCAACGACTGGCATTAGGACATGATGAACTTTTGGAGTTACGACTGTTATAGGGCTATAATTTTTTAATTTGAAGTTTACACGATATACAGCTTTTCCATTGGACAAGAGGTCGGTCACATGACCGCGAAATTGACGTTCATAAGTGTATGAACGACACAATTTGACGTTCATACGTTTTTCACGAGATGGTGTTCTTGAAATGACGTCAACACTGACGGACTACTTCCACATTCCTGGGGAAACCCCTGGGAATTCCATAGCACGAAAACATACATAATCGTTCTTTCTGATCATTTAGAACCTTTATTCTTGGTCTCAGCGTTTTAGTATACATTGAGAAATGCTCCGACGTTCATACAGTTTGGCCCTCTCTCTATGAAGGTTCATACTCCAATGAACTCACACAAAGTAAAGGTCAATTTTTAAATGACGTGTTTGCAGTCAAGTTGGTCAAAGATGTATATACGTCTTTGAGTAGGTCTATCTCACATGGGACAATCTATTTACAGTTTTATTTGTCCCTTTTCTGCATTCATGGATTACCATTCAGTTTCAGTCTGATACGTTCTGAAATGTTTTTCTCTACTGAGCAGTCCTGATTTTACAGTAACATGAAATGCTTAGCATGGTAGGTCTAAAAATAGCACTGCATCTTAGTTACTGGGAAAAGTGTTCAGTCGTTCGAGTTAAAATTCAAATGTATAAAAGGTACTTAAAGTACTTGGGGGAGTTGCTTGAAAACTTGGATAGACTTGAAAAGTATTTGTCTTCGCTTCACGGAACCCAGATGCTGGTTTTGGAAAATGTTCTGATTGGACTTTTGATATGTGCGATAGTCCAATTCTGAGAGTGTCTATTTTAACACTGAAAAGTAGGCTAGAAATGGTAAGGGTTGGAAGATGGTGTATATTTAACTAACTGATAAACACCAGCCTTTACTGCTATACATGACAAATCTCCTCAAATGTTTCTCGGTTTTATTCATCATACTCCAAGTGGCACCAACTTGACAAAGTAGCCTTTACGAACAACACAAAATGAGTTATTTTGACAAAATGAATGTCCAGTTTTTCACCTGACACTATGCTATGCCCAGCTGTTGAGAGGAGCTAGGGTTGATACTAACATTCTGCCTCATCCCATGTTTTATTGCTGTGTTTGTGGTTTAATGAGTTTGTTGTTGCCTCTGCTGACAGAGACGGGCTAAAGGTAAGTGGGACAGTGTTTCTGCTGTACGTGCACTGGACACAATCACTCACTAGCTGTCATCTTTGTCCGTGTTTCATTGGCTGCCTGAATGGGCAGCTCGGATTTGGGGCTGTGTCTGCCCCCAGGTACCCATGTTTGTCTTCTGTATGGGTTTTGCCCTTAACCCTTGCGCTATAGGTCTCTGATAACCCATGATTAGAACAATAGGTCCCTGATAACCCAGACTTGTCACAAGTCCCCTGTTGCCACTAGGTCCCTGATAACCCAGACTTGTCACAAGTCCCCTGTTGCCACTAGGTCCCTGATAACCCAGACTTGTCACAAGTCCCCTGTTGCCACTAGGTCCCTGATAACCCAGACTTGCCACAAGTCCCCTGATAACCCATACTTGTCACAAGTCCCCTGTTGCCACTAGGTCCCTGATAACCCAGACTTGTCACAGGTCTCCTGTTGCCACTAGGTCCCTGATAACCAAGACTTGCCACAAGTCCCCTGATAACCCAGACTTGTCACAAGTCCCCTGTTGCCACTAGGTCCCTGATAACCCAGACTTGTCACAAGTCTCCTGTTGCCACTAGGTCCCTGATAACCCAGACTTGTCACAAGTCCCCTGTTGCCACTAGGTCCCTGATAACCCAGACTTGTCACAAGTCCCCTGTTGCCACTAGGTCCCTGATAACCCAGACTTGCCACAAGTCCCCTGATAACCCATACTTGTCACAAGTCCCCTGTTGCCACTAGGTCCCTGATAACCCAGACTTGTCACAAGTCCCCTGTTGCCACTAGGTCCCTGATAACCCAGACTTGTCACAAGTCCCCTGTTGCCACTAGGTCCCTGATAACCCAGACTTGTCACAAGTCCCCTGTTGCCACTAGGTCCCTGATAACCCAGACTTGTCACAAGTCCCCTGTTGCCACTAGGTCCCTGATAACCCAGACTTGTCACAAGTCCCCTGTTGCCACTAGGTCCCTGATTACCCAGACTTGTCACAAGTCTCCTGTTGCCACTAGGTCCCTGATAACCCATACATGTCACAAGTCTCCTGTTGCCACTAGGTCCCTGATAACCCAGACTTGCCACAAGTCCCCTGTTGCCACTAGGTCCCTGATAACCCAGACTTGTCACAAGTCCCCTGTTGCCACTAGGTCCCTGATTACCCAGACTTGTCACAAGTCTCCTGTTGCCACTAGGTCCCTGATAACCCAGACTTGCCACAAGTCCCCTGTTGCCACTAGGTCCCTGATAACCCAGACTTGCCACAAGTCCCCTGATAACCCATACTTGTCACAAGTCCCCTGTTGCCACTAGGTCCCTGATAACCCAGACTTGTCACAAGTCCCCTGTTGCCACTAGGTCCCTGAGTACCCAGACTTGTCACAAGTCTCCTGTTGCCACTAGGTCCCTGATAACCCATACATGTCACAATTCCCCTGTCAGTGTCACTGGTTGCTTAGGGTGGCTATTGAAATTCTATTTATTCTCAAACTGTCAGTTTCTGGATTGTCTTCTCCAGATCACCGACTGGATAATCTGACAATCTTCAACATGATGGCATACAGCCTGTCCACCCAGTAGCTATACATGCTGATCATGTTGATGGGAAGTACTAAACATGCCACACTTGATGAGCTGGACGAGGGTGTGTCCTGCAGAGAGACACCCCCAAACTACTGCACTGACTGTACTGCATCCACTGTCCTTGTCTTGTTGTGTACAGTTGCTACAGCATGCTACCTAGGGCCACTCAGTACCATCCACATGGAGGCTACACAATACCTGGGGAAACACCTGCCTCACACTGCTTAGCCACAGCCAGTGCACAGGAAGCATGCATGATGTGAACGCTGTTGTTTTGTTGAAAATACATGTGTTATAGTAGGAGAGGTCATTTTTAATGCTTGAACTGTTGTTTTTAGTCTAGTGGTTCAATCGTCATGCCGAAAACCTAAGTTCGATTTTCCTCATGGATACAATGTGTGATACCTATTTCTGGTGTCACCCGCCATGATATTGCTGCAATATTGCTAAAAGCGGCATAAAACCATACTCACTCACTCACTCACTCACTCACTCACTCACTCACTCACTCACTCACTTCAGGCCCTGTACTTCATGTTAACTGAAATAAAACACATCATTGTACCGGTACATATGTGAATTCTCATTACTCTATAAAAACTCCACTGGACCAAGTATCCAGGATGTGATAGTGTGAGACAATATATGATCAGATATATGAAGTCAGATATAATATGTTGTGGTGATTCGCTTCCTTGTGTGACAGGGGCGGTCGGGTAGCCTTGTGGTTATAGCTTTTGCTTGTCATGCCGAACACCCGGGTTCGATTCCCGACATGAGTACAATATGTGAAGCCCATTTCTGGTGCCCCCAACTGTGATATTGTTGGAATATTACCAAAAGCGGTGTAAAACTAAACTCACTCACTCACTCACTCACTCACCTCGTGTGACAAGAAAAATAAGATATAACCAAGTTACTATAATGGCCGCCCCACAGGGATTCCAAGTTAGAATAGGTTCCCAGCAACCAATGCTGGCCATGAGAGGCTACATAATGGATCGATTTTGAACATACTCTGTGACTTGGTTGATTGCATGTCCTCATTCCTCGACTGAGTGGACCCGTGAAGATTCCGGGGTAGAATAGGTCTTCAGCAACCCATGCTTGCCGTAAAAGGTGACTATGCTTGTCGTAAAAGGCGACTAACGGGATTGGGTGGTCAGACTCGCTGACTTGGTTGATGCATGTCATCGATCCCAATTGTGTGGATCGATGCTCATGATATTAATCACTGGATCGTCTGGTCCAGACTCGATTATTTACAGACCGCCGTCATATAGCTGGAATATTGCTGAGTGCGGTGTTAAACAACAAACCAGCAAACCAACCTCGACTGAGTGGATCGTTGCTCATAATATCAATCACTGGATTGTCTGGCCCAGATTCAATTATTTACAGGCTGCTGTCCTATATCTGGAATATTGCTGAGTGTGGTCCCCTAGCCACAGTTTGCTGTAGTAACCTGCTTGTTTTACAGTCCACCATCAAGGTGGAGTCTCCCTGTTATGAGCTAGAGCGCATCCTGCTAGACGTCACCAACCCATTTGACGAAGGAGCTGAGTTCCGCATCATCCTGGTGGAGGCAAGCAACGATGCGGCGCTGGACCCCAGTAAACCGACCGCCCTCATGCGACCCAAGGAAAAGAAGAAGAAGGTGATCAAGTCCAAGGTGAACCATGGACAGAAGCGTCCCGACACACCCCCCTCTTCACCCCCTATCCGACCTGGGGAGACCGCAGAGATCATTGATGGACAGAAAGGTTGGCTTGTTTCTCTGACTTGTACCATAACAACCTCCCTGATATATGGTTATATGTTCCTGTGTTATCCTTGACGTATGACTGTCTGTTCCTGTTATCCTTAACGTATCGCTGTCTGTTCCTGTTATCCTTGATGTATGGCTGTCTGTTCCTGTTGTTATCCTTGATGTATGGCTGTCTGTTCCTGTTGTTATCCTTGATGTATGGCTGGCTGTTCCTGTTGTTATCCTTGATGTGTGGCTGTCTGTTCCTGTTGTTATCCTTGATGTATGACTGTCTGTTCCTGTTATCCTTGATGTATGGCTGTCTGTTCCTGTTATCCTTGATGTATGACTGTCTGTTCCTGTTATCCTTGATGTATGGCTGTCTGTTCCTGTTATCCTTGATGTATGACTGTCTGTTCCTGTTATCCTTGATGTATCGCTGTTGTTTTCCTTGATGTATGGCTGTCTGTTCCTGTTATCCTTGATGTATGGCTGTCTGTTCCTGTTGTTATCCTTGATGTATGGCTGTCTGTTCCTGTTATCCTTGATGTATGGCTGTCTGTTCCTGTTATCCTTGATGTATGGCTGTCTGTTCCTGTTGTTATCCTTGATGTGTCGCTGTCTGTTCAAGTTCTCCTTGATGTATGGCTGTCTGTTCCTGTTATCCTTGATGTATGGCTGTCTGTTCCTGTTGTTATCCTTCATGTATGGCTGTCTGTTCCTGTTGTTATCCTTGATGTATGACTGTCTGTTCCTGTTATCCTTGATGTATGGCTGTCTGTTCCTGTTGTTATCCTTGATGTATGACTGTCTGTTCCTGTTATCCTTGATGTATGGCTGTCTGTTCCTGTTGTTATCCTTCATGTATGGCTGTCTGTTCCTGTTGTCCTTGATGTATGGCTGTCTATTCCTGTTGTTATCCTTGATGTATGGATGTTGGTGTTCCAGAAGGATCGTCCTCCTCCCTCAGCGCCTTCTTCAGCCCCATGAAGACTGTGTACCTTGAGCCACATGCAACAGCAGAGGTCGAAATTCACTTCCTGCCATTCGCAGTTGGGGACCGTCAGTGTTCCGTGATTTTCCTCAACGAGACTGTAGGAGAGTTTCTGTACTCTATTGAAGCCAAGGCCAAGTTGCCTCTCCCCTCCATCCTCCCATTTGTCCCCTCCAACCACAGCGTCAGGATCAGCAGCGCTGCCGCAGCAGGTATGTACTGGACAACAGCGTCCACACCATCATGTGTTTTAATTATGCCTATATCCCGGGGCAGGGATTCTGAGGTCAAAATAACCCATTGCATGACTTGTCACTACATGGCTGAGATGCTTCTGATTATAATTTTGACCCAATCACCAATTTCCGAATTCACCCCAATGGCTGGCTACAATGAATGCTGTGTGGATAATACTGGGATTGGTGGCCATTTTGACAAACCAATTCAAACTTGAACTGGGTTATGCCCAAAGTTCAAATACCATACCTCAACATGGTCTTACAGCATACATAGAGGGCTGTTAGCTTTGTGGTATTTGAGTCTCAGGATGAGATAGTGTGTCATTGTGTGAGCTGTGTGTAAAGGACGGAGTTCTCCCCCCTGGTGTCCCTGTGTAGGCCACCATTTTATCATCTTACTGAGAGATAGCTGACTACAGAGGATGGACTAATTCATCCATGTCACTCCCTTGGTCAGCAGTGTGTGATAGTCTGATCGACATGTGAGTGAGTGAGTTGGGTTTAACGCTGCTTTTAACAGTAATCACGATATATTGCGGCATGTCAGATTAATGTGGGAGGAAAGCTTGAAGTGATGCAGGTGTTAGTTGTTTATCACTTCACTGAACCCTCGAGCATGCAAGGGACGCAACTCTGCACAGCGAATTAGATAGCTGGGCCATCCATGCCCCCTAATCGACATGTACCCTTTACAGTCTGCGACTTTAGCCAGTAGTCCGAAGCCTGAATCTAGCAATATTCTGCTTGGTCTAGTAAACTCAGCTAATATGAGTCCATATAATAACAGGAGCGGTCGGGTAGCCTAGTGGTTAAAGCGTTCGCTCGTCACGCCAAAGACCCGGGTTCGATTCCCGACATGGGTACAATGTGTGAAGCCCATTTCTGGTGTCCCCCGCCGTGATATTGCTGGAATATTGCTAAGAGCGGCGTAAAACCATACTCACTCACTCACTCCCCATATAATAACACTAAACTCTATTGAAGATGCTAAGAGCCAAGTTGGGACTTTTTTGGCACAGACTGCTTTTACAAACACTATGCCAGAGAGTCCTATGTTAGAGTGATGAATGTCGGCAGGTTCTGGGCGTGGAATGTTTGGCGGGGACGACCGGGTCATATACTGGAAGTGTGAGGCAGGACAGATACTGAAGGAGAACCTGCTCATCCCTGTCACCAACATGGCCAAGGAGAGAACTCTTACTCTGGCTGCCCAACAGGTGAGACCCTCACAACCTCTAGCTCTCCACCATCAGTTGTACTAGCTATTTGGTTGTCATGGTAACATGTCTTGTCCTGGTAACATGCACATTGTTGTTCTGGTAACATACGGTTGTCTTAGTAACACATGTTGTTGTCATGGTAACACTATTTATGCACAAACATTCTTATGATTCAAAGGGCTTTTGACACTTTGAAGATGACGTTTTCACTTGAGTGTTGAGTTGTGGCACCATGGTTGCTTAGCAACAAACTAGATGCACTATTCACACAGCACCACTACCAACTCCATGCAGTATCATGCAGTATCATGCAGTATCAGTTATTGTTGTGTTTGTCTATTCTGACATTGAACTCTTTGGAAGCGGTTTCTACAAGTCCTAACTTGTTCTTAGTATATCTTGTGTCCTAGTCTAGGTTGTAGTGAGGGGAAGTCAGGTAGCCTAGTGGTTAAAGTGTTCGCTCGTCACGCCGAAGACCCGGGTTCGATTCCCGACATGGGTACAATGTGTGAAGCCCATTACTGGTGTCCCCCGCCATGATATTGCTGGAATATTGCTAAACACGGTGTACAATCATACTCACTCACTCACTCACTAGGTCGTAGTGAAGTAAGGGATTTAATAATAATAATGATATATACAGAGCACAGTCGCTGTGTCCTGATACAAATTTTACAACACCATACTCATAATGTCCAGCAGTTGTACAGATAGCAGTTTCTTTACTTGAGTGCAGATATCAACTACATCATCAAGCAGTACCATACCATCTTGAATTCTACCATCCTGGAATGTCAGTCAAATATTTTCTACCATGCACATAATACACTTTAGATATGTCAAACAAGCTAACCCTTCATTTCGTGTGGCTACAAATAAAATTAAAATGAACTGATGTAGTTCACTATATATTTATTGGGTCATTAGGTTTTTGTAAAAAATCTGATTTACATACTGCTTTTGATTAAATACTATTCAAAAAGTTAACAGTTGCTTTTCCTGAGATGGTTTTGTACTGATGTTTTTAATCTTCTAATCCATAAAAGATATAATGGTTGCGAAATGCAGGTAAATTTATTTTATTTATTTTGATTTGTTTTCTGACAAGTGGCTTTTGCATCAACTTGGTCGAATCTGTAGACTGAAACATTAAAAAGTGTTGTCTCGTGATCGTTCCGGTATATTGTCTAATTGTTTTGTAAAGGTGTGACAATATCGTGATCGGTTGTTCAGTGTGACATGTTACTGTACTGGATTTGCCTGCCCCTAGTGGCACATAGTCAGAACCAGGAATGTGTTCTGTAGATTATTCTGTTGGTCAGTCATGGAGTTGGGAGTAACCAGTTTGTTTTTCCACCAGCACATGTCGGACGTGGAGTTACAACGCCGTCACGTGACCAACACGTTGATGAGTTGTAGCGTGACCGCCAAGACAGTCAAGAAGTTGTCCACTAACCCAGTCTCGGCTGTCCAACAGGCTAAGGTAGATGTGGTTGTAGATGTAGAGGTAGATGTAGGGGATGTGTTGAGGGAGAATTAGGGTAAAGTCAGCATTAAAAAAAATTCACATTGGATATGGCAATTTTTTTTATAAGGGAAACATTATTATCAGAAGGGGTACATACGATTGAACTTTGCATTCCTAAAGAAAAAAAAAGTACCAATAAGAGAAATTTAAAGTTGATTTTATGAAGTGTTACATTCTGATGAAAGTATTTTTTACACCCACTATTCTCATGTTTGTGACAACAAAGACCTAAACCTAAATGAACCATGAGTTAACAAAGAAATATAAAGAGGAGTTTTTCTCTGACTTATTCTGTAACATGTAATAACCTGATGTTCCCCTCCCACAGGCCCTACCCCCCGAGGGCATCACCTACACGGTGGAGACGGATTCCGAGTACTTCAAGCTGGCCAAGAAGCTGGTCCTGCCAAGTCCTGTTGAAGGGCATGCCAACAGCGCCCCACCCAATGTCCAAGTCCCCAGGGGTGAGTGGACTGTTACGTGTAGACAGTTAGACTGTACAGGTGCTGACTGTACAGGTGCTGACTGTACAGGTGCTGACTGTACAGGTGATGACCGTACAGGTGATGACTGTACAGGTGCTGACTGTACAGGTGCTGACTGTACAGGTGATGACTGTACAGGTGATGACTGTACAGGTGATGACTGTACAGGTGCTGACTGTACAGGTGCTGACTGTACAGGTGATGACCGTACAGGTGATGACCGTACAGGTGCTGACCGTACAGGTGCTGACCGTACAGGTGATGACCGTACAGGTGCTGACCGTACAGGTGATGACCGTACAGGTGCTGACTGTACAGGTGCTGACTGTACAGGTGCTGACTGTACAGGTGATGACTGTACAGGTGCTGACTGTACAGGTGCTGACTTTACAGGTGATGACCGTACAGGTGATGACCGTACAGGTGATGACTGTACAGGTGATGACTGTACAGGTGATGACCGTACAGGTGCTGACCATACAGGTGATGACTGTACAGGTCACACAAGCCACCTCTGCAGCTTGCCATGGGTGTTTCTATTGGAATAGTATATAGAGAATCTCACCCAGGTGTCTTTTTATATCAAATATATCAACACAAGTCAATAAGAGTTTAAAACTCTGGAGATATATATCGTTTGATCTCACCCACCATGTAATTTGGTGCACTAGCGGCCTAAGATGACATGACTGTGTTGTTCTTTAGTCAGGATTGTGTTGTTCTATAGTTGTCGGAATTTGTTGGCTGTGCGTTCAACTTCCAGATTTACCGTACCCCAATAATAATTTTATATGTCAGCACAGCTCTCGTGCTAGTAGGTTACACAAAAGTGGTATGGTATTATGTTTGGCTTTCCTCTAGCAATAGGCTGTCATGCCAGAATGTTGCTGAACCAACTGTCAACAGAAATTCCCGCACTCACTTTCACATACTTCCATGCTCTGTTCAACAGAACATAAGCTGTGTGTGTTGACAAACAAGCAGATGCAAGTGCACCAGTCAGAACACATCCAGCATCAGACAGTGACATTGAGTGAATGTAATGACACCCCCTTATGCTCCGTCTTGTCTGTCTGTTTGTCCAGGAGTCAAGCTGGATGACGGGGTGGTGGAACTGCCCATCACCTTCCTGGCCAGCGAGCCCGGCCACTACCCATGTGAGGTTGTCCTTCAGTCTTCAGAAGATGTGCGCGTCTACCGCATCGAGTGTACAGTCAACCCTGAAGGCAGCACCGCCGAGCTGGACTTTGCCGCCCCAGTCCACAAGTCCGTCACGCAGATGATTCCTATCGTAAGTCCATTGTCTTAAACTATCTGTAAGTAGGAGTCATTATGTGTCACAGGCAACAATTGTTTTGGATTGTCAGAGCTCCTGATAAGTATTGTAGGAACATTAGGGAACATGTTTTGTTCTCACTTCAGGGTGATTGGCTAGTTCATGTCCGTCACACAGATGATTCCTATCGTAAGTCCATTGTCTTAAACTATCTGTAAGTAGGAGTCATTATGTGTCACAGGCAACAATTGTTTAGCATTGTCAGAGCTCCTGATAAGTATTGTAGGAACATAAGGGAACATGTTTTGTTCTCACTTCAGGGTGATTGGCTGATTCTTGTTGCTTTGTTTTTATTGTTTGAGAAACAGTGCACAGCAACGTGTCATCACATCTGTGCATTGTTGCAACTAATTTAATCATATGGTATTCACTGTTACTTATGTCACTATAGATGTACTGACCTGTTGCCCCTTTCTGTGTTTGCCCCCCTCCGTGTTCTAGTGGTAGAGTGGGGGCACGGGGGGGGCCCAGTCGTCTAAGGCGCCACCATTCGCTGTGCAGAGTTGCGTGCCTTGGACATGCCAGAAACCTATGATTGTGGGTTCGAATACCGGTTCGCCCCAATTACGTTTCTAGGTTTGTCAGCACCATACCCGTGCTCATGGGTTTCACCGAAGTGGTAAACGTCTGAGACCTGCATCACTTCGGGCTTTCCTCCCACATTAAGCTGACACGCCGTGATATAACTGGAATACTGTTAAAAGCGGCTTTAAACCCAATCCCCTCACTCACTAGTGGTAGAGTGTCCACCCATAGAGCAGAAGGTCCAGGGTTCAATCCCCGGCCACGCCATAATAAAAGACGATAATAGATGGTACTTGTTGTTACCCTGTCTGGCCTAAAACATGGACTGGTCTGCTCGGAATCTGTATACTGTGTCTGAGTGGGGTATTCATGATAAACTCTGGCATGCAACAATCTTGAACAAGATGTGAAACCCGATTTCACCTCACCTCACCACCCTTTATATGTTCAAGAAGAATGAATGTGGGAGGTATATAGCACTATACCCGGTGTGCATGTGAGTTTCACCGAAGTGGTAAACTGACATTACTGTGTATACTTCAGATGAACATGACAAACCATGACTGGCCCCTGCGAGCCAAGATGTCTGGGGAGGGGTTCTTTGGGCCCCCCACGCTGCTGGCCAAGGCCTTCCAGAGCAGCCACTACCCCCTCACCTTCAAGCCTCTGTACGAGAAGGAGATCCAGGTGGGTGCACATACATGATACACCTCATCGGAAACATCACTGATAGGGTGTACTCCTACAGGATGACATGGATATATCAGTGTAGATGCAAGAACACGGACAGCCATTAGACACTGATATAACACATAATATTCTGGACAACTCAAGGATTGGTGAGTTTCAGAAAATAACAATAAAAAAAATACTAAGATGGCTGCAACATTCCACAATTAAATTCTCAGAAGTGTATCAATCGCAAAATTCAATACATGTCTTGCCATAAAACATAATACTTGCAACTTTGCCTTATTCATTTGAAGAATAATGTGTATATATGTTACTTAAGAAAAATCACTGCACGGTTTTTATTTAGATGAATATATGATCATGTATAGCGTAACATAAATATTTTTCTGTTTCAATGTCCCTCGGGGTATATTTCTGGGTGTTAGTTTCAGTTCGAGAAACACAAATCAGTAATGACCCACAACTGTTGTGCTTAGTTCTGATGACAGAATCAAATTGATTCATGAATGACAAATGGGTATTAAACTGTCCACTTTAATTCCTCTGTTTCCACAGTAGTCAGTGGTTACTGCAGTGGTAGAAACTAACAGTTTCAGTCCACTAGTCCTTATAATGATAACATATAGCAAAACCTTTGAAAATGGCTAATTTCTACTAGTCCTTAGGATACCCTTACTATTGGGCAGTTTGGCAAGGACAAAAGGACTAGTGCCAGTTTCTAACCCTGGGTTATTGGGTAAGTTGCTACATGAATCCTCTATTTGTGTCCCCCAGGGTAAGCTGGTGTTGAGTAACACGGATGACGGCACAGACCACACCTTCCACCTCCAGGGCCGCGCCACCAAACCACTAGCACTGGAGCACGTCGTCATCAGCTGCCAGGCCAAGAGCAGGTTAGTGTAGGGAAGTTGTTTGGTTGGTTGGTTGGTTTGTTGTTTAACGCCGCACTCAGCAATATTCCAGCTATATGATGGCGGTCTGTAAATAATCGAGTCTGGACCAGACAATCCAGTGATTAATATCATAAGCATCGATCCACGCAATTGGGATCGATGACATGCATCAACCAAGTCAGCGAGCCTGACCACCCGATCCCGTTAGTCGCCTTTTACGACAAGCAAAGTCGCCTTTTATGGCAATCATGGGTTGCTGAAGATCTATTCTACCCCGGAATCTTCCTGGGTCTAGTGTAGGGAGGAGCAGTCCATCTCCACTGTACTGCAGGGTGGGGACACCCTAGTTTTTAGCCCAAGGGATTCCGGGTTAGAATAGACCCCCAAAAACCTACGCTTGTCGTAAGAGGTGACCAAATGGATCGGGTGGTCATGCTTGATGATTTGTTTGATAGCATATCTTCATACCATGATTCTGTGGATCGTTGCAGGTGATATTGATCTCGAGATTGTCAGGTCCAGACTCGATTATTTACAGGCAGCCATCATATAGCTGGAATATTGTTAAACAACAAACAACAAACCTTTGCTAAAGGGCCAGGTAAAATTTGTACAGTCTCTGGTTGTTATGGTGATGGAGTAATGTTAAGAGCAGCTTTAGATCATTCTCTGGTCCCCGTTACACCAAGCGATCTTAGCCTATACTTTAGCGTAAACATAAGATAATCTTAGCGCAAAGATCACTTTATTGAACAGGGCTCTGGTCTGTTTGGGTCAAACACTTGATTTACTGGTTTGGTTTGTAATGTTTCTCTCTGCTTGCAGCCATGTCCACCAGCTGAAGATCCCCAACATGACCAAGAAGAAGCTGATTTACACGGTATGTCACATTCCTTGTCAGAAACGTTCCAAATATTTACATACAGTAGTTCTGTGTGTCACCTGATTCTTGTCCGTGAATAGTTCCTATCAATATTTAACACTATACGGGTCGGTATGTCCCATAGTTGTAGTCCCAGGAAGGATGACGTGTGTCTGTGTGTCACCTGATTCTTGTCTGTGAATAGTTCCTATCAATATTTAACACTATACGGGTCAGTATGTCCCATAGTTGTAGTCCCAGGAAGGATGACGTGTGTCTGTGTGTCACCTGATTCCTGTCTGTGAATAGTTCCTATCAATATTTAACACTATACGGGTCAGTATGTCCCATAGTTGTAGTCCCAGGAAGGATGACATGTGTGTCTGTGTGTCACCTGATTCTTGTCTGTGAATAGTTCCTATCAATATTTAACACTATACGGGTCAGTATGTCCCATAGTTGTAGTCCCAGGAAGGATGACGTGTGTCTGTGTGTCACCTGATTCCTGTCTGTGAATAGTTCCTATCAATATTTAACACTATACGGGTCAGTATGTCCCATAGTTGTAGTCCCAGGAAGGATGACATGTGTGTCTGTGTGTCACCTGATTCCTGTCTGTGAATAGTTCCTATCAATATTTAACACTATACGGGTCAGTATGTCCCATAGTTGTAGTCCCAGGAAGGATGACATGTGTGTCTGTGTGTCACCTGATTCTTGTCTGTGAATAGTTCCTATCAATATTTAACACTATACGGGTCAGTATGTCCCATAGTTGTAGTCCCAGGAAGGATGACGTGTGTCTGTGTGTCACCTGATTCCTGTCTGTGAATAGTTCCTATCAATATTTAACACTATACGGGTCAGTATGTCCCATAGTTGTAGTCCCAGGAAGGATGACGTGTGTGTCTGTGTGTCACCTGATTCTTGTCTGTGAATAGTTCCTATCAATATTTAACACTATACGGGTCAGTATGTCCCATAGTTGTTGTCCCAGGAAGGATGACGTGTGTGTCTGTGTGTCACCTGATTCCTGTCTGAATAGTTCCTATCAATATTTAACACTATACAGGTCAGTATGTCCCATAGTTGTTGTCCCAGGAAGGATGACGTGTGTGTCTGTGTGTCACCTGATTCTTGTCTGTGAATAGTTCCTATCAATATTTAACACTATACAGGTCAGTATGTCCCATAGTTGTAGTCCCAGGAAGGATGACGTGTGTGTCTGTGTGTCACCTGATTCTTGTCTGTGAATAGTTCCTATCAATATTTAACACTATACGGGTCAGTATGTCCCATAGTTGTTGTCCCAGGAAGGATGACGTGTGTGTCTGTGTGTCACCTGATTTCTGTCTGAATAGTTCCTATCAATATTTAACACTATACGGGTCAGTATGTCCCATAGTTGTTGTCCCAGGAAGGATGACGTGTGTGTCTGTGTGTCACCTGATTCTTGTCTGTGAATAGTTCCTATCAATATTTAACACTATACAGGTCAGTATGTCCCATAGTTGTAGTCCCAGGAAGGATGACATGTGTGTCTGTGTGTCACCTGATTCCTGTCTGTGAATAGTTCCTATCAATATTTAACACTATACGGGTCAGTATGTCCCATAGTTGTAGTCCCAGGAAGGATGACATGTGTGTCTGTGTGTCACCTGATTCTTGTCTGTGAATAGTTCCTATCAATATTTAACACTATACGGGTCAGTATGTCCCATAGTTGTAGTCCCAGGAAGGATGACGTGTGTCTGTGTGTCACCTGATTCCTGTCTGTGAATAGTTCCTATCAATATTTAACACTATACGGGTCAGTATGTCCCATAGTTGTAGTCCCAGGAAGGATGACGTGTGTGTCTGTGTGTCACCTGATTCTTGTCTGTGAATAGTTCCTATCAATATTTAACACTATACGGGTCAGTATGTCCCATAGTTGTTGTCCCAGGAAGGATGACGTGTGTGTCTGTGTGTCACCTGATTCCTGTCTGAATAGTTCCTATCAATATTTAACACTATACAGGTCAGTATGTCCCATAGTTGTTGTCCCAGGAAGGATGACGTGTGTGTCTGTGTGTCACCTGATTCTTGTCTGTGAATAGTTCCTATCAATATTTAACACTATACAGGTCAGTATGTCCCATAGTTGTAGTCCCAGGAAGGATGACGTGTGTGTCTGTGTGTCACCTGATTCTTGTCTGTGAATAGTTCCTATCAATATTTAACACTATACGGGTCAGTATGTCCCATAGTTGTTGTCCCAGGAAGGATGACGTGTGTGTCTGTGTGTCACCTGATTTCTGTCTGAATAGTTCCTATCAATATTTAACACTATACGGGTCAGTATGTCCCATAGTTGTTGTCCCAGGAAGGATGACGTGTGTGTCTGTGTGTCACCTGATTCTTGTCTGTGAATAGTTCCTATCAATATTTAACACTATACAGGTCAGTATGTCCCATAGTTGTAGTCCCAGGAAGGATGACGTGTGTGTCTGTGTGTCACCTGATTCTTGTCTGTGAATAGTTCCTATCAATATTTAACACTATACGGGTCAGTATGTCCCATAGTTGTTGTCCCAGGAAGGATGACGTGTGTGTCTGTGTGTCACCTGATTCCTGTCTGTGAATAGTTCCTATCAATATTTAACACTAAATGGATCAGTATGTCCCATAGTTGTAGTCCCAGGAAGGATGACGTGTGTGTCTGTGTGTCACCTGATTCCTGTCTGTGAATAGTTCCTATCAATATTTAACACTATACGGATCAGTATGTCCCATAGTTGTAGTCCCAGGAAGGATGACGTGTGTGTCTGTGTGTCCAGGTTGAGTCGGACATCTCCTTCGTGAGCGGCCAGAGTGCTGTGTCGGTGCTGCAGAGTAAGACCGGCACATACGACATGGTGGTCACACCCAAGAGGAGAGGGGTCTACAAGGGCATCATCGCCTTCGTCGCCGGGAGGAGTCCTGTCAGGTGAGGCTGCCATAGGTTCACCAATTTCAGGTAATTGAAGGATGGTAGGGTAGACCAGTGGTTGAAGCATTCAGTGTTCATGCTGGAGACCTGGCTTTGATGCCACATTTGGGGAAAATGTCTGATGTCTCCTCAGGTAATTTGGAGAGATATGTAAATCCAGATATGCTGACACACGAGGACTATCTTGTGCTTTAGCGTATCAGTCGATTCATGTTATTATAGTGCTCGTATTGCGGACTTATGTGTCTGCCTTTCTGACTAGTTGGGCGGTTGGGTAGCCTAGTTGTTAAAGCGTTCGCTCGTCACGCCAAAGACCCGGGGTTGAATTCCGACATTGGTACAATGTGTGAAGCCCATTTCTGGTGTCCCCCACCGTGATATTGCTGGAATATTGCTAAAACCAAACTCACTGACTCACTCACTTTCTGACTGTTCTGCCACCAATTTGATGTGGGAGGAATGTGTCAGTCTATGTGTTCAGCATGTAGTTTGTGAAATGTTCTCTGAGCATGCTGAGACTGATGTCGACGATGTTGTACCTACAGGGAGGTAGACAGTGATGGAGATGATGTGCCGTCAGATGATGAGACCAAGGAGTATGATGGCTACAGAATCTGGTACTCGCTGGAGCTGCACGTATCGCCGCCGCCGCCAGAACGCACCATGGAGATTGGCTGTGCTTGCCAGGTAAGGTGGTACAAGGTGGAACAGGCTTAGACCATTTGGTCCCATGATGATCACCGCGATGATGCCATGTGACCACCAGTATGATGCTATCTGATTATCACGATGATACTATGTGATTATCATGATGATACTATGTGATTACCATGATGATACGACCGCCTCTGTGGTCTAGTGGTAGAGTATCTGCCCGGAGAGAGGAAGGTCCGGGGTTCGATCCCCGGCCGCGTCATACCAAAAGACGCTAAAAGATGGTACTTGTTGTTACCCTGTCTGGCGCTCGGCATTAAGGGACTAAAACAAGGACTGGTCGGCTCGGAGTCAGTATACTGTTGTGTCTGAGTGGGGTATTCATGTTAAACTGCGGCATGGTATCTCAGTGAGCTAGCACTATAAATCGGCATCAGTCCGGACTAGTACAAGCAGCCACACAAACACATACACGTACATGCACGTCGCTATATAAGTGCAATAATCTTGGACGCGACGTTAAACCCAATTTCACCTCATCTCACCTCACCATGATGATACCATGTGATGGTTACATATGGAACTGCTGTCACATGGAAATGTTCTGAAATGACTGCCCGGTAAATGGTGATGCTTCTTAGACTGCTAAAATTAAAACAACTGATTCTGAAAATTATTATCCTGTGTTTCTCTACTGCAGATGTGTATTGTTTAAATTTGTTTGTTTGTTTTATTTGTTATCTCTGCAGCAATTCAAAGATTATTGACAACAATATTTCAGAAAAAAGCTGTGTTGGAGGTAGTTGTCAGGAACCCCACACCCCATGACATTACCTTGGAAGCGAAGGTGAGCGGGCGTGACCTGGAGGGACAGGAGTCCATCACACTGGGGGCGGGGGAGAAGGAAGCGTACCTCGTGACATTCTCCCCTGCTGTGGTGGGCACCAGGAAAGGAAGGTGGGTGTGATGGTTATTACTTCATGAAACAAAAGTATCTGACATCATGTCTGTAAATAAACAAATCTGGACCAGACAATCCAGTGATTGACATCATGAGCTGGAATACAATGACATGCATCAACCAAGTCAGCGAGCCTGACTACCCGATCCCATTAGTCATCTCTTACAACAAGCATGGGTTTCTGAGCCAACTCTTACCCGAATTGGTGTAAAGATTGACCCTCTAAAAAGTAAAACTTTGCCTAACGATTTGGTGTTTTTTACACAGGTTAGGGAGCAGCCATTTGATTTCCAAGGCGGGGAGACAGGATTTTCGTTTGAGATCAGCATATTTCATTTTCATGTTAAAGAGCTCAATTATTTTTTCCAACGTAAACAGCTGCTCAATTTCTTTTTCAAAATAAATAAAAACAACGAACTGTATTCTTTGGACATACTGTCTGCAAGAAAGGGTACTTTGTTTTTTTCACTACTTTACAAGGCATATGTAAAAAAACATCAGTAAAACAATGACTTGATTATTTTGTTAAAAACAATTTGGACGCCACCATCCTACCCCATCCCAGCCCCCCAATAACAATAAACCCCTTACGGTGAAATGACTGATTACTGCTATGTTCTCCAGTGGAGAAGTAGACCAGTTTCGAAAGGAAAGAAAATGTGAAAATCAGTATTTCAGCCATTTATTGATGGTAAACTCAAAGTTTTAAGTGAGCTTCAAGTAAACCTGCTTGTGTCTTGGATCTTACATCAGGATTAGTTCAGCTTCTATTTGTAAGCTGTCACACAGTTTTGGCATCAGATATTACATCAAGACGTCAAGTATTGTGTCAGTATTGTAACTCTGTGTTTTCATGAACAGTCTGGTGTTCTACAACGAGGCTGTCGGGGAGTTCTGGTACGAGCTGATCCTGAAGGCGGAGCCCCCTCAACCATCCCTACTGCCTCACATGGAGTGTGAGCTGGGCAGGTAATGTCAATTCTTTCTCCATCAGGACAATGGGCAGCCATGTTGGCTTGAAACATTCCTAGGCAAAAGTAATGGGATTATGGATTAATTAATTTCAGTACTTTACATTCAGAATTGTTAAAAGTAATGTCAGAGCATCTTGTAAACCTAATCCATAGCTGCCAAATGTCCTGAACTTGTGTCTGTTTTGAGTTTGCAACTAAAAAGCAAAAATATGATTTCCTCCTTAATTCATACGATTGATATGCATATCTATAAAATAAACAAAGGACTAAAGTATTATAGACACTACTTAAGATATTTAGCCTTACACTGTCTGCTATGAAAGCAAGTGTGTCTTGTTTATCGACTGGTAAACATCAGAATTACGTCAGATACGTTTAGAAAAATTTACATCAGAATTACATCAGATACTTTTTGACAGATTTACATCAGAATTACTTCAGATACTTTTTGACAAATTTACATCCGAGTTATATCAGATACTTTAGACAGATTTACATCAGAATTACTTCAGATACTTTTTGACAAATTTACATCAGAGTTATATCAGATACTTTAGACAGATTTACATCAGATACTTTTTGACAAATTTACATCGGAATTACATCAGATACTTTAGACAGATTTACATCAGAATTACTTCAGATACTTTTTGACAAATTTACATCAGAGTTATATCAGATACTTTAGACAGATTTACATCAGAATTACATCAGATACTTTTTGACAAATTTACATCAGTTATATCAAATACCATTTGACAAATTTACATCAGAATTACATCAGATACTTTAGAGGGGCGGTCAGGTAGCCTAGTGGTTAAAGCGTTCGCTTGTCACGCCGAAGACCCGGGTTCGATTCCCGACATGGGTACAATTTGTGAAGCCCATTTCAGGTGACCCCCGCCGTGATATTGCTGAATATTGCTAAAAGCGGCGTAAAACCATACTCACTCACTCAGATACTTTAGACAGATTTACATCAGAATTACATCAGATACTTTTTGACAAATTTACATCAGTTATATCTGATACTTTTTGACAAATTTACACCAGAATTACATCAGATCTATACTTTTTGACAAATTTACATCAGTTATATCAGATACTTTTTGACAGATTTACATCAGAATTACATCAGATCTATACATTTTGACAGATTTACATCAGAATTACATCAGATACTTTAGATAGATTTACATCAGTTATATCAGATACCTTTTGACAGATTTACATCAGAATTACATCAGATACTTTAGACAGATTTACATCAGAATTACATCAGATTCTTTTAGACAGATACATCAGAATTACATCAGATACATTAGACAGATTTACATGAAATACTGGTGGACATCAGGCTTATGTAAACATCAGACACTATTTTGACAGAAACACAACAGCATATTGAGACTTTGATCCCTTGACAACATTTAACCTGTCTTATTTCTGTACTATTGCAGATGGACGAAGCAGACCATTCTGTTGGAGAACCCGACTGATGAGATGCTGGAGTTAGTGCCAACTGTGTCCAACATCAACAACTTCTCCCTGGAGCGTGACAACGAGCGCCCCCTCCTCCTCCGACCCCACTCCCAGATCGAGGTCCCACTTCACTTCATGCCGTCCACCCTGGGACAAGGGGAGCATCACGCAAACATCACCTTCCACAGCGAACAGGTACTGTGTAGTTGTCCTGCCAGTTTGTCACCATCGTGTCATGGTCTGCTACCGTGTTGATGTCATGGTCTGCTGCCATCTTGACACAGTCTATCACCATCTTGTGACAATAGTCTGTCACCATCTTGTCACAGTAGTCTGTCACCATCTTGTCACAGTAGTCTGTCACCATCTTGTCACAGTAGTCTGTCACCATCTTGTCACAGTAGTCTGTCACCATCTTGACATGGTCTGTCCCATCTTGACATAGTCTGTCACCATCTTGTGACAATAGTCTGTCACCATCTTGACACAGTCTGTCACCATCTTGTGACAATAGTCTGTCACCATCTTGTCACAGTAGTCTGTCACCATCTTGTCACAGTAGTCTGTCACCATCTTGTCACAGTAGTCTGTCACCATCTTGACATGGTCTGTCCCATCTTGACATAGTCTGTCACCTTCTTGACATGGTCTGTCCCCATCTTGACATAGTCTGTCACCTTCTTGACATGGTCTGTCCCCATCTTGACATAGTCTGTCACCTTCTTGACATGATCTGTCCCCATCTTGACACAGTCTGTCACCTTCTTGACATGGTCTGTCCCCATCTTGACATAGTCTGTCACCATCTTGACACAGTAGTCTGTCACCATCTTGACACAGTAGTCTGTCATCATCTTGACAAAGTCTGTCACCTTCTTGACACAGTAGTCGGTCACCTTCTTGACACAGTAGTCTGTCACCTTCTTGACATGGTCTGTTCCCATCTTGACATAGTCTGTCACCATCTTGTCACAGTAGTCTGTCACCTTCTTGACACAGTAGTCTGTCCCCTTCTTGACATGGTCTGTCCCCATTTTGACATAGTCTGTCACCTTCTTGACATGGTCTGTCCCCATCTTGACATAGTCTGTCACCTTCTTTACATGGTCTGTCCCCATCTTGACATAGTCTGTCACCTTCTTGACATGGTCTGTCCCAATCTTGAGTTATATATAATTTATATATAATATTTCCTTCACCAACTTTGTGTTGCCTGCAGCTTGGAGAGTGGGTGTTTGAAGCCACAGGCACCGGTCAGCTGCCCCAGCCCCAGGACCCGGTCAGCGTATTCACCGCTGCCGGCACCAACACCACCCTCATCATCCCCTTCCGCAACCCCCTCGACCACGCTGTGCTGGCCAACATCGTCCTTACTGGTAAGCAGCTGCATATTGTTCATGCATATTTGTTTTATTGTTTGGATGGCAATTACGAACCCTGGAACCCATGTATCATTGTTTAAAGACCAGGGACTTGAGGCTTTCTATATTATTCACTTGGGACAGATTCTTGATATGTTATTAACCGCCTCCTTGGTCTAGTAGACAGAGCATCTTACCAAAGATTGGAAGGTTGATTGTTTGATCCCCTGGCCTCTTTGATGTTAAAAGATGGTACTTGTTGTTATACTTCCTTGCGTTAAGGGGATAAAACTGGTATGCTCCAAGACCACACTGCCTGAGTGGGGTATCCACATTAAAATGTGGCATGGTATCTGAGTGGGCTATATAAGTGCAATAATCTTGAACACGATGTTAAACTCCATTTCACCTCTCCATATATTTACATGTTAATTTGGGGGCACGGATGGCCCAGTTGTCTAAGGTGCCGCGATTCGCTGTGCAAAGTTGCGGCCCTTGGGCACGCCAGAAACCTATGATTGTGGGTTCGAATCCTGGTTCGCCCCGATTATGTTTCTAGGTTTGTCAGCACCATACCCGTGCTTGTGGGTTTCACCGAAGTGGTAAACGTCTGAGACCTGCATCACTTCGGGCTTTCCTCCCACATTAAGCTGACACGCCGCGATATAACTGGAATACTGTTGAAAGTGGCGTTAAACCAAACTCACTCACTCACTCACTCACTCAAGGCAAGCATGGGTTGCTGATACCTATTCTAACCTGGATCACCACGGGTCAAGCTGGACGTGATACTGTTAGGTTGTCAGCATGGGTATTGTACAATTGCACCCCAGGCATCTTTCTATATTCACATATTTAGCCTAGCCAAAATTCATGTACATATTGCAAGTATCTCAGCTTACGGCACATGTCAGCCAAATTACAGGTTTAACCAGATTCGTTCCATTATTCAAATCGAAGTGGTAAACGTCTGAGACCTGCATCACTTGGGGTTTTCCTCCTACATTAAGCTGCCACGCCATGATATAACTGGAATACTGTTAAAAGCGGCATTAAACCCAACTCACTCACTCACTCACATGTTAATTTTGTTACACAATGTAAAATGTTATTTGTCTGTCCATCCGACCAGACAACGAGCAGCAGCTGGAGCGCGTCACAACTGGAATGGAATCGGAGGAGTCCCCCTTCTGCCTTCTGCTGAAACACAACACCGGCTTGAGGGTCGGTCCAAAGTCCACCCTGGACATCCCGATCAGCTTCGCCCCGAACCAGATGAGGAAGTACGTGGGCCTGTGTACCGTCATTGTCCACAAGGAGGACGGCACGGCCTGGCAGTACGTCCCCACAGATGCTAACGGGTGAGTTGAGCACAAGACAACCATGTTATTGCTTGCAGTCTACATCGTGAATGATAAATCTTAGTTGACATTGTACTGAGCAGAATCTTTATTGAACGTCATCACACTAAAGATATAGGTTTTATGTTCCATGTGTTTAAAGTGTGAAGCCCACTCATGGTGTATTCCTACCCCCTAATCATGCTAGAATATTGCTAATATCAATAAAACCATACTCACTCACTCCCTTTTCTAAAATAAATATCAACCACATATCAGTAGCTTCCCCACAATGATGAGACGAAACACAAGTGCCTGTCAATTAACATTTGCCATGAACCTGTAAAGATGGCAGACAATAGAATTCATTTTCCAGCATGTACCTTGTCATGTAACTCGACATTGTTTTAATTAAAATGATCCCTCTAGTTAAGTATGAAAATGTTTAGTCCACAATCTTTGATAAATGGCTGCTCCAGCAGCTGCTAATAGCTGTTGACACAAAGGCAGATCAGGACCTCCAGCATCCCCTGTGTTTGTCCAGGTACCCTGTGTCACGGACCGGCAGCGGTGGGTTGATGGAGATCCGATGGTTGTTCCCTGTCAATGGCATCCCTGAGTCGAAGCCGGTGCGGGACAGCCAGGGTGCTGTCATCGAGTGTCGGGCCAGGGAGTCCATTGAGGAGCGTCTGGAAGTGACCCTGTCCGGAGTTGCGCCGAGTTCGGCTGGACCACAGAAGCGGATGAGGACACGGGCCAAGACTCCAAAGGATGATGCTCCTCAAGTACCTGATGGCATCGTGGTGGGAGAGAGTGAGTGGATAGCTGTTTTCTATGATGGAGAGAGTAGATAGTTGTGTTCTTTGGTGTTGGGATGGATAGCTGTGTTCTATGATGGAGAGAGTAGATAGTTGTGTTCTCTCTAGTTGGAGTGGATAGCTGTGTTCTCTGGTGATGGGATGGATAGCTGTGTTCTATGATGGAGAGAGTAGATAGTTGTGTTCTCTCTAGTTGGAGTGGATAGTTGTGTTCTCTGGTGATGGGATGGATAGCTGTGTTCTATGATGGAGAGAGTAGATAGTTGTGTTCTCTCTAGTTGGAGTGGATAGCTGTGTTCTCTGGTGATGGGGAGGATAGCTGTGTTCTATGATGGAGAGAGTAGATAGTTGTGTTCTCTGGTGATGGGATGGATAGCTGTGTTCTATGATGGAGAGAGTAGATAGTTGTGTTCTCTGGTGATGGGATGGATAGCTGTGTTCTCTGGTGATGGGATCGATAGCTGTGTTCTCTGGTGATGGGATGGATAGCTGTGTTCTATGATGGAGAGAGTAGATAGTTGTGTTCTCTGGTGTGGGAGTGGATAGCTGTGTTCTATGATGGAGAGAGTAGATAGTTGTGTTCTCTGGTGATGGGATGGATAGTTGTGTTCTCTGGAGATGGGACAGATAGCTGTGTTCTCTGGTGATGGGATGGATAGCTGTGTTCTCTGGTGATGGGATCGATAGTTGTGTTCTCGGGTGTGGGAGTGGATAGCTGTGTTCTATGATGGAGAGAGTAGATAGTTGTGTTCTCTGGTGTGGGAGTGGATAGCTTTGTTCTATGATGGAGAGAGTAGATAGTTGTGTTCTCTGGTGATGGGATAGATAGCTGTGTTCTCTGGTGATGGGATGGAGTGCTGTGTTCTATGATGGAGAGAGTAGATAGTTGTGTTCTCTGGTGATGGGATGGATAGCTGTGTTCTATGATGGAGAGAGTAGATAGTTGTGTTCTCTGGTGATGGGATGGATAGATGTGTTCTCTGGTGATGGGATCGATAGTTGTGTTCTCGGGTGTGGGAGTGGATAGCTGTGTTCTATGATGGAGAGAGTAGATAGTTGTGTTCTCTGGTGTGGGAGTGGATAGCTTTGTTCTATGATGGAGAGAGTAGATAGTTGTGTTCTCTGGTGATGGGATAGATAGCTGTGTTCTCTGGTGATGGGATGGAGTGCTGTGTTCTATGATGGAGAGAGTAGATAGTTGTGTTCTCTGGTGATGGGATGGATAGCTGTGTTCTATGATGGAGAGAGTAGATAGTTGTGTTCTCTGGTGATGGGATGGATAGCTGTGTTCTCTGGTGATGGGATCGATAGCTGTGTTCTCTGGTGATGGGATGGATAGCTGTGTTCTATGATGGAGAGAGTAGATAGTTGTGTTCCCTGGTGTGGGAGTGGATAGCTGTGTTCTCTGGTGATGGGATGGATAGCTGTGTTCTATGATGGAGAGACTAGATAGTTGTGTTCTTTGGTGATGGGATGGACAGTTGTGTTCTATGGTGTGGGAGTGACCAGTTGTGTTCTATGATGGTGGGGATGGATAGCTGTGTTCTTTGGTGTGGGGATGGATAGTCGGATGGTCAGGATCGCTGACTTGGTTGCTCCATGTCATCGTATCCCAACTGCTTGGATTGATGCTCATGATGTCAATCACTGGATTTTCTGGTCCAGACTCAATTATTTATATTCATATATTATTCATATAGCTTGAATATTGATGAGTGCGGCGTTAAACAACAAACAAAAACAAAAGTGGTGGGAGTGGATAGCTGTGTTCTATGATGGTGGGAGGGGATAGTCGTGTTCTATGATGGTGGGAGTGGATAGCTGTGTTCTATGATGGTGGGAGTGGATAGCTGTGTTCTATGATGGTGGGAGGGGATAGCTGTGTTCTATGATGGTGGGAGTGGATAGCTGTGTTCTATGATGGTGGGAGTGGATAGCTGTGTTCTATGATGGTGGGAGGGGATAGCTGTGTTCTATGATGGTGGGAGGGGATAGCTGTGTTCTATGATGGTGGGAGTGGATAGCTGTGTTCTATGATGGTGGGAGGGGATAGTCGTGTTGTAAGATGGTGGGAGCGGATAATTGTGTACTATGATGGTAAAAGGAGATTATTTGGGCCTGCTTTGATCAACAAAAATTAAACACTAGAGCCACATGTTGTAAATATACAAAAAGAATTAACTTGATCAGTTCATTCCAGAAAAAACATATTGTTATAATGACTTTTATTTATGTTTTGCACAGCTCTTGCCACAGCAGACGAGTTTAGTCATGAGCTGACGTTCTGTAACGAGGATGCCAGTGGCCAGTTGAAGGATTCTGTGAGCATGACGCTGGTGCGCCAGCACCGAGATATAAACACAGGACTGGTGGTGTTGTTGTTCAATGTCAAGTTCAACCCCTTCAAACCTCTCAGGTACCACCCACTTCACATATACCACCCACTTCACATATACCACCCACCTTACATGTACCACCCACCTCACATATACCACCCACTTCACATATACCACCCACCTCACATATACCACTCACCTCACATATACCACCCACTTCACATATCCCACCCACCTTACATGTACCACCACTTCACATATACCAACCACCTCACATATACCACCCACTTCACATATCCCACCCACCTTACATGTACCACCCACTTCACATATACCACCCACTTCACATATACCACCCACCTCACATATACCACTCACCTCACATATACCACCCACCTCACATATACAACCCACCTTACATATACCACCCACTTCACATATACCACCCACTTCACATATACCACCCACCTCACATATACCACCTACTTCACATATACCACCCACTTCACATATACCACCCACTTCACATATACCACCCACCTCACATATACCACCCACTTCACATATACCACCCACTTCACATATACCACCCACCTCACATATACCACCCACTTCACATATACCACCCACCTCACATATACCTCCCACTTCACATATACCACCCACCTCACATATACCACCCACTTCACATATACCACCCACTTCACATATACCACCCACTTCACATATACCACCCACTTCACATATACCACCCACCTCACATATACCACCTACTTCACATATACCACCCACCTCACATATACCACCCACTTCACATATACCACCCACTTCACATATTACCACCTACTTCACATATACCACCCACCTCACATATACCACCCACTTCACATATACCACCCACTTCACATATACCACCCACCTCACATATACCACCCACTTCACATAGACCACCCACTTCACATATACCACCCACTTCACATATACCACCCACCTCACATAGACCACCCACTTCACATATACCACCCATCTCACATATACCACCCAACTAACATATACCACCCACTTCACATATACCACCCAACTCACATATACCACCCACCTCACATATACCACCCACTTCACATACACTGCCTACCTCACATATACCACCCACCTCACATATACCACCCACTTCACATATACCACCCTACTCACATATACCACCCACCTCACATATACCACCCTCCTCACATATACCTTCCACCTCACCTCACCTATACCACCCACTTCACATATACCACCCACTTCACATATACTACCCTCTTCACATATACCACCCACCTCACATATACCACCCACCTCACATATACCACCCACTTCACATATACCACCCACCTCACATATACCACCCACCTCACATATACCACCCACCTCACATATACCACCCACCTCATATACCACCCACCTCACATATACCACTTACCTCACATATACCACCCACCTCACATATACCACCTACCTCACATATACCACCCACATATACCACCTACATATACCACCCACCTCACATATACCACCTACCTCACATATACCACCCACATATACCACCCACATATACCACCCACATATACCACCCACCTCATATACCACCCACCTCACATATACCACCCACTTCACATATACCACCCACTTCACATATACCACTTACCTCACATATACCACCCACTTCACATATACCACCCACTTCACATATACCACTTACCTCACATATACCACCCACCTCACATATACCACCTACCTCACATATACCACTTACCTCACATATACCACCTACCTCACATATACCACCAACCTCACATATACCACCCACCTCACATATACCACCCACCTCACATATACCACTTACCTCACATATACCACCCACTTCACATCTACCACCTACCTCACATATACCACCCACCTCACATATACCACCCACTTCACATATACCACCCACCTCACATATACCACCCACCTCACATATACCACTTACCTCACATATACCACCCACTGCACATCTACCACCTACCTCACATATACCACCCACTTCACATACACTGCCTACCTCACATATACCATCCACCTCACATTAAACCACATATCTCACATATACCACATATCTCACATATAAAATCTACCACATATCTCACATATAAAATCTACCTCACATATTCCACCCACCTCACATATACCACCCACCTCACATATACCACCCACCTCACATATACCACCTACCTCACACACACCACCCACCTCACATATACCACAATGTGCACGGGGGTTGGAAAACCCCTCTCCAACCTGCTCAGTTGTCGTGGCTATGTAGTGCTGGTTGACAAATTTGTTGTTTGTCTCATCCAGTGTGCACATATTCTGTAACTGATCATCATGACTCAGTTCCAATATATCACCCCTTAGTCTGCCGTCAGTGTCACTGAAGTCTTCTTCAGCACATGATCAACTCTGATGTGATATACTTCATATACTGCCAGTGATATAACAGAGGAGGCATGGGAGTGCAGAGTTATGTCCCTTAGATGTACCAGGAAACCTGTAGTTGTTACTTCAAGTCCCTGATTATGGCTCCATGTTTGCCGCTCAAAACTCGTGCTCATGGGTGTCATCACTGTATCGGTCCTGCATCAATTTGGGCTTCCCCCTCACTTCAAGTTGTGTTGTAACTGCAGTAGTATTCAGAGGGAGGTTTAGCCAAACTCACATTGTACTTACTGTTTTACCAGAGTGTTCTGTGTATGTTACTGTGATGTTCTTCTGTCTCCAGCCATGATGCCCAGCTGCATGTCACAGCAGCCACTGGCGGGGTGTGGAAGTTTCCGCTGCGATTTGTAGCCACAGAGCCTCCAGTTGATGACAAGATACTCATTGAAGCAACCGGTCTCAGCAAGATGTCAACTGTTGGCTTCTGGCTCACGAGTCAATCCAGGTGAGAAATACATACCTCAAGGCCCATCTCAAGGCCCAAAGGGTACCACCCCTTCCCAATGCCCATCTCAAGACCAGAAGGGGTAACACCCAATCTCAAGGCCCATCACAAGGCCCAAGGGGGTAACAACCCATCACAAGGCCCATCTTAAGGCCATAAGGGGTAACTCCCCATCTCAAGGTCAAGGTCACCATAAGACCCAGTGGATCACATCCCATGGCCAAGAGTAGTCATTATTTTGTTAAATAAAACTAATATTTGTCCATATAATAACTGTTTCCTCATCCCTGTTTCAGCAATGCTGTTCACTTCGATGCCTTCTTCGAGTCTGGAAGCGACCCCGAGTTTTCCATCTCGCCAGAGCATGGGGAGCTTCTTCCTCAAGGGACAGATGGCACCATGTTCAACATCAACTTCCTGCCAGCTGTGTACGGCAAACTATACCAGGCCAAACTTGTCATACAGGTGAGTGATGTGTGTGTGTGTGTGTGTGTGTGGGGGGGGGGGGGGGCAATGGATGTCTCTGGGCAGGTTTGTTGAATAACACACATCTTTACAAACAAGGGAAATAAACTGTATCAAAGAGCTTTAAAAGGTCTGTATGACTACTTCAAGTATAAAGGGTGGTTGTCTAAGACTTTTCCTTGCAGTGGATGTGAGGGAGTGAGTTGGATTTAATTCCACTTTTAACAGTATTCCAGTTATATCACGGCGTGTCAGCTTACTGTGGGAGGAAATTCCAAAGTGATGTAGGTCTCAGAAGTTTACCACTTCGGTGAAACCAACAAGCATGGGTATGGTGTTGACAAACCTAGAAACATAATCGGGGAGAACTTGGATTTGAACCAACAATCATAGGTTTCTGGCATGCTAAAGGGACGCAACTCTGCACAGCTAATTGCAGCACCTAAGACGACTGAGCCACCCGTGCTCCCTTGAGTGGTTGTCCTGAGTTTGACTCCATATATTGGAACATTATTTTGTGTGCATGCATGGAAGCATGTAGGTTTCCCTGAACTTGGTCTCAAACAACTCTGGGGCGGTGAGGTGGCCTAGTGGTTAAAGCACTTTCTCATCACGCTGAAGACCCAGGTTCGATTCCCCACATGGGTACAATGTGTGAAGCCCATTTCTGGTGTCCCCCGCTGTGATATTGCTGGAATATTGCTTAAAGCAACATAAAACCATACTCACTCACTCACTCAAACAATTCTAGGCTTTGTTTCCGAGCCATAACTCTCTATATATAAATAAATATTACCTTTCTAGGCTACAATTTACTAGAATTGTTATTCAGACTTGCAAACACCATTTACAGGAACAACTTGAACTAATGTAATAAAAACAGGGAGGGGGAGACATATGTTATTGAGTAAAAACACATTCTAGTTCAAAATGGCATGACCACAAACTCACTCTCTCAACACATCTATGTCTACCAGTAAGATGTTCCCTGATTCAATAGATCAACTAGCCACAAATACCCTAGTACTATTACAGACTGCATTCATATTGCAGAGTTCTCGCTAACGTGAGGCTGAAATATTGAAAACATAGTTTTGTAATAGCACTATGTTGTATTTTCTTGCATCACAATATATGAATTTCATGACTTGTTTGCTCAGACTCCGGACATGCAGTGGAGCTACGAGATCCGAGGCGTCCTCCCGGAATATACCCCGCCCCGCGGCAAGTCCTCTCGGCCAATGGCAGGCCCTCATCCTGACCCGCGGTACAGAGGTGACCGGGTCAACTACGTGCGCGACAACCTTCAGATAATAACAACAGCAGTGTCGTCGCCTGTCAAAGGAGCTCCTCTACTGCGGACACACAAAGTGCTGTGATGTGTGACACCACCTCACTCACACAAACCTCATCTGTGATATTGCACATAGAGTGCTGTGATTGTTGAAGTCAATGGAGTCTCTGAGGATTCCTCATGAAGGGAAGGATTTGGCAAACTACATGATTTATTTCAAGCTTTAAGATGCTTGTCCATTCCGTCTGAAACTGGGTCTTTTATTTGACATTCAGGTCCATCTTCGTCACTGGGTTGGTGGCATCAAACTTTGCATACTCAGCTTTGTATAAATGCCACTGTAATATAGATACAACTCAAAAGAAATAAAGGACCATCCAATTCTTTCATATCGGGTGGTCCTTAACTTCTTTACCCTTGCATATTTTTTGCGTATGAAGTGAAACCAATTATTTTAACATATTTAGTGCCTCAGTATGGAAATGTGAATCTAACACTAAATTTGTTTTTTGGAAAAAGTTTATTTTATATATTGTCATGAATATTGTTCCTTTATTCCAGTATTTATATACTTTTGCTGTGATAAACTATTGTATATACCTGTTGCTATGGCAGCTGCTTTAGACGTCATTGACCATTGTTTTGTAATATCTAGTATTAAACATGTCAGAAGTAGACTTGGCAGGTTATGCTTGAATTTTTTATGACAACCAAGATGTTGTATGTCCATTTAGAAGTCAAAGCATAAAGATGTTGAATTGACTGTGGACAAGACGTGTCATTTAACCTCATTTAGCATTATATATACACAAGGCCAAATGAACAATTCCTGTGTGGAGTCCCCCTCAAGCCACACCACCAGGCACCAGGTATTATGTCCCCTGTGATACGCTGTCCCCTATATCTACCTATGATACTGGTAGCTGCTGAATGCTGTATGTGTTAGTGTGACTGCTTCCTGTAGACTTGTGGTAGAGCTTTGTATACAGCTGTTAGTGTTATCTGTTCTCACATATAGAATGTCCGTCCAATGATTTACCAAGAAATAAACATGATCCAATAGCTGTGTCTTTGTTAAATGTGAATAGTGATTTCATTCCTTTCAAGCCAAACTAGCCCCCCCTTGTAAACAAGCACTTGGACTGATCCACCCACGTCCCCTGCAACCAATATAGTCCCCTTTCTAAACAAGAACTGGGACTGACCTACCAGTAGTGCCCCTTGTCCAACAAACACTAGACTCAACAACCCGGATCCCCTGTGACCAATAGTCCCCTGCAACCAATATGGTCCCCTTTGTCCAACAAACACTAGACTCAACAACCCATATCCACTGTGACCAATAGCCCCCTACAACCAATATGGTCCCCTTTGTCCAACAAGCACTAGACTCAACAACCCATATCCACTGTGACCAATAGCCCCTACAACCAATATGGTCCCCCTTGTCCAACAAGCACTAGACTCAACAACCCATATCCACTGTGACCAATAGTCCCCTACAACCAATATGGTCCCCTTTGTCCAACAAACACTAGACTGAACAACCCACATCCACTGTGACCAATAGTCCCCTACAACCAATATGGTCCCCCTTGTCCAACAAGCACTAGACTCAACAACCCATATCCATTGTGACCAATAGTCCCCTACAACCAATATGGTCCCCCTTGTCCAACAAGCACTAGACTCAACAACCCATATCCACTGTGACCAATAGTCCCCTACAACCAATATGGTCCCCCTTGTCCAACAAGCACTAGACTCAACAACCCAGATCCCCTGTGACCAATAGCCCCTACAACCAATATGGTCCCCCTTGTCCAACAAGCACTAGACTCAACAACCCATATCCATTGTGACCAATAGTCCCCTACAACCAATATGGTCCCCCTTGTCCAACAAGCACTAGACTCAACAACCCAGATCCCCTGTGACCAATAGTCCCCTGCAACCAATATGGTCCCCTTTGTCCAACAAGCACTAGACTCAACAACCCAGATCCCCTGTGACCAATAGTCCCCTACAACCAATATGGTCCCCTTTGTCCAACAAGCACTAGACTGAAAAACCCACATCCACTGTGACCAATAGTCCCCTACAACCAATATGGTCCCCTTTGTCCAACAAGCACTAGACTGAAAAACCCACATCCACTGTGACCAATAGTCCCCTACAACCAATATGGTCCCCCTTGTCCAACAAGCACTAGACTCAACAACCCATATCCAGTGACCAATAGTCCCCTACAACCAATATGGTCCCCTTTGTCCAACAAACACTAGACTCAACAACCCACATCCACTGTGACCAATAGTCCCCTACAACCAATATGGTCCCCCTTGTCCAACAAGCACTAGACTCAACAACCCAGATCCCCTGTGACCAATAGTCCCCTACAACCAATATGGTCCCCTTTGTCCAACAATCACTAGACTCAACAACCCATATCCACTGTGACCAATAGTCCCCTACAACCAATATGGTCCCCCTTGTCCAACAAGCACTAGACTCAACAACCCATATCCACTGTGACCAATAGTCCCCTACAACCAATATGGTCCCCTTTGTCCAACAAACACTAGACTCAACAACCCACATCCACTGTGACCAATAGTCCCCTACAACCAATATGGTCCCCCTTGTCCAACAAGCACTAGACTCAACAACCCATATCCACTGTGACCAATAGTCCCCTACAACCAATATGGTCCCCCTTGTCCAACAAGCACTAGACTCAACAACCCAGATCCCCTGTGACCAATAGTCCCCTACAACCAATATGGTCCCCTTTGTCCAACAAGCACTAGACTCAACAACCCACATCCCCTGTGACCAATAGTCCCCTACAACCAATATGGTCCCCTTTGTCCAACAAGCACTAGACTCAACAACCCACATCCCCTGTGACCAATAGTCCCCTACAACCAATATGGTCCCCCTTGTCCAACAAGCACTAGACTCAACAACCCAGATCCCCTGTGACCAATAGTCCCCTACAACCAATATGGTCCCCTTTGTCCAACAAGCACTAGACTGAAAAACCCACATCCACTGTGACCAATAGTCCCCTACAACCAATATGGTCCCCCTTGTCCAACAAGCACTAGACTCAACAACCCAGATCCCCTGTGACCAATAGTCCCCTGCAACCAATATGGTCCCCCTTGTAAACAAGCACTGGGGCTGGTCTGGAGTTCACGGGAAGCTTAAAAGCTGTGGAGAGCAATTTTTCAGCTGAATCCATGGCCTGTAAATACTAGGCAAGACTGGCAATGCTTCAATCATTTGCTCCCATGTCGGTAGGAACCACGACACTGAGTGACTAAGACAGCACAGGAAAGTCCAACACAATCATCAATAGTCAACAGAATTTATTTCGATTTCTTTTAGCAAAATATAGACATTTCCATGACCCCAAGGTAATCAAACATTGAATATGGTGCATAAATAGGAAACAGTTGCTGGTACAACAGAATCAACTAGTGCATTCAAACAAAAGTCAATCAAATCAATTTCAGGTAAAAGAATTTTACTCAACATAAAATATTGAATGAATAAATGTAGATATCAAGAAATGTTGACAATGTACATGTTCAGACTCCCACAACGTTGTTCAACTTTTAAAGGCTCTCCAAAGTTAAAGAAAAACTTACAACTGCAAGGCGTAAATGCACAAAGTCATTATGTATGAGACTTTTACGAATTTTAGGCACAAATTAAGTTAATCATGTTAATAGCAATGGCAAATATCTGTATTTAACACTGTAACCAGAGCAAATATCTGTATTTAACACTGTAACCAGAGCAAATATCTGTATTTAACACTGTAACCAGAGCAAATATCTTTAAGTAGCACTTACTGCAAACAGCAACAGAACAGTGCCAGATTTTCTGTAAATATGTTACGGAGCATCAAAAGAAGTTAATCATCTGAATCCCATCTCCTTGGCCGAGACGAAAGACATCTGTACCACTACATAGTTCACAAACATATTTACATATACAAAACAAATGACAATATCAAACAATATGATTACAAATATGTTGCACTAAAAAAAAATATGTTAAAGGTGCATGATGTTTGTTGTAACATAAAGTAACTTACTACAAAGGATCTGAACGTGTATTTGATTCTTTTCATATTGACTTGATATCCACAATTTTACTTCTAGTTATCACTCTTCAAACTAAACACTACAAGCTCATTATACAGAGACAATAACAACTCCATGACAAGATCACGTGCCAAATATATCAACGGAAATAGACGTATAGTCTATTTTCAAATGTGTCATCTTACATGGCGTTGTTCGCCCATTTCAAGTTTCGATCAATGTGCAGTCTTTATTATCCTCATACATGGCGTATATGGCAAACAAGTTGAGTCGTTTACCACATCAAGATTACAGACAGTGTGAAACAAGAGCAATACTGACATTGGACAATACGGCTCATACACTACTGCAGATACATGTAATGTCAAAACGTGACCATGATATATTTGAACATACTGTACATAAAGAAACATGTGGTGTACTGAAGAAACAAACATGATTCAGAGGTTTCTATATACCACTCAAAAGAAGTTAAAGAACACTTTTTTCACATGACCACAGTTAACTATTATTGGGTGTTCCCTAACCTCTTTTGAGTAGTATATGTTGTATAAGGACAATGAGCTGTCACATCAACAAATGGAGAGTAAATGAATATGACGATATAATCTGCTTCTTACAATAGATGTGATATTACAGGAACACCGAGAACTAGTTTCACATGCTGTATTCATTTGGAGAATCAAACCCAAGTTTTAGGTGATGAGTTGACACTTCACCACTAGGCTACCCAACCTGCTGACTAAGACTTGAGCCATGAGTGGGTGACTTAGTGCCACACCACTTTCAACAGTGTTTTGGCCATGTGATGCCACTATAGCTTCATAGGGGAATTGAACCCAGCCTTCGGCATGACGAGCTAACACTTTAACTACTAGGCTACCCAACCACCCCGTTGGTCATATGGGGATGGAAAGAGCGGTTAAATGCCTTTTCTTTCACCCATACAACAGCCCAATACTAGTTGTAGGAGTGAGTGTGAGTGAGTTGCGCTAAACGCCGCTTTTAACAGTATTCCAGTTATATCGCGGCGTGTCAGCTTAATGTGGGAGGAAAGCCAGAAGTGATGCAGGTCTCAGACGTTTACCACTTCAGTGAAACTCACGAGCACGGGTATGGTGCTGACAAATCTAGAAACTTAATCGGGGCAAACCGGGATTTGAACCCACAATCATAGGTTTCTGGCGTGCCCAAGGGCCGCAGCTCTCCACAGCGAATCGCGGCGCCTTAGGCGACTGGGCCTGTGCCCCCACCAGATGTAAGACCCATGCAGGGAAGGGTGTGTATATCACTTTGCAGACACCCATGAGAGCAGTGCTGAGTGAGTGAGATAGATGGATTAACAACACTGGAACAGTATTCCAGTTCTGTCACGGCGTGTCAGCTTAATGTCGGAGGTAAGCCCAAAGTGATGCAGGCCTCAGACGTTCACCACTTTGGTGAAATATGATATCCCCCTACACAGCTGGTAACACTGATGAATAATTGTCTCGTAAGACGTCCCATAACTCCCTTGAGTTAGTCTTGATGATTCTTGTGATGGTGATAATTGTTTTAGATTGTAACCTAAGTAGCATCTGCAATTCTGTTCATTCCGAGTTATCCAATGTATCAATGTCGGCATATCCAAACAAACTTTCAGACCATTTCTCCATCTCTATGACAGCGTACAAATATTTACAAATGTCTTCTTTCATGACAGCAACCCCAGCTGAACTTGAGCATATGCTCATGTTGAGACGTCGCTTATACCTTCCAATCCTATCTACCGCCTATCTATTCATTTGGTCACCAAGGCATGATAACCTACATAACTTCAACATAGACATGAACACCTATGTCAATGTTGAACCAGCTCATGTCAGTCCGACTTAATGGATCTACGACTGCAGCTCTGTCATCCTCTGTCATCCTCCGTCATCCTCCGTCGCTCAAATGCCCAGTTAGTCGGTCTTCCCGAGTGTTCTAGTTATCAAACTTGATGGAGTGAACATGCATGTCAATGGCACCTCCTTTGTAACTCCCTCTTTTCTTCTTCGTCTTCTCATGGCGAAAACTTTTCCCTTTTGTGTATTTGAGATCTTTGTTGGCCTTCTCTCCCCATGATCCTCTGGCTCCGCTCTGACAACACATGGTTAAAACAATGGTTAATACTCAACCGTTCCTAGACAAGTTTTGTTTGTTTGTTGTTTTACCCCGCCAACAGCAGTATATAATCTGTATGACGATGGCATGTAAATAAAATCTGGACCATCCATTGATTGATATGATAATGATGAGCAACAATACATAGTCACCAAATCTGACCATCAGATCCATTAAGGCGCTTCTAACCACAACCAGAGATGGCTGGGGACCAATTCTAACGCTGAATCAAGGTATTTGAGTCCTATCATTGCATGTCAATTTGTCTGAGGAAACCCAAAGAGGGCAGGTCATAGATAGTTAAGGAATCAGTGAAACAAACCAAAGATCATAGCCCATGATCAGAGTATCCTGAAAGATATAAGGGATGCAACTCCGCAAACAGCAGTGTAAGACCACTGATTGTCATCCTTAAGTGGCAGTTCAAAAGCTGTAGTATGAATGCAGACAGATTTGACATGGATTTAAACTACAATATTCATTACATATTCCCAACATGAGTTATGTCCCCTTGAAACGATGCCATGAGCTCCTGTTCACCATGTTTCAACTGTGCATAATCATTATAATTACAATTAATCTGACACGTAACTGTACTCTGATCAACCACCTGACCTTATTCTGGAATGTAAATTGCATTTGCTATTTCTTTCACTTCAAAGGTTACGTTCTTCCTTCACTAAAATTCAGACAATATTCCTGTACCTTAGTGCAATATGAAATACAGTAACAAAGGTTTCTGGCATTACCTTCGCTTCAAATGAATTGTTGGCCAGCTTGGGATCCACGGCTACTTCTTCAGCCTTCACCCTCCGGAAGGGCTCACTTGTTCGTCTCTGAAAGAGTACTAAATTTGCTGAACAATATTCAAGAATATCATATTTCCGAAACATATTTGGGGCGTACCAGATTTGAAATCTGTATGTGCATATGTGGGCCCACTGAGACAGCATGGCTGCAGTTTAACAAGGACACCGCACCCAGTATACAGACTCCAAGCCAAACAATCCTTGTCTTATCCCCTTAATAACTAGCACCAGGCAGGGTAACAACAAGTACCATCTTTTAACGTCTTTTGGTATGATGTGGACAGGGATTAAATCAAATAATCTCTGGTGACTAGACCATGTAGGAGGTCAATTCCGACAAGCAAACAGACAGATCACACTATGCGACCAACAAATCCCTGCTTTAGTCTGTATACTCCTGCATCGTCTCATGGTGATCATAGGATGAACATCATATTTACACATGGCGTCTCATAGAACGATGCACAGCTGAACTGAATAGGATCAGTGCTTCTTTACATACCTGGTGCCCTTTCTGCCTTGTATTTTCAGCATCGGGAGAAGATTTCTAGAAAGAAAACAAAAAAATTAGCATTTTTTTCCTGCAATATTCTTGTCAACAGTATTTAGCTATAGTTCTGGACAAGGCAAACCAATGTCCAAAACCATGAGTAACAATCCACACAAAGACCCAAGTCAGAGCCTGACATCTGAAACCGAGTCTGCAAAAGTTTCAAATTCTACATGAATGAACATCTGAAATAACTTGCAAACCAACATTTATGGTAATTACGCAACATTCTGTCAGAATAACAGGCCATAACACTGTTCCTACAGCTGTACCATAACTGTTGATTACCGACTCCCTTCTAGGCTAGATTGAGTGAGTGTGTCAGTGATTGACACTGCCAGTGTCCAGTGAGAGACACTGCCAGTGTCCAGTGAGTGTGTCAGTGAGTGACACTGCCAGTGTCCAGTGAGTGTGTCAGTGAGTGACACTGCCAGTGTCCAGTGAGTGTGTCAGTGAGTGACACTGCCAGTGTCCAGTGAGTGAGGGACAGATTTGGAAAGAGTTTGGTCTAATTGTGTTTGATTTGTTTGTCTGTTGTTTAACGCCTCACTCAGCAATATTCCAGCTATATGACGTGGTCTGTAAATGATCGAGTCGGGACCAGACAATCAAGTGATTGACATCATAGGCATCGATCCACGCATTTGGGAGATTAGACATGCATCATCCATGTCAGCGAGACTGACCACCCGATCACTCTAGTAGCCTCTTGTGGCAAGCATGGGGTTGCTGAAGACCTATTCTACCCGTATCTTCAAGGTTTGAACAGTATATCAGTTACCGTATTCGACATAATAGGCGGCCCTCTCTAATAAGCGCCCATGGCGATATTTGCTAATATATTGGCTAGTGAACATTCCAATTAGCACCCCTTCCGATTGATCAATGTACACAAGACTTATTTATTCGCGTATAATACACACTCGTGTGTTATATGGACCCTTAATTATGGGCAATTAAATTCTGGAAAAATATATATCTCGTATATAAACATTTCAGGCTGTCAGCATAAACCACGAAATTTATCTTTGAACACTGTTTTTTTCACCAAATTAATATTCTAATAAGAGCTCACTATTTCTAATTTTGAGAGCGCCCTGGGCGCTTATTACGTCGAATATGGTATATCACGGAATGGGAAGTAAAGTGCCCAAAGTGAGGCAGCAGGTCATAAGTCATTTGCCACTTTAGTGAAACCCATGACCATTGGTATGGTGTTCATAATGAAAAAAAAAAGGTTCATGATTTTAAATCATGCGATTTGTTTCGAAACATTATGTGAGTGTATTCTTAACAGCAGTACAACAGACGGACACTAACCTTCACTTGATCCGACGCTGTAGACACCCCTGAATCGGAGTTATCAGAGCTCTTCCCATTCACAATGGGAGTATTGGCTTTCGACTTGCCTTTCGACTCCGATTCACTAGAACTGTCCGACTCAGTGCTACTCACATCCTTCAGAGTCTTGGCTGGGGTAGATTTAGGAGTTGGTTTCGCACCTGCTTTAGGTGTCTGTTTCTTACCACTGTCTGTATCACTATCCGAACTATCAGAATCTGAGCTGCTATCCTTCTTTGAAGTCTGCTTAACAGGTGTCTTTGTCACTGAGGTAGAAGCCTTCTGCTTAGGCTTGTCATCGTCACTATCAGAGTCTGAACTAGAACTGGATTCTGACTTTTTGTTGGCAATTTTCTGCATAGGCGTGCTCTTTGCAGCTGGGGTGCCTATTGCTCTCTTCAGATTCTTGCCAGTAGGAGTCTTTTTCACATCATCATCAGAATCTGAGCTAGAATCCGAACTGTCAGAGCTAGAAGCTTGCTTTTTCGGGGACACCTTTGGAGTTGTTTTGACTGGGGTTGCACCCTTAGCTGGCGTTTTCTTTACTACAGCTTTTTTAGTGTCTTCATCTGAACTAGAGTCGGAATCTGAACTGCTGGAATCGGCCTTCTTTTTCGGTGTGCTCTTGGCAGCAGCTGGGCTCTTGGCAGGAGTAGCTGCTTTCTTAACAGCTGCTTTCTTAGTGTCTTCATCGGAGCTAGAATCAGAATCTGAACTGCTAGAAGCTGCCTTCTTTTTCGGTGTGCCCTTGGCAGCAGCTGGGCTCTTGGCAGGAGTAGCTGCTTTCTTAACAGCTGCTTTTTTCGTATCCTCATCCGAGCTAGAATCAGAATCTGAACTGCTAGAAGCTGCCTTCTTTTTCGGTGTGCCCTTGGCAGCAGCTGGGCTCTTGGCAGGAGTAGCTGCTTTCTTAACAGCTGCTTTTTTCGTATCCTCATCAGAGCTAGAATCAGAATCTGAGCTGCTGGAATCCGCCTTCTTTTTCGGTGTGCTCTTGGCAGCAGCTGGGCTCTTGGCAGGAGTAGCTGCTTTCTTAACAGCTGCTTTTTTCGTATCCTCATCAGAGCTAGAATCAGAATCTGAGCTGCTGGAATCCGCCTTCTTTTTCGGTGTGCTCTTGGCAGCAGCTGGGCTCTTGGCAGGAGTAGCTGCTTTCTTAACAGCTGCTTTTTTCGTATCCTCATCAGAGCTAGAATCAGAATCTGAGCTGCTGGAATCCGCCTTCTTTTTCGGTGTGCTCTTGGCAGCAGCTGGGCTCTTGGCAGGAGTAGCTGCTTTCTTAACAGCTGCTTTTTTCGTATCCTCATCAGAGCTAGAATCAGAATCTGAGCTGCTGGAATCCGCCTTCTTTTTCGGTGTGCTCTTGGCAGCAGCTGGGCTCTTGGCAGGAGTAGCTGCTTTCTTAACAGCTGCTTTTTTCGTATCCTCATCAGAGCTAGAATCAGAATCTGAGCTGCTGGAATCCGCCTTCTTTTTCGGTGTGCTCTTGGCAGCAGCTGGGCTCTTGGCAGGAGTAGCTGCTTTCTTAACAGCTGCTTTTTTCGTATCCTCATCCGAGCTAGAATCAGAATCTGAGCTGCTGGAATCCGCCTTCTTTTTCGGTGTGCTCTTGGCAGCAGCTGGGCTCTTGGCAGGAGTAGCTGCTTTCTTAACAGCTGCTTTTTTCGTATCCTCATCAGAGCTAGAATCAGAATCTGAGCTGCTGGAATCCGCCTTCTTTTTCGGTGTGCCCTTGGCAGCAGCTGGGCTCTTGGCGGGAGTAGCTACTTTCTTAACAGCTGCTTTTTTTGTATCCTCATCCGAGCTAGAATCAGAATCTGAGCTGCTGGAATCCGCCTTCTTTTTCGGTGTGCTCTTGGCAGCAGCTGGGCTCTTGGCAGGAGTAGCTGCTTTCTTAACAGCTGCTTTTTTCGTATCCTCATCAGAGCTAGAATCAGAATCTGAGCTGCTGGAATCCGCCTTCTTTTTCGATGTGCCCTTGACAGCAGCTGGGCTCTTGGCAGGAGTAGCTGCTTTCTTAACAGCTGCTTTTTTTGTATCCTCATCAGAGCTAGAATCAGAGCTGCTGGAATCCGCCTTCTTTTTCGGTGTGCCCTTGGCTGCAGCTGGGCTCTTGGCAGGAGTAGCTGCTTTCTTAGCCACTGCTTTCTTCGTATCCTCATCAGAGCTAGAATCAGAATCTGAACTGCTTGAATCCGCCTTCTTTTTCGGTGTGCCCTTGGCAGCAGCTGGGCTCTTGGCAGGAGTAGCTACCTTCTTAACAGCTGCTTTCTTAGTATCCTCATCCGAGCTAGAATCAGAATCTGAGCTGCTGGAATCTTTAGTCTTCTTCACAACTGTAATAGGCTTCTTTCCAGGAGTAGCTTTACTGGCAGCCTTTTTAGGAGCTTCATCTTCAGAGCTGGAATCTGAACTAGAAGACTCAGCTTTTTTGGCCTGAACCTTTTTACCAGGTGTCTGTTTAATTGCAGGCTTTGCTGGTGCCTTCTTTGGAGCATCATCCTCATCAGAACTTGAATCATCTGATGAAGAAGAACCGCCCTTCTTGGGAGGAGCTTTCTTAGCAGCAGTTTTTGAAGCAGGCGCCTTCTTCTGGGCAGGTTTCTTGGGGTCCTCATCTTCATCATCAGAGCTGTCCGAGTCACTACTAGAGCTCTCAGCCTTCTTCACAGGCACCTTCTTTGTCTGCACTGGAGCTGCTGATTTCTTGGCTACAGCTGGCTTTACAGCTTTCTTCTTGTCTCCATTTGAAGTATCGGAATCCGAGTCAGAATCAGAGGTTCCACTGTCCTTCCTTGCTGCCTTGGCAACAGGTTTAGCAGGTGCTTTCTTCTTCTCTTCCTCGGAGCTGCTATCAGAGCTACTGCTCTGGTGTGTCCTCTTGTTGCCTGCCTTAGGGGTACCCTTTGCCGAAGTAGGTGTGGTTGCTTTTTTCTGTGGCTCTGAGTCACTGTGAAAAAATTAAATACATAGTAAGTTTGTTTGTTGTTTAATGCTGTACTCATTCTTGTAAAATGATGGCAATCTGTAAATAATCAAGACTGGATCAGGCAACAGAGTGTTTTACAAGACATGAGCCACCACGCATCAGGGATACAATGACATGCAATCAACCAAGGCTGGCCACCCGATCAATTCAGCCGCCTCTTACAAAGGGACATGTATTATTATCAGGAATCCCCATGGTAGTCAGTACTAATTATTTTGATACAAACATTCATGGCAGTGCCATAAGGAAAACTTACTAAACCCATCTGGGAAATCAAAACCACTGCCAGGATAGTCTGTAACAACTAGGTTTCTGCATTTGTCTAACAATTACTGCTATGGATGACTGTTTCAAGTACTGCTCTGCCTCAACTGTAAATTGTAAATCCTGTCCGCATGTTTTCCCTCACCTGTCGGAGTCAGAATCAGAACTGGAGGAGTCAGGCTTGGCCTTCTTGGCCTGTGGTTCCGCTGTCAGGGACAGCTTCCGCTTGCCATGGTTACTGCAACACAAACCTAACTTGTACCACACAGAAGCAACAAGCAATGGAAAACCAGGTCCCTTAGTACAGAACAAAAATACTCATGATTCACATTCTTCTTGTAAATACACAACATATTTTACGTTTGTCTATAATCTCATTTCAAATAGTGAGAAAAGGGTAATTTAAGGTGTTACAGTATCTACTTGTTATACTTGAAACACTCACTGTTGCCATGATGTATACAGTTCCTCTAATTTGGGCGATCCAGGCACCTCTCCCTTCTGAAAATGTTAAACATTCATCATAAAAACACTGTTATCCCAAGCACCAAAGTGAGTTATACTCTATAGCATGCTGAATTGTTGATTGACAGTATGGGCAATGATACACAATATCCAACCTGTTAATGAACTATAGGCAGGGTTAGAAATGAATTCTTATTTTCACTCTCTCCATCAGAGTTACCCTCTCCATAATGGTAAAAACAAAAAACTAAAATTTTGCTAATCTCAGGCTTGCGGAATTATGTGGGTTTTTTTAGAACATGTATTTTATTACTGGCCAAATGAACATCTACTTTTACCATACTACAATGGATACCATAGCATACAGATTACCATACAAGCGAGATTAACAAGAAACGATACATATCACCAGAAATTAGGAAGTGCATACCCAATGACATTATTGCAATCGTTGTTGTGAATTTATTGTTTCAGTAATAAAGAAAGCCTTTCAATATTTCTTGTGAATATAGGTTGGGTTTTTTAAGTGATATCAACTAATGCCTAGTTAGTAAAGGGAAGTAACCACATTCACGCATTAACGTTAAAATATTGTGGGGGTCGAATGGTTGGCCATCACATGATACTGATGAAATGTACCAACAATAGGAACAATATTCAACTAATTGATTTCATGCATTTTCATCATGTTTATAAATAAAATATTGTTAAAAACATTGTTTGGCAATCCTTCTTTATTAGACCACCTTGGGGAAAAAATGAGTAAAGAGTGCTACTGCGAGAATGATCATTGCCACACAAAAAATATGAGAAAGAACATCACAAACATGTTATAAAACACCTTCAAATGTAGGCACGTTTCTTATATCTGATCAAATAAGGGGGCTCATAGGGGTGCGCAACTTCATTGGATCATAGTGGCGAGTAACTTAGAAGATGTATCGTTGGATCATAGGTTTTTCGAACATCATATGTTTTAGACGGCCAACTAGCCCAACTAGGGTGTGGCGTCACGCAGACATTGTAAATAATCAGACGATGGCCTGTTTTGAATATAAAGTCGTATCCTTTAAGTGAGTGAAATGTTTTACAGTTGTTCTTGTGATTAGCGAGAAAACTATGTTTTTTAGGCATCCGGAAACCCATAACACGGGGATGACTTAGATCAATAGATGATTAATTCCAAACGGACAATATCCATTGTTTAATTAATGACTTTATAGTACCACAATCAAGTACTCTTTTTTCTTTTCACCGTCCCATCACAATACATCAACGTCAGACTTGGCAAAATACAATACAACATAACAAAACAGAAAACCCATTGCCAGTGAAAGAAAGGCAAACACCAGCCACGTGCTTTAAAAACCACGTGGTCCACGTTGTGTTTTGATATGTATTCTAAGATTCAACACATAGGCATTGTATCAAACAAAAAATATGATAATGCTTACAATCTTGAATTTCTTCTGGAAATATGTCGCAGCATCTTTGCACGACTGCTTTAGAAAGTCGTAAACTATAGATTGCAATGCCGCTTTCTCATCTGCTTGCGCCATGATTGTAAAATGTGAAACTCTAATACCGGAAGTTCAATTTCATTTACCGGGAGAGACCAATATTTTGTTTGCATGGGTAGAACACATTTTTGAAACATTAATATGACCTACCAAACATGGTCACGAGCATTCAATAAATCACCAAACTTTTCCTTCCAGGAAAGAGTAGTAATTTTCATAAATCTGATTTACTGATTGTAATTATTTGATAATTATTTGATAAAACCTATTTTTCCGGAATTTACAATGCATCAAGCACAATTATCTGCCCCTTAATGTGTGAGCATCAAGCTCCTTCCCAGCGCGTGACACCTTCGTTACACTCTCGGTAACATTGCGATAGGGCTCGGCGTGAGGGCTATTGCTGTGAGGAGTTTGTGGTGGTTTGCTCGCTGGCGTTATGACTGAGTGGTGGCGCCTCTATTTAAACATCTCTCTGGAAGAAGTTTGTCTCATCTTGCAATCAGGCTGAATCCATTGCTCACGTGTTACTGAAATGTCAAGACCACGCCCCGCCCGTCCTCGGTTAAAACAAGAATTGCAGTTAGATCTGCTATTTGTCATAGATCTCCTAAAGCCAAGAGATGCAATAGCAAAGGCCAAACTAACTCTATTTCTGAGAGATGGTCAGCTTCTCGAACCTATATAAACAGAGCAGCCAAAGAAAAGAATGAAATTATATCAATATACGAAAATAGAAATCATATCAATACAAAAACAGAAATTTTGTGAATACCAAAATCACAATAGATATGTGTACCCTACTCACACACATGAGGACCGCCTCCGTGGTCTAATGGTAGAGCGTCCGCCCGGAGAGCGGAAGGTCCGGGGTTCGATCCCCAGCCGCATAAAAGACGGTAAAAGACGGTACTTGTTGTTACCCTGTCTGGCGCTCGGCATTAAGGGGCTATAACAAGGACTGGTCGGCTCGGAGTCAGTATACTGTGTCTGAGTGAGGTATTCATGTTAAACTGCGGCATGGTATCTCAGTGTGCTAGCACTATAAATCGGCATCAGTCCGGACTAGTACAAGCAGACACACACACACACACACACACACACACATTCACGTGCATGCACGTCGCTATGTAAGTGCAATAATCTTGGACGCGACGTTAAACCCCATTTCACCTCACCTCACCTCACACACATATGAGTCCCTAAGAGGGACAGGTCAGCCGAAATTACTAAGGCAGAAGGCGACCTCTTAAACACTTAATGCAACAACAACAACAGAAGTTTGTGTGGACTAGCCCGCGCGACACCGCTGGCGAGACTCTTAGGGGTATGTTATCATCAAAGCCAGTACCAGCTGGTCCTAGGTTTGATGAACCCTTCAAACTGACTGTTTACGCTAGCAGCACTGAAACGGAAGGGGTCGTTGTCGGCAAGGGTACTACAGATAAGTACCCTAGTACCCTTTCTGTATACAGAATACAGAAAAGTACCCGGTACCCTAAACGGCGGACGAGACCATATTTCTCACCCCAAAACCGAAACCGGTTCATGACGGGCTCATGCTGGATAATCCGGCGCACCGCGGAATATAAGGGTACTGTACGAACGTCTTTGTTGTTTATTTTGTTTGTTGTTTAACGCCGCACTCAGCAATGTTCCAGCTATATTACGACGGTCTGTAAATCATCGAATCTGGACAAGATATTACAGTGACTGACATCATGAGCATCGATATATGCATAGGGATACGATGACATGCATCAACCAAGTCAGCGAACCTGACCACCCGATCCCGTTAGTCGCCTCCTACAACAATCATGGGTTGCTGAAGATCAATTCTAGCCTGAATCTTCACGGGGTTTGACCTTATGTACTTTACTGTGCGTCTTGTTCATACAAGATATAGAAATCTATCGGAAACAGGGGCACGGGTGGCCAAGTCGCCTAAGGCGCCACAATTCGCTGTGCAAAGTTGCGTCCCTTGGGCACGTCAGAAATCTATGACTGTGGGTTCGAATCCCGGTTCGCCCCGATTATGTTTCTAGGTTTGTCAGCACCATACCCGTGCTTATGGGTTTCACCGAAGTGGTAAACGTCTGAGACCTGCATCACTTCGGGCTTCCCTCCCAAATTAAGCTGACACGCCGTGATATAACTGGAATACTGTTAAAAGCGGCGTTATTCCCAACTCACTCACTCACCACTAGAAATATATATGACTCCATGGCGGCCATATTGGAGTTGTGTGGCCCCCATATCTTAAAGGGGCACTGATCTATAGCAATTCCCCGGGACTTCGTGGTTTTTGCCTTTGTTGTTTCCCCCCTGTGAGTGCCCGGATAATATCCCAGAAGTCTGGACTAGTTCGCGACCTGTGCTGGGCCAACAGAAAGCGCATTTGTCGCTTTTATTGATAGTATTAGTAACACGAAGTCACTTGCTTGGTATTGTGTGATTTTCGTTCGCACTATTTTGACTTGTAACACAAACTAAATATTTCACCTGAGCATTGCTTATTCTATCGTGTGTAAAATGACTAAAAGTTCACTTAGCAATTTATCAAATAAATATTCATTAATCTGTCCATTTATTTTATTATGATAACGAATTCCAAACAATTTTATTTTAATTTTATCACCCAGTGACTGAAAATGATAGTGGCTTTAAATCATTAGTCTATTTAAGCCCCTTTGCACGTCTTAATAATTTTTAATCAATCTGATATATACATGGACAGATTGATCATTCAATTTGTAAAATGACCGAATTATTATATACTTCAGTGTGAAAGACTGAGTGTCCCGAAGTTTAGAAAACTGATATTTTCATTGCAGTGAACATAACAGTTGATATTTCACTGCAGTGAACATAACACTTGATATTTCACTGCTGTGAACATAACACTTAGACGGAACTATTGTCATAAAAGAGTGACCTCCCCTCAAATTGTCCCCCTTTATCGTAAGTGTCTGGCCCCTACAAAAACTGATGACTTCCTTTTTTACGTTAGTTCCACGTTGACAAGGCAAAATAATGACCATTTATTGAGTTAATATCGCTTCGTGCCTTTTGTTATTCTCCTGAAAATGTTTCGATATAAACTGTAAATTTCTCATTTAACTCGTCAATGGAAACTCTTCGTTTCGCAAAACGCCATTTTTGTTACTTGACCAGCGAGTATTCTTTCCCTTCCAACAGTGGTCTCGTAGTTTTCAAGAATATGTTTTGTTAAAGTTGATTTTGTATATAATTACATCTATATGTATGATACATAATTTTTGTGACGTTACTCTTGTTTATATTTTTTTAGATTTTGCAAACACGAAACTACGTTTCTGTAGTCGCAAATACAAGGGGTAGTGAACCGTAGGGAAAATTTACGTTTCAAGGTTTTACATTTGCAACGAAATCATTTAATTTTACAGTAGCCAGCTACAAAAAAAGCGTATAATCAACAGGATATTACATGAGTCGGGTGGAACGCCCCCGTGGCGTGGTAGAGTGTCCGCCCGGGGAGCGGAAGGTCTGGGGGTTCGATCCCCGGCCGCGTCATACCAAAAGACGTTAAAAGATAGTACTTGTTGCTACCCTGCCTGGCGCTCGGCATTAAAGGGTTAAAACAAGGACTGGTCGGCTCGGAGTCAGTATACTGTGTCTGAGAGGGGTATTCATGTTAACTGTGGCATGGTATCTCAGAGGGCTAGCACTATATATCGGCATCAGTACGGACTAGTACAAGCAGCCACACACGTACGTGCAGGTGTTGTTTAACACCGCATTCAGCAATATTCCAGCTATATGACGGCGGTCTGTAAATAGTCGTGTCCGGACCAGACAATCCAGTGATTGACCTCATGAGCATCGATCCACGCAATTTGGATGCAATGACATGCATCAACCAAGTCACCGCGAGTCGCCTCTTACGACAAGCATAGTCGCCTTTTATGCCAAGCGTGGGCTGCTGAAGACACATTATAACCCGGATCTTCAGGGGTCGTAAAATATATTTAAACTATTTATAACATATGGTAGTAATGGAATGTTACCTTCTTCACTTTAGAATAAGTTCCACGTGAAGGCAGTATCATGAATGGGAGGCAGCTCAGAAAACGATTAAAAATACATAGTAACATGTATGTCCTAGATATGGTTTATTTGATTGATTTGGTAGTCATGTCCGAACTAGTATTATGACACAATGTGTCATGAAGTCACGTTTCAACTTTGTGTCTGGTTCCATTCCATACGAAGTGATGTCTGTTCTTCTGACTCTAATGCCCGTGTCTTTCTCTTGATAACATGCATCCCTCCTTTCCAATCACCTCAGTGAAGAAGCATGGTCCAAAATCTCTTTAGACTTTCTTTGAACATTTCACGCAACATCCGTTTATTAATAAAGTTTTTTTAATATCTTTTGCTGAATGCTTTGGCCACCAACACCTGGAGCCTTGACAAAGATAAAAGAATAATTTGTGTCATGAAGGTCAACAAATTCCCTGATGAATTCACCACTCGCTTCACCCTTCATGGCACCAATGGTTGTATGTCCAAGGACCAAAAGAAGTGGGTGTTCTTTTGGAACATTTTGGAAAAGGGGTCTTCAAGGAGTCTATCTACGGTAGATAACAGTTGATAAAAGTCACTGTCCGTGTCTGTCATGAACAATTTTAACTTCTCACCATATCTTTTTACCATATCATCGTATAATGGAAGGATGAAAACATGTGTTTGGTGTGTTTTAGAATATACTCTTTCCAGTGAGTGAGTGAGTTGGGTTTAATGCCGCTTTTAACAGTATTCTAGTTATGTCAAGGTGTGTCAGCTTAATGTGGGAGGAAAGCCCAAAGGGCTGCAGGTCTGAGACGTTTACCACTTCGGTGAAACCTACGAGCACGGGTATGGTGCTGACAAACCTAGAGACATAATTGGGGTGAACCGGGACTCGTACCTACAATCATACTCTTTCCAAATTAACCAAATGTTTCTTAGCCTTTCTTATATAGTGATCAGTTCTATTTGCGGATTCTTTCTAAAATTTTGACTGCTGTCTATACTCTGCATTTTTCACTAGGTTATGGAGAATACTGTGGCTTCTCTGTGTTGTAGTATTGAAGTCAATGAAGGGTTTCACACATATCCTCTGTGAAAATCTAAAGACTAATGTAAGTAAAATTTAAAAGGGAAACAATGCTCCAACTCTCAGTCGTCTACCTGGCACCATTTTAATTAGCCTGCATAATCTCTGTTTGAGTGATGAAGTCAATGAAGGGTTTCACCCATTTTCTCTGCTCAGCTCTTCCTGGGTTACGTGTATATAGCTCTCTAACATTCCTGGCCATATTCCGAATAAGGTTATGTGACTAGATGACATAGTGCCTCATCTAAATCCCCATACCTCTAGTGCTGTTGTCGTTTCTACCACTAACGTTAGAAGACTTTACAACTGCAAGTCATGAAATGGAGTGCTAACTGAGTTGTTGCACTACAAGATACTGTTACTGACATGAATGGACAGCTTGAGTTATGTAATGGCGTCGACGTGTGACCACAGAGTGGAGGAAGAGCATCAGTGGTCATTTTGTTTGACTGCAGTGTGTTGCTAAATGCCCCACACTCAGCAGCAGGTGTACATGTGGTTATGAGCTTTTCAAGGATTGCTCATTCGTTTATCCGGAGACAGACATAATTCCAACGCCACCTCACTTTATGGCTGTGGTGGCACAGACACAGTGGTTTAAATATGTTTGGAATAACCCTGTGGCATGAGCGAGATGGACCACATCATCCTGCCCTATTTCAGAGAATAATATTCAACTATTTGACAAGTTTAAAAAAAAGTATTTAACCCATTGATATTTGGTGGAAGTGCCATCTTGATTGACAGGATTGACAGGAATGAGCCAAACCTCCCACAGTTCACAAAACGTTGAAAGGAAACACAAAACAATTCTGCAGACTGTTACTATTCAGTTTATTGAAATAGTACATGTTCAACATAGTTGTAACCACTGGGTGTCATACCTACAGGGTCACAGCTGGAACAGGATGGCAACGCCTATAAAGGGTGGACCTAATTTGAACAGAGTGGACATGGCTACAAAGGCCTGAGTAAAACAGGCTTGGTGAAGAGGTTAGGAAAGGATGGACACGGCAGAATGGACACTGCTAGATAAGGAACACCTATGAGACATGATTAGAACAGGGTAGACACAAATAGAACAGGAAGGACGAGTCTTGTACAAGGTGGTTTTGGCTAGAAGGGACACACCTAAAACAGGCTGGGCGAAGAGGTTGGGAAAGGATGGACACGGCAGAATGGACACTGCTAGATAAGGAACACCTATGAGACATGATTAGAACAGGGTAGACACAAATAGAACAGGAAGGACGAGTCTTGTACAAGGTGGTCTTGGCTAGAAGGGACACACCTAAAACAGGGTGGTGATAGAGGTTGGAAAAGGATGGACACAACTACAAGAGGGTGGACATGGCTACAACAGAATGGACTCGGCTACACTAGGGTGGGCATAGATACAACAAGATGAACACTGTTACAACAGGGTGGACATGGCTACAATATGTCCAACAGGATGGACACAGCTCCAACATGTTCAACAGGAATGACACAACTACAAGAGGGTGGACATGGATAGAACCGGTTGGACAGAAACAGTATGAACAGAGCTACAACAGGATGGACACTGTTACGACAGGATGGACACGGCTAGTAAAGGAAGAACATGGCTACAACAGTGTGGACAGAGCTACAACAGGATGGACACTGTTACAACAGGATGGACACAGCTAGTAAAGGAAAAACATGGCTACAACAGTGTGGACACAGCTACAACATGTTTAACAGGGTGCACAAAGCTACAATATACAACAGGATGGACACCGCTAGTAAAGGAAGAACATGGCTACAACAGGATGGACACAGCAACAACATGTTTAACAGGGTGCACAAAGCTACAATATACAACAGGATGGACACAAATACAACAAGGACCAGCTACGACAGAATGGACGTAACTAAAAAAGGATGGTCATGGCTACAAGAAGATGGACATGTCTAGAACATAATGGTACACTTATATAGCACATACTTTCATGTGCAAAGCATGTTCAAAGAGCACAAAATTGTGGAGATAAAAATAATCCTACAGAAAATGCACAATGTAGAACTATGGATTGAATGTAGCTTAGAAGAGATGCGCTTTGTCTGAACAATGTCAATGAGAGACATGCAGGTGCAATATGTATGGCATTATTGGATCAATGGACACTTTGAGGTATATGGTCCTAACACAGAATAGGTTCTTCTCAATCTTCTATGCTCCTAGAGGTTTATAGGGTAGTCAGCCTTGCAACTTCGATTTCTAGGAATAGGTTCTTCTATGCTCCCTGAGGTTATTGGGTGGTCAGTCTTGTCATTTTTGACTTCTTGGATTCTGACACAGAGTGGGTGTTTCTGTGGGCCCTCAGCTGATGAGGTAGGGTGAATCTTTTGTCACACAGCTCACAGGCATGTGCTCTCACCCCTTGGTGGCTTTTCTCATGCGCAGAAAGATGATGTTTCAAACTAAACTTTTTCCCACAAATATTACACAAAAACTTCTTCTCCCCATGGGATTTCATGTGAATATACATGGCATTTGCTTTCACCATCTTCTGACATACTTTACATTCAGTACTAACTTTCTCTGCTTCCATATGAATTGCAGAATGACGTTGCAACAAAATATTTTTTTTAAATGTTTTACCACACACAGTACATAAATAAGGTCTCTCATCTGAATGTACTGCGTCGGCATGGACACGGACGGACCAACGTTCTATAAACCGAGCATCACAAAGTATACACTTGTATGGCCTCTCATCAATTCTGTAGTCCTCTCCAACGTGATATTTCTTTGCATGCCTCACCTCACTTCCAGGAGATGGAAAGTAGTATCTATTGCAATCATTACATCTTATTTTCCGTTTTCTCTCGTGTACACCAAACACATGTCGTGTCAAATGGTTTGACCTCTTAAATGCACTCGTACAGAGCTTGCACTTATGTGGCCTGTCTGTGGAGTGGGTGCACATATGGATCTGCAAACCCCTACGCTGAGAAAACTTCTGTCCACAAACTTCGCATGGAAAGTTACACTCTCCTGTGTGTATATTCATATGTTCCTTCACGGCATATGGGGCTCTGAACCCTTTCTCACATACCATACATTTGTGACGTAGTTCACGACTCCTCAGAACTCTTGTGTGTACAGTCATATGATCTTTAAGGTCATGGCCACGGTTGAACTCCCTCTCACATTCTATATATTTGTCACATTCACGTTTTATCTCAACTTGACCAGGCTTCTTCCCCGCAATATTACCAACTGGCGCTGGTAAATGTGCTGCATTGTTCTTGGTGGGGAGGTGCCGAACCTGCATCTCTGAAGACAGACTCAGTGTCATCTGGTGTTCGTCGGAACCAGCAGCAGAAGATAATGTTCCATTGTCTTTGCAATTCATACCTTAAACCTCACGCTCTGTCGTCAATGTCAGCACCTGTTCTGGTGGTCATCTGTTGGCTTCCCTGTGTGTTCTGAAATTCAATGTAGAACATCACTTAGCAAACTTTATGTAACAACAAAATAACTTGTGGCTGGTTGTCTGGGAGTCTCTGCAACTGTTGGTACCAATGCTCTAGTAATACTGAAATATAGGTATTGTTTGCTTCAAATTAAAAAGACAATCTTTGAACCTTCCATGCAACATCTGTTTATTATTAAACATTTCTTACATCTTTTCACACTTAAAACACTTTTCGCCAACAACACCTGGAATCTTGTCAATAGTTAAAGAATAATATGTGTCATGATTGCCAACAAATTCACTTCATCATGTTCATCATGGCACCAATGGTTTTATGTCCAAGCATCAAACAAAGTGGGTGGTCTTTTGGAACATTTGATATGTCAAAGAGATTAACTCACAGGGAGGGGGCACGGGTGGCCCAGTCGTCTTAGGCGCCACGATTTGCTGTGCAGAAACTTATGATTGTGGGTTCAAATGACGGTTCGCCCCGATTATGTTTCTAGGTTTGTCAGCACCATACCCGTGCTCGTGGGTTTCACTGAAGTGGTAAACGTCTCAAACCTGCATCACTTCGGGCTTTCCTCCCATATTAAGCTGACAGTGACACGCTGCGATATAACTGGAATACTGTTAAAATCGGCGTTAAACCCAACTCACTAACTCACAGGGGCCATGAAGAAGTCTATGTACAGTAGGTAACATTTGATAATTTTTAAGACACTGTCCTTGTTTGTCATGAACAATTATAACTTCTCACCCTATTTTTTTACCATATCATCGTATTAATGGAAGGATGAAAACATGTGTTTTGAGTGTATTCCTGTGGGTACCCGGGTCCTACTCAGTACCCACCCGACCCGGGTACCCGAGTTACCCGTCCCAGCCCTAATCACTATCCTGCTTCAGGGGCCTGTGCCTCGGATGCAAGCGGCTGTAAAGCTTTAAAAGGACATTTTGGAGGTACCGTTGTTTTCATGACCATCCAAACAGGGGCAGATAAGTTGCCTGTCACCATAAAATATACGCTGTATTCTGACCAAAAAACACCCATAATGTAGGCCTATATGATATACTGTAGTGTAGTAAATACGCGCGGCAGTTTTCGGAGAAAGACTTCCGTTCGTATCCCCCCGCCAAAAGTTATACAGATAAGTACGCATTCCCGTTCCAACCTTTTAGGTATATATTTTTGAGGGGTGATACGGGCGGAAGTCTTACCCTTTTCGACATCAATGCTTACGGGGCCTTGACTTTTCCCTCAGTAGCCAGTAGATAACCCAGAGTAAACGCACAACTGCAGCGAGCAGAAGTTTAAAATCAGTCCACAATTTTGTAAAACCCGACCACAGCGATAATGCCAAGCTCCTCACAGCGATAGCCCGTTCGCGGAGCTCTCTATACTACCACCGAGTGTGTAGCGAAGGTGTCACGCGCTGGGAAGGAGCTTGCAACAAATGCTTCTGGTTAACATTAAAAAGTACGGAGATCTATCATGCGGAATATGATTTAGTATATTTTCTTTAGGGAATACACTCCATATGCAATATATGATCCTTTTATATTTATCCATGTTCGATCCCGAATAGGTAACTCACATTAAATGTTTTAGTAAAAAATGGAAACATCTTGAGAGTTTGTTTTTCATTTTGTACTTGTCGAATATTCTTACACTCATTATGTGCGGCAGTTCCATTCAATGTTAATGTTTCTGCAGGATATTTTTTTCATAATTTATATTAGCATGAAATTGAAAAAACAAACTGTAATCCAATACTTTTTAAAGGAAAATGCTGAAATTAGGATGTGTATCTACATGACTTTGTGGTTACAACAGTATTACAGTATCACAGAATTGCCCACATTACACGAGTAATAACACTAACTTAACTGAGGCAAGCGTGTCCACTTGCCTATATCAAAGCCACAGGAATATTGGTCAGTAAATAAAATATATACCCCCTATAGGTAAGTCTATAGGGGGTATATATTTTTATTTACTGACCAGTAAATAAAATATATACCCCCAAATGTAAGTAGACTTACATATAGGGGTTATATATTTTTATTTACTGACCAATAACGAGTTCCTGTGTTGTCTTCTCAGTCGCGATTTTGGAAAAGACATAATTCAGAGTATGTGCTTAGCCTTGTGTTTTGAACCGCGCGGCACTGAACAAAAGAATAGGCTGCGTATATGAGAAGATAGAACCACACACCTGTACCTACACCACGTTATACGGATCTAATAAAGTCTTATGACGTCATTCCTTTATCATTTGGCACCAATGACGTCAAATTGCAAGGGGCATAAGCCATGGTGTGTTTATTAGAGAAATAGGATTCTCGGTAAATATGAAAAAATATTAATCATTTTCATGAATAAAATCAATTAGATACTAAGTAGTGATATTTGTATTGTTTCGCCTCTGAAACTACTATACTGAGTATACTAGATAAGTACTTTTCATGATGAAAAAGTACAAGAAAAATAAAACGAATGTTATATTTGGGATATAGAGAATGTCACCCGAGTATCTTTTGATAGCAAATATATCAACGCGAGTTGATAAAAGTGGAAACACTTCGAGGCTTTCCGAGGAATTTTTCCACTTTTATCAACAAGTGTTGATATATTTGCTATCAAAAGACACGAGGGTGAGATTTTATTTATCATCCAACATCATTCTTTCAACTTTTTTCTGTTTGTAGACAGTGATACGCAGTGTCTTATGTGTAAAAAATACTGCTAACAGCTTCAGTAGCAGAGCCGTTAGTGATGTCATTTGATTGTGACGTCATGGTAACCAATGTGATGCAATTTCATGCAATTTAATCTCACACAAGCGATATCACCTGTGGGAGCCAGTTTGTATTTATTTTCTTCTTCTATTTCATGAGAGGGCACGGGTAGCCCAGTCGTCTAAGACGCCGTAATTCGCTGAGCAAAGTAGCGTCCCTTTGACACGCCAGCGTTGCAGGACTCAGACGTTTACCACTTTGGTGAAACCCACGAGTATGAAGCTGACAAACCGAAAAACATAATCGGGGCGAACCTAGATTTTAACCCACGATGTTAGGTTTCTGGCCTGCCCGATGGGCGCAACTCTGCACAACCAGTTGCGGCGCCTAAGATTTGTTTGTTTGTCCGCACTTAGCCATATTCCAGCTATATGGCCGCGGTCTGTAAGTAATCGAGTCTGGACCAGACAATCCAGTGATCGACACCATGAGCATCGATCCATCCAATTGGGATACGATGACATGCATCAACCATGTCAGCGAGCCTGACCACCCGATCCCGTTAGTCGCCTCTTACAACAAGCATAGTCGCCTTTTGCGGCAATTCACGGGTTGTGCCCATGTGGGGAATCGAACCCGGACATTCGGCGTGACGATCGAACGCTTTAACCACCACAAGGCTACCCCCGCCCCTCATTATTCTCTGAACCATTGGATACTTGAAACTGAACTGGAATATAGTGATGAACCCAGAAATTTGGTCTCTTTAAAATTGGCTCACAATTATATACATTCTAAGGGACCGACTACATGAATTTCGTTGATGGGTATCTTTGATATCTTATCTTGAAAATCAATGAATTTGCACTTTTCGGCATTAATTAAAAACATTTCAAACATGTTAGGAGTCATGTGGTTGCAAGTTCATTTCCTACCCTAGTCTTCATCGAACAATATATTTTGACACAAAATTATTCAGCCACAGATTAATTTTCACAAACTGTTGCAGGAATGAGTGATGGTTTTATAGATATAATCAAATTTAACAACAGTTCTTTCAATAATTTTCCATGACATAAAAAATAAACTCGGTATACTCTCCTTTGACCCTCAGCTAATACGTTTTTGCTCGTGTGGTACTTTATACATATTGTTCATAATTCTTTGATATTTTTTTTTTTCATAATCATCATTATGATTAAAATGCATTGAAATGTTAAGGCGCTTGGCAACTCATGGTCGACCATCTACTGTATTACATCTCCATTCTATTAAATATGATAAATACCGCTAAAAATTACCATTTATTATAACAAATCATTTGCGAAATTTGGAACAAAATCCAAGCCATATTACGGAGAGGGGCGTCAAGATCGGCTCTACATGGTGTACCCATGTGGTGAACTGGTGTGACGAATCAACGCTTAAACCTCGCTGGACAAACCCCACCGCCAATGGCTTTGTCGGTTAAGATTATTTATGTAAACAAATGTCAAATTAGGTTAGAAGTGTTGTTTATTTCATGCAGGTGTTCACCAGAATAGTCACGTGATATCATGGTTACGAGTTCAGCCAATCGGGAAACACTTCCCTTGCACGAGTTTTTCCTGCGCGTAATCCGGACTCTATTGATCGAAGCAGACGACGCTTACTTTATCAAATGCACCGGTGCGTGTTAAATTAATTTCAACAAGCTGTTTAGAATTCATTTAAAATCGAGATTACAATGGGCTTAGACCCCTATTGCTCATGTTAATATTATTCACGCGCTACTTTGAAGTCTACGTTTAAAACTTTGGTATGTCATGTGAATTATGAAGACTTTTCACGAAGAAACATTTTTCAGCGTGATTTCCTGCCCTGCCGTATGTTTTCACTCTGGAGCGGACGCTGAACAATATGACATGGTAAGTGCAGCAATATGTAATTAAACAAACTTTTGGTGAACATATAATTATGTAAACGAAACATCGCTGTGGCTGTAACGATTCGCAGATGATGTAATGTTATATTCGATACAAAAGAGCACTAGGGCACCAGGCCGGTAAGAGCGTTTCTCTGTCACTGTGTGTGTGAGAGAGAGAGAATGGCGATTTTAAAAATCAAGTAAAATAATGGGTTCCCATGCTCATTTGGGTTTAAAATGTCGTAAAGAAGTAACATATTTTAAACATTGTCCAAAATTCACTTGCCAATATATTTTCGCAGAAAATGTTTATTGAATGAAATTTACTGATCAATATAAAATAGACATTTTCACAACAATAATCTTTGCATTTAATGGACCGATTTAAAAATGAAAATTGATGTTGGTCTTTTTAAAATTTAGGTGTACATTTACCCGTTTTATATGCACAAAATATAGATACTTGAGCCATTACAAACAATAATATCATTGTTAAAAGACAGGGTCACCGGACAAATACTATTAACTGACCCTCAGCAATGCTGTCAGATAAGCCAAGCGTCATGAAACTACGTTCTGGAAAAGATTTTACACATTGACAATGTAGATATTTCGCTCCTCAGCCAGATTTAAATCAAATCAGACAAATCAGTTTCTTAGCTCTACTTAATTTAAAATGATAGAAAAGGACTACATTATATGTATGTTTACGAACATGGCGTACGCGCGTGTTCCATGAGACAACATAAATGACAATTCCTAAATTATCTCCCTTTGTGAACGAAAGTGTTACTTTCAAATTTTGATAAGAAGTATGGATCTAGATAGGTTTTTAAAAATAACATCAACTAAATACACATAGCTTGATATTGTATTTGAGTATTTTGTTTATTTGTGAAATATATTGGATTTGTAAATAACAAAAGAAACTTACATTGTCATAGTAACTCGCTCGACGGTGCGCTGCTTCCTGAACAATTTTTGTTTCCAGGTATAATGTAAGTGATTTCTCCAGAAACTTTTGACATAAACACGAAAACAAGCAGTATTATGATTCTGACCCAGCATACATCACGTAACATCAGACCTGAACACGCATCTTTTCGACCATAGGTCTTGTCATTGTCATTCAGAATAACGTCCCTTAATTACTTTCGTCCTTGACTTTGTACGCGATGTGTTTACATAAAGCTCTGCTCTCTCGCGAGAGGATCATTAGAAGAGAAAATAGTGAAGTATCTTCTTTGCACATTATTTCAGTTCTAATAACTACTATGTGGTAATACTACACTTATTGATTATAACATTTATTGGGTTTGAAAAATGCCTTTGCATAGAACAGCGTTCGCTCGTCACGCCGAAGACCCGGGTTCGATTATATTTCTGGTGTCCCCCGCCGTGATATTGCTGGAATATTGCTAAAAGCGGCGTAAAACCATACTCACTCATGTAAATGTATCTGATCTTAAACTTGAGATATCTTTGAACGTAAGTTGTTAAGATTAATCGTATATAAGATCGCTTCGAAAATCTAGACCGTGGTCTCTAATGCTTCAGCCCCAGTTGTGATGCACCACTTCGTGTATATGTAATTCAGCAATATTTAGCTAAATGGTGTTATTGGCTCGCCTGATATATCTACCTTAACTTATTATCTTAATTTTAATTCCAAGCATAGCAAAGTATCCTATGTACATCATGTGTTCACTTTCATCCATTCATACACA